CCCCCCCCGGCGCCGGCTCAACAATCCTCATCATCATCCCCCATTTCTCTATATGCTCAAAACTTCGGACGGAACGAGTAAAAGCAAGATCAACCAAGTTCGGCCTTGCCCAATTCATCCCCCAAGTACTGAATCGTCCTCTCATAAACCCTGGCCGCCTCCATTTCCCACGTCCTGGTCTCAGTGGCAGCATCATCATCATCATCATCACCACCATCTATATCCATGCCATCTTCGTCTTCGTCTTCGTCGTCAACATCATCACCAACCTCCATCTCCACAACCACAATCCTACTCGTCTCCGCCACACTCTTGATCCTCACCTTCTCCGTCATGCTCACATACCCAGCACGCCCAGCCTCAAACCCGCTGAGCGGGATGCCCGACTCTACATCCTCGCCAACCAGGAGACTGGCAAACATGACATCGAATTTCCTGAGGAGTCTGAAGGTCTGTTTTGCCGCCGCTGCTCCCAAAGGGTATTCTGGGAGGTAGGTATTGACCAGTCCCGCGAGCGAGATGAGGTAGGGTATTTGTAGGGATGCTTCACAGAGTCAGCCCATCATCCATCCAATAACATAAAAGAAGTAAATACAAAGAAAAAAAAAAATTATTAAAAATAGAACAGAATAGAGAGATACTTACGCGTCCCACTAACCCAAACAACATCAATAACCTCCTCGATATCCCTGGCAACTTCCGTGAAACTCTCGTACCCTTTGGCCTCTCCTTCCCCGTCCTCCGCGTCAGCATCTCGCATGCTTCCTGTTACAGTATCATCGGCATCAGCACCCCGCAAAGCACTACTAAACTTCTTCGCATGCCTGCGATTTATTCTTAATATTTTGCGATCCACATGATTGATTAGCGACGACTCCTTTGCGCCGCCGGGTTTGAGGGGGTGGATGCGTTGGCGTGGGAGGGTGATGGTCGAGGTGGTGTTGGTGCTGGTGGATGTAGTTGGTGCAGGGGATGGAAGGGTGGGATTTAGGAAGCCTCCTTCTTCTGCGCCTGTAGTATTTGTTGTGTTCATTGTGGTGGGTGTGTTGATATTGCTATATCCATGAGGAGAGGGTCGAACTACGTAGTTTGGATTCGATGCGATCATCGTATCTGATCGCGTAGAGTTGCCGTGTTGGGAGTCTGGGACATGTCATGGCTGCCTGGGTGCCTTAACTTTACACTGGAACTGAGAAATATAACGAACTATACAACATCAGAAGAAGTAATTATGGCATTTCTATTCGTGTCAATACTATATGCTTGAAAAAATACCTAGGTGCAATCCTGTCAATGTTTGAGTTAGCACTGTCATACCCAACAACAGGGCAAAAGTAAGATAAATATCGTAACAAAATTGACATATCAGAGAGTGAGAAGATTTTATATAAAGCTGGTTTTTGCAGACATCGACAAACACTGGCATTCAACAATTCAAACGCAGGTTTATCCTACTATGGCCCCAGCCGACTCATCACGATAGACAGAAGAATAAGAGCAAGAATATATCCACTCACCCTAGCAAATATAAACAAGAAACGCCGTAAATGCTTTTCTTTCCCTGGCTTCACATCCCCTCGGGCTGCACCACATTTGTTAGCCAAAAAAAAAAAAGGATTCTCTTAGTACGAAGAAAGGGTAAAAAAAAAAGAGGGAAATACCATAATCCCACCCCTCCCCCTCTTCAACTTCTCAATCTTCCTCCTATCCTCATCAAACCGCTTCAACAAATCATTCTGCCTCTCCTTCCTCTTCTCCCTCGTCTGAAACCGATAGAAATCACCCAGCCCTTCCTCTCTCCTCTTCTGCTTCTCCACTAGCTCCCTCACCTCTTCCTCTCGCGCAGCCAAGTCCGTCAACCGCGGCCCTTTGGTCACAGTCACAAACCCATCTTCGTCGGGCTCCTGTGCACGACGCGCCGACTCGCGAGCCCGCGTCTCTTCTACCTGCGCAAACAGCGACATGTACTCATTCACAATACCCGATAATTCGTCCGCGGCCGGGAAGCGTAGCTCATTGCAATGTTTCTGGTAGCGCGATGCTCCGAGATTGGGCACTCGGTCTTCGATACCTTCGGCCCAGGGTATTGTTATTCCTTTGTTTTTCTTCTCTCCTTCTGTAGACCGAGACCGTGATCGTGCGGCTTTGCGTGCGGCTTTCAGACTAGCCTCCATAGCCGGTCTATCGACAAAAGTGACAACAGCATGCGAGCCGCTGGCATGTAATGCTCGGTCCCAGGTTGATGGGAGTTTGACATTTTCCAGTTGATTCTGTAGGTCTGATGCTGTGATTTCGTCTCGTTTACGTTTTTTGCCTTGTCCTGCTTCACTGGCGGTCGTACTGACGGTAGTTGTTGTGGCGGCAGAAGTGGCTGTAGACCCGAAATGAACCTTTTCAACCCGTCCCGCTGACAATTGGCTTGAAAATAAATGTCGCAAATGTAACTCTGTCGTGTCAATCGGGAGATTCACGAGGAAGAGCGAGCGCGGTGCGTCGGCGTCGGGGATCCGGGGTTCATGAGCGCGGAGGTAGAGGTAGTGAGTAGCTGGTGAGGGGAATGATGGTGTTGCGGGCAGTCGCAGGGGGAGGACTGTGTAGCCGGATATTTCTATTGATGACGATTTTTTCGGCATGGTTGTATGATGTATGTTGTTGAGCTTGTGAAGCGTGTGGTGAGAGAGCGATAAAAATAAATTTATTAAATTTATTCGGAGCGGAATTTTACTGTACTCGCCGCAGCACGGCAAGTTTACGCGGGCCGCCATATGTAGCTCTAACTAATTAAGATCGCATCTTTAAATCTCCACCACGTCACTTCGATATCAATAAGTATCCCCCGTTATTGTCCAGATAATAGTCTAAAAATCAGATCACACCTTGTCCGGATCGTTGATGCCACCATTGGTTATGATATACGTCGCCTCTCGCTCGGGACAATCTGCACGATGAGCTTGCGTCTAATCAAATATAATCATGAGATATATAAAACTAACCTGGTGAATCCTGGATTTTGGCCACTCGTTCTTCTCCACGGCCTTTGCGAAGTAGCACCCGTGTCGTCGATGCATGGGCAAGAACGTGTCCACCTACCGGCTTACGGCCGTCAGCGCCTGCAAAGAGGGCACTGGCTCCGGGGTCACTCTGCACTTGGTTGGTCTGTAACAGCGAGAGTGAGCATACAATGATATAATCACAGGACAAGATATCTTGATCTACCATCAGGACACAGACGTTGAACTCTGGTGTTGTCAGAAATACAATAATGATAAAACTAAAGACAACAAAGACAGAATAAGTACCTTCAGCCAAATGAGCCAGCCTGATTAGAAACTGATTAAGCTTCTGCTGTCTTTCAGCCAGCTCTCCTCGACCCGAGAAATCCACGCGGAAACAATTCATGATACTATCAATAACAAGAAGCCGGTACTGGCCACCAGCAAACTCCTTCGAAAGCGTATTCAGAAGTTCGAGCTGGTGCTCACTGTTTAAGGCACGCGCGTAAGCAATATTCTCCTGCGTAGACTCCGGGTCAAGACCAAAGCGCTCTGCAATCTGAGCTATACGCTCAGGCCTGAATGTGCCCTCGGTATCAATATAGGCCACTTTGCCCTCTCCGCCACCCATTTCCTTGGGTAGTTGAGCGATAACAGACATGGTATGGGACAGCTGCGTTTTGCCGCAACGAAACTCGCCGTAGACTTCGCTGATGCTCATGCTTTGGAAGCCGCTGCCTCAATCAATCAATCAATCAATGACCTGGTGCGAGACTAGAAGCTGGAAAGAGCCAACTGACCCTCCAAGGATAGAATCAAACTGCTTGCTGCCAGTAGAGATCTTGAACACTTTCTTCCGTTGATGGCAGAGTTCCATGGCAGTGATGAACCCATTCGCAGTCGGCTTGCATTGTCCTTAGCATCGGCTGAATCGTCGCACTAGAATATGATAATGCTAGGAATAGCCGTACCAGACATTTCTGAATAGCCTCCTTGATCTTCTCGACCTTGATCTCACTGAATCCTTTGATTTTCAACAGAGTTCTGCGAGTAGCTCCGTGAACAGACTGAGGAATCAGTCAGCATAGGCCTGTATAGCAAGAGGGACGAAAAAAAAAAAAAATAAAGTGAGAGACATACAGCAACAGTATAGAAGCCATTCGCCTTCAGTTTCGTGATGTCAGCCACACCTATGCCTATATCCGGTCAGTAGATATCGCAGACGTGTCGGAGGCAGACATGGCTGTGTACCGTGAGCTTCAATGCTGTCAATATCGATGATGAAGTCCTGTAGTTTTTGGATGTTAGCGTGTATAGAGATATAGAAGTCAGTATCATACATCGAGGTCGAACTCGTCGCTAGCTTCAGAGGCAGGCATGATGGATGCTTCGAGTCCTGATGATCAAGCAGTTATCCCTAGGTACTTTACAAGGAGAGGAAAGAGATGAAGAGGAAGGGGGGGAACGGCCGAAGAGCAGACTCCTTCCTAAGATGGCTCCTTCCTTCCCTGTCGTGGACTACAGTCACATGAATTTCCTCTTTGGACTGGCCTTCAAAAGAAGTTAAAAAAAGCTGGAAAAAAAATTTGATGAAAACTTTCATTCAAGGCCATATCGTATCATATTATTGGGAGACTTGATTGATCATTTCGCTCACTCACTCCCCTTGACAACTTGAATTGACCACGATTACTACATCCTTCTGTCATGTCTCAATAGTTATCTCTCTCTCTTTTTTTTTTTTTCTCTTCTTCGCGTTCTCCTTTTCCTGCCTCTAGTTGCCTTTTTAAACAGAAAAAAAAAAAAAAAAAAAAAAAAAACAGATGTAACTAACAGACGCCAAATCATGAAAATAAGGAGAAGAATCCAGTCCGGTCCCGAACCCCCAAATGCATTAAAAGATTCTTTGCATTTGCATGAATTTGCAGCATGAATCTGAGGAAATTTTTTTTATCGTAGAATGTCGTTCGTTCCTTTTCACGTTGTCGTCGTTACACGTAACAAACAATAGGGGAAGGTCGATACTAAGAAGAAAATGAGATGAGATGAGATTCATCAGAGAGGTAGTGTCGTTTTTCAAAGTAAGTTAGGTGTCCAGAGATAAGTCAAATTGAAAATATTAAAAAAGAAATTGGAATGGAATGGGACAAAATCAAAGAAAAAGATGACGTTTGATTATCTCAGATGGAGAAACGAAGAAGAAAAGGTCTACGCAGCCGCGGTAGTAGTAGCAGCAGCTGCTGGAGCAACAGCAACAGCAACAGCTTCAGTGGAGCCTTCGATAGGAGCAGCAGCAGCAGGAGCAGGAGCTGACGCCGGTGCTGGGGCGGGGGCTGGAATTGAAGCTGGCGCAGCTGCCGGAGAAGTAGCGGCAGCAGTCTTATCAGCAGTCGCTTGAGCGTTGCTGTTGCTATTGTTATTGTTCTCGTTAGTTGGGCAATCACGCGAGATGTGACCGGCTTGCGAGCACTTGTAGCACACTTTTCCAGCAGAGCTCAAGGGGCCTCCATTTGGAGCCGTGCAGTCGCGCGAGATGTGTCCCTAGAGTCGGTAGTTAGTGACCAGCATTACTTTTTTTTTTTTGTTCAATGCATGTATGTTCAAACTCACCAGCTTCCCACATGCATAGCACTTCATAGCTTGAGCCTGACAGTCACGCGCAAAGTGGTTTGGACCGCCGCATTTGTAGCAAGTGGCAGCTCTGGGATATGCTCCAAATGCGCCGCGGGGGAACATTCCAACAATTCCACCACGGGGGCCATTTCCGCCGCGGCCAGCTCCTGGACCAGCGCCAGCCTGGACGTTGGAAGTTGCGCAGTTGCGCTATAATACCAATCAGTATCAAGTAAGTACATCGGGAGGGGAAAAAAAAAAGACGGCATGCGTGTACATACAGCCAAATGACCGGGTTGGCCGCAGCCATAGCATCGGCCACTGTTAGCACCGCCGCTCAGTCGAAGGGTAGGGCAGTCAGCCTGGACATGGCCTAATCCTTGACAGTGGTAGCACTGTTTGGCTAGAATAAGATGTTAGATCTGATTCAACGAAGCTAGGCTGATACACACTCACTCTCCGTCGTACGAGGTCGTGGACAGGCATTTGACTCGTGTCCTGCACCAATTAGTCTCGTTCTGCCTTACCAGGGCATAGAAGTAGGCCATACCAGGTTGTTTGCCTAAAAAAAAATATAGTAGTTAGTTTCACTTCCTCCCCAGGACCGGCCGTGTGTATATACATACAATTATAGCAGAGACGCTCAGAAGACGAGCACACCTCTATACCCACTAGTCAGTCTCTCATCCCCTCTCTATTTTCTTAGGATTGATTCTACAGACCAGCGTAGTGGCCGATGTTGCCACACTTGTAACACGCACGACGAGCCAGCAACATGTTTCCCGACAACTGTTGACTACCGTATCAGCCATCTCCCCTTGATATATAGAATGAGTAGAAATGTAATGGAAAAAAGTCGAGCAGAACAAGGGGACGCAAAGAACATCGGAATATTCGTATGATTTTTGTTTTGTTTTGTTTTGTTTCCTTTTTTTTTTTTTTTTTTTTCTTTGTAACATGCTAGTATTCTTGACATCAATTTTGATAGTACCCAACCACGTGACTATCTCTGCAGGTTGACCGTTTGAGTTGTCTGACCAGTCAATTTATTGGCTGGCGATCCTGATCTGCATGCAGTCTCTGCTTGCTGAAGAATTGGTTGGTTGGTTGGTTGGCGATTTTTGCACTCTTTGCTTTTCCTCCTCCATTTCGTGTTTTTTCTTTTCCCTTCTTTCTTGACAAGACAGATAGACAGATTGAACGGGATGTATATAAAAAAATGATACTTTTACTCACCCTACTATCTCCTTAAAATCCAATAATTAATCTGCCCAGCAAGTCAGCCAAATTTAAAAAGTGCAAAGGAAAGAAGGAAAAAAAAAACATTTCTTACCCCAACAATCCAAGTCCTGTCCAACCTTACTTCAATTCAACTCCAACAAAGCCGCACTCACGCACGCACACTGAACAACCTCAGAGCGAGCTCAATCCACCCCCAAAAAGTTCCCACGCAGTATGAAAGGGATAGGATTTCTCACCACGAAGAGTCCAGCAGAACAAGTAAAGTAAGAATTCCAAAATTTCAAAAGTGAATGGGGGGGTGGAAAATAATATCTGAATAATTAATTGATGAAGCAAAAGAAAAAAAAAAAAATAGAAATATGGTTTAATTTTCCGCGCCTTTCCGTATTACGACAAGTGTGTATGTTATAATTAAACTCGCCTGAGGCATTTAATACGTAGGACGGGGTTTCATGGACCATTGATTTGCACTGAGCGGGAGTGGTGGGTATTTGTATTGGTATTACGAGTACACAACCAAGGACTTTTGCGGAAATTTTTAAGGTGTGAAATAAAAAGAAAAGAAAAAAGTGATGACGATGACGCTTGGATGAGCTGGGGCTAGCTTGATGTGGTTAGTATTATTTCACAAAGGACTGGAGCATACACTGCAGACCGTACAGGTTTTAAAGGATGTAGCAAAAGGTATTATTAAGTAAACGTTCTAAACATAGTAATAAGTAAGACTTTTCCCTTTTTTCCCCCCGCTCCTGTCTAGATCTCCTTCTCGATCACTGCCGGAGCTCGGATTTCTTTCGATTTCAAGAATCCAAGGCCCTCGCCGCCCTAGGCAAGTAGTAGTGTGTTAGTAGACAAGACATAAGAGAAGCTGAGGGTAAATTTGTAGAACTTACGTAGCTGATCAAAGGAGACACTTCGATGCCTGCAGCATCATCCTCAGTAACAACCACACCGCCTGCTCGCTCCACCCAGCGCTTCCCTTGAAGCATGATATCCCTCTTGCTGGTATCCGCGTCGTCTTGGCCGGTGCCTCGCGCGTTCTTGAGCGGCGAGAACTCGTCTTCACGGCGCACTTCAATGCACGCAAACTTGTCCAGCGGTGTCAGCGGAAACACGTCAAACACGAATTGCTCCAGCTTGATGCCATTGGGCTTCTCGGGCTTGACCGTTTCGCCACTTTGAAGGTCGATGGATGGGATCTTTTTGCGCGCAACGTGGTGCGGAAGTTTGTGAGACCAGGACTCAATAGATTCTAGAAATCGGAAGGAATAGTAGTGGTTGACGATGTTAGCGGCGCGGAATTTGAGCACCTCGGGGTTTTGGGGGTCCTTGGCTTCGGCTGTTTCCTTGTCGATCTCTGAGTATTCGACCACGTCTGGTTTCCCGTTCTTCTGCAGGATCAGGCCTACGGACTCGGTGGCATTGCGTTTGCGGACCACCTTGGTGGCGATATCGACGTCCTTGGAGGCCGCAAATCCGATAAAGACAGGGTCTGCAACACGGGCAAGACTGTTGTCAACACAGTATGTGTGAACGTGCTCAATGCCCCGCTTGCGCATATCTTCTCTCGCGCCAGAAGTGATCAGAGCTTGGTAAATACCACCGTTGCCATCAGGTGCAACGGCAACCTAGACAGTCAAGTCAATACAGAGTAAAATCCTAGACAACAAGGGATAGCCATACCTTGGATTTGCTCTCCAAAAGAATCTTACCCTCATTCGAAATACAAGGCAAAACACCCTGCTCAAAGAACTTGACATTCGACTTGTCCAATCCAAAGTAATTATGCTTCTGGAAAAACTCCTCGGTAGGCTTATTTGTCGGACCACTGGTCATGACATACCACGGCACGACAGCCTTCTTATTGTATGCTTTGTCTGCCAGAGCCTGGACCTTGGCAATTCGCTCTGCCTGGATCTGGAACAAGGGCTTGTGGCTCGGAAGTCCAATATCGAAGCACCCCTTGGGAGCCGAGCTACCAAGACGGGTACCCTGTCCACCAGCCATCAGGACCACCGCCACTTTGTTCTCCGAGACCAATCGTAGTCCCTCATTATAGTATGCCTCAAGATCTTTGGGGTCTGAGTCGAGGATCGACGCCGTGGCAGACGCGGGCAGAGGCTCGAGTTTCACGGGCTCAGAGGATGTCTGGGGTGGGTGCAGGGCGATTTCAGCAAGCTCGGTTATACGATTGGGGTTGAATGTGGAGAGCTGTTGGAAGAATTGGCTCTTTTCGGAGGATGTGAGACTGTCGTAGAATGTGAATACATGGCCTTGATTGGCAGCTTCGTATTTCTGTCGGAGCTGTTGGAGCTCTTCGGTGGAGGGCTCTGCGATGTTGTTGTTGTTGTTGCCCTGGATCTTGTCCAGAAGGTTATGTACGACGGAGGCCATTTTGAATATCGACTGAGTTTTAGAGAAGGCAGGAATGAATGGGATTGTGTAATGGCAAATAGAAGTCGAAAAGAGAGAAGGGAGAGAGGGAGAGAGGAAAAAAAGAGAAAAGAATGAAGAGAGACAGGAGAATTGCACAGCTTTTGTAGCAAGGAGAAGGCTTCCTGATGTTTCAGTTGCAGCCCACACCGCCTGGAGCTTTCCCCGTGGTTTTTATCCCCCCTTATGGGTGCTTTTACTGTTCCTGCTCCTGTTCTGCTTTCCCAACGCTGTTCCTATGGCCTCTGCTATTGTTACTATTCTAGCACATTCACATGGCTACTAAGGAGGGCTGAAATGCTCAGCGTGGCAGAGCATACACATACCCCCCAGTCAAAAGTCTTGCTGCATAACTCGCTGAGGGGCAAATCATCGGGCGGTGGCTTGGCTAGTGTGCGCATAGTCCGCACTAGCCTACACAGCCAGCCTGGGCCCTGGGCTAATTATATCGACCTAGTTGAGACATGATCCAAAAGCAGAATCATTTGTATACCTACAATTACATCACTTTCGGTTTTTGCAGTCATCATACATAAGCTGAGCTGAGATTATCGCCGTCGCCTGTCATAATCCCTTCTGTCGTGAGAATATCTGTCCCGGTTGCGATTTCTATCCCTATCCCTATCCCTTTCTCTGTCCCTGTCGCGATCTCGCTCATCGCGGCGCCGCTCAGGACCTTTGCGCAGGGGGCTGCGACTACGTGATCGCGCTGGTTGTGAAGCTGTCGGCTCCCGGTTTGGTGCGCGGCGCATCTCGTCTTTGTCAAAGACCATGCCATAACGGTCAGATCGGCCACGGTGGTCGTCAGCGGCGCGGTACTGGCGTCTTCTTTCCAGACTCGATATGCCGCCGAATCCTCCTCCTTGTCGTTTGGAAATCGTAGCTTGCCGCCAGGTATCTGACAGTTTCGAGACCTATTCACACAATGTGAGCAACGGTGTCTTCTGTAATCGTAGAGTATGGCATACACTCTGAGAGAAATCCACATGAATACGGTGGTCGTCAATCAAAACGCCCTCCATCTTGAAGTAAGCTTGTTCGCAGTCTTTCTGGTTTTCAAACTCAATAAACGCATATTGCAAGCTGTCCCCTGTTCGCTTGTCGCGGATAACTTCGCACGAGAGGATGGTCCCAAAACGACTAAATATCAAGTGGAGGTCCTCGTCTATTCGTGATGGTTAGCTGCCGCAGTATAACGTGGTCTTAATCTAAGCAAACTTGCCTTGTGTAACGGGGTTTAACTTGCACACAAAAAGCACGTTTTCCGGCGGCTTGACCTCTGCAAATGGAAGATCTCCAACCATCTCCAGGGTCAAGGCCTGGGCCCGGGCCTCGCGCTCCCGTCGAAGCTGTTCCATAGCTTCCTCATCCATATTCTCGTCCAGCTCCTCATCGTCGGCTATCCTCACTGTGGCCAGTTGCGCCTTGGACGGCAAAGGGCTCTCGGGGGGCTCTTGCAACCCAGGAGGGTCATCATAAGGATCGTCCAAGATTACCGTATGCCGAATACGAATATCCTTCAGAGGTCGACCATTATCATCGATAAAGGCCTCGTTTATCTTTTCCAACACATCAAACCCCTCTACCACCTTGCCAAAGATCGCCGCCTTGCCGTCCAGGTAATCGAGGTTATCGCCTAATGTCACAATGAACTGACTGCCCGCCAGGCGCTCGTCCGGGTCTTTGGGCGACGGCACGGTTGCCATGCTTACGGTGCCTCTATCTGTATGTTTCAATTTGGGCGGCATGTCAACGGCGAAAGTTTTGTATGCGGATCCTTTGAGTAAACCCCATATTGAAGATCCCCCATCGCTGTCGGGCGAACCTGGTCCGATTGGGTCACCGCTTTGGAAGGTGAAATTCTTCTGCACGCTGTGCACCGGGGAGAAGTTGTAATACTTGACTTTGCATAGCTTTAGGAAGCTAACAGGTAGATGGAAGATCTTAGTCTGCATTCAGCCACTCAACTTTGTAGGACAGGACAAAGGGGGGGGGGGAGGAAAGCAAACGCCAGCACTAACAAAGACGGTGACAAGAAATGGCGGATACAGAGACAGAAAAAGAGAACTCACTTTTCACAAGCTTTTGGAGCGACATCAACTAGCAAGTCGATGACCAAGTCGCCGTGGGAGGTTTCAAGTAACACGCTCATTATGCGGCATGCTCAAGAGCAGTTGCGCAAGGCTGGGACGAGCAGAAGCAGAAGACACCCTGTTCTGCTTTGTTTTGTGGTGCTGATTCAGATGGATATTTTTGAGTGAAATTGCTGGAGGTAACGGACGCAGTTGGATGCAGGAGCTTTCCTGGGAAGGCGCCTTCCGAGCCTTGGCAGCCTGATTTGACAGGCGCCAAACCGCCCAGCAAGTTTGCCCATCTGAGACCGCCCAACTGGGATAATGCTCCCTCTCTCTCTCTCTCTCTCTCGCTCTCACTCACTCCGCCTGTCTCTCTCTCGGCCCCAATTGCTTCGTCGCGGTCTGCCTTGATGTTGCCTGTGGGATTAACTCGCGCGGTTACACAAGAATACATCCCTCTGCTATGCGTTTCTAATTCTGACCACTTAGCTGCCAGTCGGATCCAGACCTTTCTCCGCGCATGTCTGCCGTGCCGCGTACAGAGCAACCCCAGTCGAAAGCTTGCATGGGGGATGGCGAGCTTGTAGATTGCTCAATATGAATTCAATACTGAATTACTCACCCCCATCAGCCTTGGCTACTGTCTACAGTGCTGAAGCCGGTGTATCGGTACTTACTCCTTACAGCAATCCGGAATATTCGTGTTTCCTCGCGCCACGAGCTTCGAGTTTCACACCGGTGGACTCGAAGTACTAAATTAGGAACGTCACCTCCCCCCGAAAGGAAGCAGGACAATGCTGTTTTGTGTTGCACAACTACGGTGACTGGGATCTCAATCCTAAAACTATAACCATGGCGGACGGAGCTCGACAACGAATCAGATCACACCGTTCTTTTCCAAGCTCTCTACGAAATGCTGGATACAGCCTCTTTTGCATTACTCGGGATAGTGTAATTTCCGAAGAAACGCAATGACAACCATGCTTCCAATCAAACTTTGCCAGCGCCAGTCAGCTATAGCTCTCCATGGCTGATCTAGAAACGGTCTCTTTTGCAATGCTACATGCTACAACAACAGAAATCGTTCTTGGCTGGCGTAAGGACGACGATGAAGAATCCCAGAGCGTATGCTGCGGTGTAGAAAATTCCAGAAACCAGCAGACACCGACAGCCATCAGATCAGATCAACTCCTCTTCTACGGCTACTGACCGTTAGATCTATGTAACCTGGTTAACAAGGCCTTGCCTTTGATTGGGTGGATCTACTTGCTTTGTTAACAAATCAATGGGGTTGTGTGTCTGAAAATTGGTTTGCGCTACGACAATATGACATGGCATGACGCTTTGAAGCTCGTCCCGGTTTGTGTTTCAATGTTTAGAGAGGTGGATTAGAGTAGGATACACACACACATTCCTTTGATCGTGATGATGGCTATGATGGCTCTTCTCTACACAATACCACTAAGGACAGACTATGTGCTTGCAGACATTTTCACGATGCTCGCCTGACTAGGCATATACAATCGCAGGGAAAAAATTGTCCGTTTGTTGAATCGACCAACCCTGTATGCACCCCAACCACCGACCGACCGACAGCCTTGCCAGAGCGGCTGTTCTTTATTCCAAAGGGAGGGGGGAAAAAAAGGGCACGGATGACAGGGGAACGACAACAACCAGTCCAGATTGCAAGCCTTGTGAAAGGACATGCAAAACATGCTTGCTCTCTGCCTCCAATCATCTGCGCTTCCGGCTTCCGACTTGTTTGCTTGACTTGCAGCTCTACCACGCACAGCATAGGTAACTACTCCTGATTCGTCTATTTCTATGTTCATTTTCGCTCTCAATTCTCAACGTTCCAGAGACCCACTCGGGAAAACCAAAATGACCTAAACAGAGAAGCATATTGCAACGGCCAAAATTGCCTGCTTACGGTCGTGGCGGCCGTCTCGTTCAGCATGGTAAATGATGCATTTTCCTTATGCGTGCAAAAAGGAAAAGCATGCATGCATGCAGGATTCTGCATGCTGATGTTGTCCTGAGGCGTTTTCTTTATGAGATCAGGAGTATCTTGCAAAGTCGGTCCGTCTTCCAAGGTAGGGCGACGTTAGCTCTGTGAAACAAGCGCCATTATGCGAGAGCCTAGGCGGGGGATTCCAAACTTGAAAGGGCAAAAAAAGGTTTCTTTAGCGAATCGACATGTCTCTCTTGCGCAGAAGCTTTCTTGTCTCTCTATCTCTATATCTCAAACGGACGTATCCCAGTTCCACTTTAGTACGACAAAACAAAATAGCTTTCTACAACGCCAAACAACGCTAGCACCGGAATGAAGGATGATTCCCATTGTGTGTACCAGGGATAGAGACGTCCGATGTCAATCATATTAGGTCTGTCTAGCTCCCTGGCGGACAAACTTCAGGACTCATCATCTAGCTAGCTGGCTGGCTACCAGCTGTTGCAAGGTTTCTTGATTGCCGGTTTCAATACAAGCCACAATTTGTCATATCGTATCTGTGCTCAAGTTTGACCAAAGACAAAGGCATTTGTCATTCATTAATTCCCTTCTATATATGTACTTATAAAATTGGACTTTCTCTTCCCTGGAGTGCAATCTTTTTCTTTACTCTATTGTACTTTTCCCTTGCCTTAACATCCAATTAATTCTTTTTTTCCCATCTAGCGTCTTCAAAAGGGCTGTCAGACTCATCGTCTATCTGGGTTTTGGTGGATGAAGAATCTCGCCATGTACCGCGGTTTCTATTCTATCAAGCAAGAAGAGGACTATATCATGTCTTCTTCCGCCCTATCTTCAGGCAAACACCATGGTATGAAGGGAGGTAGAGAGGCCCCTTCTACTTCTCCTGTTTCTGCGTCTGCTTCTGATCCGGAGAGCAAGAGTGGAAGTAAAAACAGACGTCGAATTCAACTCGCGGTACGATCCTTTCTTCTTTCTGTCAGAGAACACATTCTAATAACGAACAGTGCACACGCTGCCGAAAGAGAAAGATAAGATGCAGCGGCGAAACCTCTGATGGCGCGGCATGTACTAACTGCCAGGCCGCAAAGCATCGTGACTGTCAGTTCCTGCGGGTAAATATAATGCTCCTACACTCTTTCCGAGTAGAAGCATGCTTATCCAGTCCTTCTAGCCGGAAACGACTCAGCTATTACCAGCGCCAGGGAGTGCTCTGCCATTTCCTTATCATCATCCATCAATGACCAACAGCAATGGCAACACCCCGCTTATCACCTCAGCCAGCTCGGATTCTTTTGGCAGTCGAGTTCACCAACAACAAGCCGATCCTTCAACTCTGTCGCCTCTCGTGTACGGTATGACATATGCTAGATCCCAGTCACTGTCCGATCTGGGGAACTATCACCGAGTTGACTCGCTGCAAAGAGAGTCGCCCTACGTGGCAGCAGTAGCAGCAGCAGCAGCAGCAAGCAGCGGTGGCGCCGGGTTGATGGAAGATATCTACAATACGCCGTATGGTCTGCACAGCCCATCATGCATACCCGCGACAAGCACTTCCGATACTATGACGGACTACTACGGCTCTTTGGACAGTCCGAAGGCATGGAGTCATGCTGCTGATGTTGCAATGGCGGCTGACCTGGCGCGATCACAGAATACTATTTTCTACGGTAATACTTCCGCCTCCTTGTTCGTATATCAAATCATGCGAAACATAAACTAACCTAATCTACAGCAGCCGACGTCCCAACACTCTTCCCAACCGCAAACCTGCTTTCGCCCGGCGACATGTCCACACATCGCGTCTTGCCGATGCCCACGACCAGCACCGGTAGCGGTAGCGGCCCATCATCAGTGAATGTTGTCAATACACCGTACCTCCGCGACATGGATATGGTAGCAACTTCCGATCTCTCTTTTATCCCTGGGGGAGAAGACGACGACGACGATGATGAAGAAAGACCGACAAACATCTATTCCCCTACAGCTAAATCATCAAAGAGTTCATCCTTTGTAGGCAGGGTTTATGGTAAACCTGATGCTGCTACCGCCACACCAGAGCGTCTTTCACACGCTCTTGGTGGCCGGGTTGCTTCTTCACATCATCATCATGGCCACCATGGTCAGAACTACATGGCCAGATACACGGCAATCGCAGAGGGTTCTTTGGATACGCTCCCCATCACTACCACGTCATCGTCAGCGTTCACTCGGTCTGGCACCACGGATTCTTCGAGTGATATAGAAGAGCCGCTGATGATGTCGATGTCGAGAAAACGACGACAGAAGCAGCAACACTGAGCCGTCTGCCTTGATGCCAGAGTACGACGAACAGATCTAATTTCTCCGGCAATCAATCAGTCAGTTCAGCCAGTCACACCACATCATTGAATTCCTAAAATAGACTGGTCACTCTTTTTTTTCCCCTATTTTCGTCTCTGCAGTTTCACCCAGTTATCTATCTCGTTGGATATTTGGCCCTATATTATTTTCGGAGGCTACATTGTTGTTTTTGACTATAAAAAAGAGTACAAGGCGGGTCTGTCTTTTTAATTGATAATTATATATACACACAAAAAGGGGAGGGATTAATTGCAGGAATATCTAATGGGGAGGAATGGGAGTTGCTTTGTTTATATACTCTAGTTTAATCATGCTATATAATAAATTGAAGTCTGTTTGTTTAGGGCTTTGTGGACACGAGAACTATTTTGGTTATATACACCAACAACCATCTAAACCAACGCATGCAGCATTACTCAGGAACATGCACAGCCTTAATTTTCAACAGCGCCTCCGCATTTCTAAACACAAACTTCTCCCAATCCTCCTCCTTACCAATCAACCCACTCTCCCTAACCTTCTCCAAAAACTCATACCCTTTCTCATTTGCCGAAAACGGATAATCAACACTATACAGCACTCTCTCAATAGGCATCGTCTGCAACAAACACGCCAACGGCGGCAACGCAAACATCCCGCTCGTCGTAACCCAAACATTCTGCGTCCAGACTTCCTTCAGGCTGCGCTGGACGCCAAACCGCGCCGCAATGGCAAACACTCTATCCAATTGAAAGGGCAGCATTTCGCCCATATGCCCAATCACGATTTTCAGGCGCGGCAGATGATCGAATAATCCGCTCGCATATAGTTTTAGCAGTGACAGCGCAGTGTCCGAATGCCACCCCCAGCCATAGGCGCTCAGCGCGAGCGCAACGGCGTCGTCAAAGTCTCCCTTGTAGTGCTCCATGAGACTATCGTCTGCGTACGAAGGGTGGATGTAGATAGGCACGTCTAATTCCTGCGCCTTTTCGAAGACGGGCCAGAAGCGTTTTGCGTCGTAGAATTGCCCGTTTGTGTGGTTGTCGATGAGGGCGCCGACGAAGCCGAGATGCGTTACGCAGCGTTCGAGTTCTTGTGCGGCTTCTACTGGGGAGGTCATGGGTAGTAGAGCAAAGGCCTTGAAGCGTGCGGGATGTTTGGAGATGGAGGCTGCCAGGTCGTTGTTTGCTGCGATGCAGAGATGCGGTGGCTGGGCGCCGGGTCCATGGGAGATGACTTGCAGGGAGACATGGCCGTTGTCGAGGTCTTGGACACGCTCGTCGCCGACTGAGTTGAGCTTGGTGGTGATGTGTGCTGGAAAGTTGGCGTAGTGAGGGTCTTCGGCGATGTTGAGTACTTTGGAGGATATGTAGTGCTCCTCGAGGGTGATTATGGGGAGCATGGTGTTGGTCGGTCTTTGTGAAGATTACAGTCTTTAAGTACTTTGGAATTGAAACATTGGAACGAGCCAGTTTATTTTTTTATTGGGATATCGCAGCTATTTATGCCTTTTGCATTTCTTCATACTTCATTGTTTTTGTTATGTCCGAGATATAGCTAGATCTGCCCTAATTAGTACTAGCGCCATGGCAACCTCGGATATGCCCTTTAAAAAGTGGGCACTCGGAGATGTCCTCAACCCTATTAAAAAGAAATGTGCCCTCGGAGTTTACTCTCGCCTCTCAAAGCTCTGAACCATGTACAAAAGAACTAGGAATTTATATTGTATTGCTCATATCTGATGCAACAACTCTCTAGATACAACATGCGCCTCTCCCAGCGTCTCCTTCATGGCCAAAACTAGGTCATCCACGCCGCCCAGAAACAACAAGTACGCGCTCAGCGCGGCGCAAAATCTGCGATACTCCGCATCCTGCACTTTCTCCTTGCTCATAATCAAGTCAACATTAGGCATGGACCAGTGCGCGAAATGCCTCGTCACAAGCGGCGTCGGAAGGACCTCTGGCAGCGCATCGCCCGTCTTGAGCGTCTGCTCAATCACGCCCAAGACAGCCATCACATCGCCAATACTGTGGTGGTTGCGCATCCCGACTTGCCGGGAGAGGAGTTCCTGGTATTCCACGGATAGCGAAGAGGTGATGTAAAGGAGACGCGCGAGGGAGTAGTTGATTTGGACACAGAGTTTCTTAATCTGGCCCAGCGAAGCGCTGTCGAAGAGGGAAGTTGAGAACTCAAATCGCACTAATGCAATTAGCGGGTCAAGCGCGCCTAGGGATTGGGATAGTTGGATGGAGATTTGTCCGACAACGGCTTCGAGACCGGGAGTGTTGGGCTCGCCGAGAGATGAGAGTAGAAGTGCGTAGTGGTCGCATAGCGTCCGAATGCCTTTTGACAGTGCCCGGCAAAGATGTCGAGTGGCTGAGACGGGACGGGGAACGATTTGTACGATAATCGAAGCAGCAATTCCGATGAGGACAAGAAGTAACCGCCGCCAGAATATTTGATATCCGTATCCCGGTAAGCCGTAAGATGCAACGTGCCTGTTTTTTTTTTTTTTTTTAATTTCATATTAGTACATATTGGGGGAAAAAAAAGGGGGACACATTGATAGAGCTTACCCATAGTCAAACCCATATCCTACCACCAACAAGAACGTCGCAGCACACATCATTGACGGTAACAAGAAGGCACGTGGAAGGAAAAGCCGTGCACAGAGCAGCGGAATCAGCAGTACTCCAACAATAGCAGCCAGCCCATACGAATTTCCCTCACCACTACCGGACCCAATATACCAAGCGACCAGACCTAGCACGCCTCCAATCACTGATCCGATAACCCTGCCTAGCACCGAGTAAGTGAAATCAGCCATGTAAGCCAGCATGGTCGTTTGCCCCATGATCAAAGCCCACAAGCCTCTCTGTTTGTAATAGAAACCTGCCGTTTGAGGGAGCACAGCGGGTATAGCCAGAGCCAGCGACAACACGACAAGACGCAGTGCATAGAGAGAATCCGGGGATACGAGAAAGTGATAAAACCCACTAATGATTCTGGCCAATTTGGAGCGCTGTCTCTTTCGCGTACCCCGGACAATCCTTAGCTTCTCTTGAAGCAGGTCGGATTGATCGACAATCTCTTTATCTGGATCCTCAAACGAAGTCTCTGCGTGAACGGGCGCCTTTGCGGATCGCTTGAAGATCCAGCTAGCGGTGTGTCGAATTCCGGCAGGGAACCATATCCGGTTTTTGGTCCTTTCTTTGTAGAGCGAAGAAGCTTTCTCTAATAGTGGGATGATGCCGTCGACAGCGCTGAGAACATGTTCCTCAAAGACCATGCCGAAGATGACAGCTCGGAATCGGTTGCGTAGATGAGCGTCTAGAGTCTTTACCTTGCCATTGGCGTCGAACAATTCGGCATTAGCCTCTAGCAAGTCGTCTGTCGTCTTTTTGATAAAGGAGGCTCGTGCAGCGCGCAGTTTCTCAAGCACAGCCTGGCTTTGTTCAGCGTGTTTATCAAAGGTTTCCTTGGGCAACCGACTAAATAGCCTTGTCGTATTGACATCGTGTATACAATCCTTCACAGAGTCCAGTGCTTCAAGGCAAAGTTGGATAACATCCGTCCCGTCCCTGCGCAGCATATCAATGGTCTCGGCTTGCACCTCGAGAGAGTCGGTGTCAGTGATGGCTTTGAGAAAGGTGGTGAACTCGTTTATTTGATGCAATCCGACTTTTTTGTTGTTCTTTTGAAGCTTGGCCTTTTCCTTCAATAAGTTTTCTCCTGCTGCCTCTGCCGCTGCATCCTGCTTGTTCTCCTCTACTTCCGATTCCTGCTCAAACGAAGAAGGGTCTGAAGCAGACGAACCAGGAGGAGCAGCAGAATCAGATGGCATTGTTGCCAAAGCTTTGCGGGCCTGGAGTGTATTTCGAAGTCGAAACAGTCGTAGATTCAAAACATTCACAGTACTGATAAAAGCGCCACGGAGCTTTTCGTCCAGACTCACAATATCCTTGTCGCTCCACCGACCAACGCTAAAGTCAAGCTTCAAGAACCCGAGCGTTGGCTGTAATGCCTGCCATTGACCGAGAAGACTCTGCTTAGCTCCATTCAGAACCGCCAGATCCTGCTGTTCTGCCGATTCCGAGTCCGGGTAGTCTTCTATAATAGCCTTCAGGGGCACCTTCAGCCCATCCACAATCTTCTCCATCATTTCCAGAGTGATATGAGAAGTAGACTGCGGAAACAGGAACAACGAGGAGACAAAGGCAAGTCCCAATCCGATAGAGGCCGGGATAATAATGACCTTTGGCAAAGTCCCCTTAAAACTAGGCATCAATGGGCCGTAAGTCATGAAAAGATCGGTGATGATAATCCCAAAAAGCTGTGTAAACGTAAATTTGGGATTCTTCATCCGTATGAGAGCGAGGACGTAGATAAACAAAAGGCCAAGAGCCAGGAAAACAGCCGAGACACGGGCATCCAGCATATATCCATCAAACACCAAGATCTCTGCCTCGATCGAGGCAGAGACGCCTGTCTGATTGGCCCGTTGCTGGGCAACTTGCTCCAAATGCATCAATTGGGCCTGGGTCTCTGCGGCCGGACGTGCCGCTAGGGCTGCTTTCATAACGATACAGCCCCATCCCCAGGCCAGGAACATGCCAAGCCAGAGAGACAATGCGGTGAAAACAAAGATCATTTCAATGCCATTGGGAGGGCACATAAATTGAGCCAATCTGCGGTTATCAGCCATTTGTACCAATGCACCCCTTGGAATACAGTGACTTACACGGTGAAAAAGGTGGCGAGACCAATGGTATGTAAGGTCGGGTAAATCACCATCAGCAAGAAGCCTATCCATGCTGGAAGCCAGCATCGGAAGAGCGTTTTCAGGGCGCGGGGGTTGACATTCAGCCAGGAAGGCATGTTGTGCCGTCTACTTTGCGCGAGAGCAGTGCTCTGCGCAGGAGACGAATGGGATGAAGACTGACGGGGAGGACGGGATGGACGGAGAGACAGATGTTTATATATACAAGCATAGAAAATCAGGAGTCCACGCGCAGGAAGAAGAAGGGAGAGAGAGGATGCTCGCGGACCCCATCCTTCGATAGTGTAGGCTCTAGAGCCAATGGGCTCGAACTGTCCAATCACAGCGCCGCCCGTGCTGACGCAGCGATGCGATTGGGTTGAGTCAGCAGCCGGTCTAGCCGCAAATGGTCAAGCCAGGAAGCCCCGGATGGGCTGGATATGTCCTATTTCGGGTTTTATGAAGCCGATCGCTTGACTATCACTTTGGGTCATGGAAAGCTATACAGTTGAACTCCTCGAAAGTCAGACGGACAAGATCCCAATTGACAGCGCAGAAAGGATGCAGTTCAATTCATCACGACACAGTCTTTCTAACTCGCAATCTCTTAACTCTTACAAGACCTCGAAAAGTATCGTAAAGGGGTATTCTGGAATTTGTTCGTTTCTTTTGTCTTTTTTTTTTGTCTTGTCAAATGCAGAGAGTTTACAGAATCACAACGGGGATTTCTTGAACTTGTCCCAAATAACAAGCACAAATGTGAAGATTTCGTAAAGAGAAGGAATAAAAAAAAAACGGGGTTCGTTTTTTTTAAAAAAGAATAATTTATTTCCCAGATTTCGTAAATCAATGCAATTAACAACGCCCTCTTTTGTATCACCCCGGAATCGGACGTCAGACGCTTTAATCCTTGCTCTTCTTGGGGCCCTTGGTCTTGGCAGTACCCCGGAACTTCTTGGAACGGTTCTTGCGTTGCTTGCCTGAAGGGATGTTAGTTCATGTCACGCAATGGACAAGGAATGTGTATAATCCAATGGAGAGAGTATAAACGTACGTTGCTGTCGGCTAGCCTTCTCAATCTTCTGGGCAGCACCGATACGGACGAGACGGTAGTGAGGCTCGAATTTCTTCAGGGCCTCGTGGGAGTCGTAGACGAGGGCGAAACCAGTGCTCTTGCCACCACCATACTGAGTGCGGAAACCGAAGACGGAGACTTGGTCCTGGTTGGCCTTGTAGAGATCAGCCAGCTTGGAGCGGAGATCTTCCTTGGAGACGTTGGCGCGGTTGGGGTGGAGGACGTCACTAAACACAGCATTAGAATTTTTTTGTTCTGCATCGACAGTCTGTTCATCGACAAGAGAGAGATTTATGAAAGAAATTCCATCTGTTTTGTACGATGGTCGCAGATTTCTTCCGGTATATGATGTTGATGCAGCCCGAGAGCAGCCCGAGAACGAGAACGAGAACGACGTGGATGCGGACGCGAGTGAATTGTGCATATCCCATGCAACGATTGAAAAAAAAATCCCTCTCTTTTTCTTCCCCGGTAAAAGAGAATGTCCACCTCACTGATATTCCACCTCAAATCACAATATCTCTAACCAACTCGATTCTTTATTTGCTTCCTCGAAATCGATACCAGTCGCCCTCGCTCGCTCGCTCTCGACCGCATCACATCCACCAGTCGTAGAAAAATCGCATCGTAAAAACCAGACCCGAAACAGGGAAAAATAAAACCTGATACCCAAAGATGGAGATGAACAGAAAGGAAAAAAAAAGGTGAGCTTACACGACCATCTGCTTGCGGGCAAGAAGAGGGTTGCGGATGAACTTGCGCGTCCGCAAGGTAATAGGAGCGTCGGCCATGATTATTTTTTTTTCTTCTTATCGATGTTCTTGTCGAAAAAGAACAAAGTCAGGGCGAAAGAAAAAAAGAAGGAAGAAAGGTTGGTCGATGGCTGGAACTTCCCTAGGCTAAAGTCTCTCTCACGCACACAAAGTAATTTTCGTGCGATTTCTTCGAAAAAGTCATGTGGGCTGAGCGCTCGGCTAGGGCCCGCCAACACGCGCTAACGCTGGAAGGGGTTTAGTGGGTATGGTGTTGCTGGCGGGCCAATCAGGGCGGTTGCTTGCTGTGGTTTACTAATCGATACTATGATGATTCTTCTTCTTGTTGACTCTGCATGGTTCTGTTTACAATTTATTATCATTGATATCATGGAGTCCCCTACGCAAGCTCCAGGAGATGGTATCTCACGTCTCATCGCACAATATTTCGAACTGGTAGACCTCAAACACCTGGCTATACCTTCATCATCCGTCCTCAAAACACCCATTACCCAGCAACACATCTACGATGACATGTTTAATGAGGATCTCCTTTCACCCCTCATACCACCAGCTACCTATCGACTAAGAGTGCTGAAACAAATTATAGCCAGAATCGAGAATGATCAGCAATGGGATCCGGAGGAGGATGTATGAACAACTCCGTACATTGTAGAAGTATGTAAATAGCTGATGTTCTGCGTAGGAAATCATCGAGCCTTTAATGATGGCCATGACTGATTTGATGTCCCAACCATCGAATCATCACTCGTCCGAGATGATGATGATGGCGGACGCGGAAGAACCGCAGCTTTCTTTCGTCTCTTATATGGTCCCGACAAGTGCTGCTGCCCTGACTGATAGGGAAAGGAAACAAGTGACGACCTTTGAATCAAGAGGGCTGATATACGGCTCCGGGTCGACGGGCTTCCGTACTTGGGAAGCAGCGTTGCATCTTGGCACGTATCTTGCTTCTAGCGATGTTGTGCGAGGTAAGAAGGTGATTGAACTCGGAGCTGGAACCGGGTTCATTTCGTTGTTGTGTAAGAAATTCCTCGGCGCTGAGAGGGTCCTCATGACAGACGGCAATGTGAAACTGGTTGATTTGTTCAACGGGCCGTGTCTAGAACAGAATAGCTTCTTGACTGAAAATGCGAAGGATGAGGCTATTCAAGGTAGACAATGGTTTTGGGGTGAGCCATTGCTACTGGAGGGTGAAGATGACGAAGATAATAAGGAGTTGGTTCCGGAGCAGTTCGATATTGCTCTGGGTGCTGATTTGGTAGGCAATTCTGTGCTCTTCATCTCTAATCCTGGTCTGACACCGATAGACATACGACAAATCCATCGTCCCTCTCCTGGTCGACGCCATGACACGTTTATTCTCGTCTCACGGCGTGAAGAAATTTATATTGTCAGCAACAATCCGCAACGAAGAGACCTTTAGCGCTTTTCTCGCGGCCTGTCGTAAGTTTTGACCCAAGTATATATCTCCCACAATGTTCAGAATTTTGGACCACTGAACAAGCCATTCCAGACAACTCTCAATTTTGCATGGAGAAATCCAGCTTTGAATCGCCGCCTTTCGAAACACAAACCGGGTTTTTCCATGCTACCCAGACCCCGATTTGGACATATATAATCTGGCCGCCAGCAGCCTGATCTTTTTTTTTTTTTAATATACAGTGCAGTGCAAATCTCACTTTCAACCATTACAAAATGCGTACGCATTATGAAGCCCGTGGTTATCACCAATATACCTCATGATCCCACAAACCCACCTGGCCAGTCGGCGATCCTCTTCCTCTTCCGCCACAAACGTAACTTGAGCCAATCGCAAAGGCATCATTAGGAAATACGCGCCCGTAATGCCATGGCCCGGCTGGAGAAAATATTCTGCCGAACGACAAATCTCAAGGCCGGCCTCGCGGCCAGTTGTTATCTCGTCGGGGAATTTTAGGGCTTGGTTGGTTTTGTTGTTATGTTCCGCTCTTTGCGGCGTTGATGCTGTCATGCCAATTGCAGTAGCTATGCAGCGGAGGAAGTAAAGGCAGGAATAATAGACTCCCATTTCGGTGCAGCTTTGTAGGTCTTGGTAGTAAATGATGCTTTTGAATAAGGGGCTGCCGTTGCCGTCGCGTGAGAGTTTGCCGTGGGCGTGGCTACTATCCACGTTAGTGATAGGAACCTCGTAGGCAGATCTAGGTTTGAGGATTTCCCAGTCTAGGCGCATGTCAAGTAGCCTCTCATTCAAAGCGGCAATTGATTCGCGCATCGAGGCTACAATGCGTTTCCTTTCAAGGCTTGTTGTGGCCTGGCGTAGTGTTTCTTGGTCCTGCAATAGAGAGGGGATACACAGCAATATATCAAGGAAACGATTAACAAATCCTTTCCCTTCTGGCGTGCCTCCTCCTTCTGGTATCCAGGGAATAGTCTGCCATTGCTCGTCGGCAAGGAAGGTTTTTTTATCCTCTTCAAGGGCCGGGATTAGCTATAACAATGACAATCCATTAGTGACGAGTTGCAAACAGAACATACATAGAATAACGTACTATTAGTGATCTCGCTCTCAGAAACAACCTCCTTGCCGGCCCATATCTAAACGCGTGCGGGCCCTGCATCTCAATGAGCTTTGCGAGGGCTTTGAGGTGATAATTCCGCGCCAAATCGTTGTCCGACTGAATCATCTAGACAGCCCATCAGCCTGCAATCAAAGAGAGAGAGAGAGAGGTAGAAGTAACCAAACCTCATACAGAGCCAAATTCAGCATCGAATCCATCAACGGCACCACCCGTCTCGAAACCGCCAGCGCATTGCTCCTCACATCCATCAAATCCAACCTCAAATTTTTGACCGCAAACCCATACAACTCCGCTGCGTGCCCGAGACTTGCGTGACTGCCACATTTCTGTCCATGTAGACCGAGCGCGAGCGCTTGGAGCGTTACGCCGGGCAAGAAGGGGCGTTTGCTGCTCGTGCTCATCACGAGATCTTTGTCACTAGCAGTAGCAGCACCGCCGCCAGCACTCGCAGGATCAGTATCATCAGAATGATGCGGACTATAATACCACGAACTAAAATCCGTATTCCGCGGCACAAACACCCCGCGCAGGAAGCTGATGACTGACGCATCGAGGTTTCGTTGAAGATCCGTGGTGCTATAGAATTTCAACCCTCTTTTCCGATCGTGTCCTTCATCATCATCATCTTCTTCTTCTTCTTCTTCTTCTTCTTCTTCTTCTTCTTCTTTGGATGTGACACCAGCACGCATCAGAGATGAGGATGGAGACGATATAATCAATCCATGCTTCCCTCGCGTCCAGTACGTCTCATCGACGAATTTGATGGGTTTCTTGTAGCCGGCGCATTGCAGGCCGGATTTGTGGCAGCGGTTGCATGTTGGACGGGTTTCGTCTTTGGGCTGTGTTAGTTCCTTTTTCTTCTATTCTGTCGTTGTGATTGTATCTATACGTGGAGTAGTAGGAGTAGGAGGAGGACGACATACCGCATTTAATCCGTCGCGCCTTGCAGTTGGTGCATCCTTTACTTCGGCCTGGGCCTGGCATGGCTGTGCTTCATGAATGTAGGTACAAAAAACAAGACGGAAGGAAATAGGTAAATAGACATGAAATTGTTCAACTAAGCGATTCAGCGTATTGCGTTGGATATGTATAAGGAGAATGGGGCTGAAGCCGACAGACTTGGAAGCGGATATCAGACTCCACCATGCAAATCGATGCCCATGAACAAGCTGAGACTAAAATATAAATTAGTAAACATGGAATAGTATGAACCCAAATATTTACCACGGAGAACGTAATATATCCTTATGAAAACGCAGTGAACTGTAAGTAGGGGGATTGGAAATATGGATGCCTACGCTGTATCGCGTATTAGTCTCTTTTTCATACGTCTACAATAGAATACAACAGTTCTATGTATAGAGTATGAAGTGATCGTAATGCATTTGTGTACGCCGTAGCATATGTACAAGATTCGCCAGTAGATACAATGAAACAAAATGACAAACCCCCAACGCCGGTTATATTCAGCAGTACAAGAAAAAAACGGATAAGCTAATCCTTCGACTTCGACTTGCTCTTTTCTTTGCTCTTCTTCTTCTCCTTCTTCTTCTCCTCCTTCGTCTTTGGCGTCTCTTCCGCTACCCTATTCTCTGCAACATTGACCTGGGGCGTTGTCGGAATACCACCGCTCATGGCAGTCAGATCCCGGTGCCTGTGTGCTAGAACAGGACCAGAGCGTTCCAGCTCGTCGAGTCGCGCCTCTTCCTCAGGCGTAAGCATAGTACCCTCGATACTTAAGAATCCACGATCCGGATCCGCGCCCGGAATAACGTCGACATCGCGGACACGGAAACGGATCGTTCCTCGCACACGATGGCCAGACACGCTCTGGAAATACCCCGTTGTATTGGGGTCATCTTCATCCTCATCATCATCCTGTCCATCTTCCAGCGTGTTATCGGTAGGGATGGGTTTGCGCGTAACTGCTTTGGGGAGAGGAGTGAAGAGTTCCTTTTCCGGGTTGAAGTCTAGCTTATTGTCCTTCTTATTGCCGCTGTCCTCATCTCCCGACGTCGCGGATACATAGCCCTTTTTACGATTCTTGCTGGACACACTAGCCGTGTCGTCGTCCTCGTCCTCATCACCATTGGCGCCCGGCGGGATCCATTTCCAGCTTTTGGGCACTCGTTTCCGCTCAATGCCTACGGAAAACAGGTTATAGGCAATCGCACCCAGGAACCCTTCAGACTGCACGTTCACCCAGCCGTCTAGAATCTGGCCCTTTTGCGGGCTGAAGACCAGGAATGTAGCGGTAAGATAGAGATACAGAACGCCGTATTCGTTGGCGGTTAGTGCCAGAGTTAGCGGCTTCGGAATATCCGAGTTATCGTCGCCACCTGCGTTGACTTGGCCCGGTGTTGTGGGCGGGGTGCTTGATATTGAGGCATTGGAGTAGGCGAGCACGATGCCCTTGAAGGGAGGGTAATAAGTCAAAAGAAGCGGTGCGAGATGTTCTGTTACGAGTGAGGCTTGCGCATGGGTGGGGGATATCGAGATGGGAGAGAGCGGCAGGTACAGAGTCGCATTGATAAGGCGGAATGGCGATCCGGGGTCTGATTTGACCGTTGCTGCAGTCACGGTTGCTTGAGAAGCTTTTGGCGTTTGACTTTGCTTTGGGGTTGTGGGAGAGGAGGAGATGGCGTCTGCGTCGGGCAGGGTCACATCGAGGTCATCCGAGGCTGTGACTGCGTGCTTACGCTTTTTGGAGGGTGAGTGCTCCTTGTTCTTGTGTTTTCGTTTCTTCTCCGGCAGAACTTGACTCATTGTATCGGCGGACATTGCAATTGGTATGAAAGTCGTGTATGAGCTGGCTGTGATGGGATTGCTGGAGAAAAAAAAGTCGGCAGTAAAAACTAAGTCTTTGCGAGGCGGGAGAAAGGCGGTGAGAGGTGACGGCTTATGACTGGCCTTGACCAACCACGAAGTAAACACCACTTCTTACTTATCTAGACATTCAAGACAAATACTGGAATTGCATTGCCTGGTCTTCTTGACGTGTCTCAGACATGCGGAGCTAGAGGCGAAATTAAGCAGCGCTCACATTTTTCCATTATGTCAGGTATTCTATCATTTTTCGGCTGGGCCGTTCTACCAAATGTACGTATCTTCATTCCAGGCACACACACACACACACAGAGAGAGAGAGAGAGACAGACAGAGCAAAGCTGACGTGACTAGTATGTGACTTCAATCCTTCAAAACGTGTATTACGGCCTCACCATCCGTGCCGGCGACCCACGCCCGCAACCCGGCTCGCCGCGCTTCGACAAGCACCGACGTCGCATTTTCATCTTCGCCGTCACCCTCTACCTCTTCTACACGCTCTACGAAAGCTTCCATGAAGTACGCGCAGCCGGCGACTTCTACAGCGTCTTGGGCGTGTCGCCCTTGGCCGATGAGCGCACCATTAAATCCCGATTCAGGCGGCTGGCCGCCCAGCACCATCCGGACAAACTAAGTCAGAGCCAAGCCCAGCAACAGTCATCCGATGGCTTCTTTGTCTACTTGAAACTAGCTCAGGATACGCTGCTTGATCCCGCACGACGGTTTGGCTATGACCGGTTTGGACCGCAGGTAAACGACTGGCGGAGTGCGCGGACAATGCACGATTTCTTGTACGGAGGTTTGAGTCAGGCGTTGCTCCAGTATGCGGGTGGGCTGGGGACTATTTTGGTCTTGAATTTTGTCTATTGGTCGCCATGGGGTCGCTTCGTGAGTTCTGCCAACCCCTTGATTCTCCGCCATGTTCGATTTCTAAATCAGATCAGTGGCGATTCTATACTTTTGCTGCTCTGGTCGTGCTCGAAATGGTCTTGGTGACACGGCCACTCGCCTTCGTTATATCTTCGGAGTCTTTGCCTACGATGCTGCAGCCCGCCAGGACGTCGGCGTTTTATCTGTTACCCTTCCAGATCATATCCCTCGCACGCCGGGTTTCGATTACAGTGCACATCTTCATCTCGCAACTCACGCCACTATATGTGTCTCGCACAGCGGCAGCGAGTGCCAGCGGCGCGGTACTGAGTTCCCAGACGATGCAGCGCTTAGGGCAGGTCGCGCAGCTGTCACGCATGACCGACGTGGAAGCATCGCGGCTGTTGGAGCTGAGCCTGAGTCCGTTCCGGGGCGACGGGGAAAGCGTAACGACGCTGCGGCGCGGGATGAAGGAAGGATTGGTGGTTGGGAGTGTGCGGAACACGCCTGAGGTGCAGGAGGCTGTTGCCCAGGTACGGCGGCGGCGGCGGCAGGCAGACCATTAATTTGTAGAATTTTCTCATAGTAATCGCTAAATCGCTAAATCGCTCAATCCCCAAGTCACTACGTAGGCTATATTTCTATGCAGAGACAACACGTACATTGTAGTGCTAGCAGTGCTACGTTGCAACCGCGACCGTTGGTGAATCAATTCGATGGTTGCGGTGGATCGACTAGCAGGCGTAGTACGAGCGCTGCATGGATCATCGTCGGGCCAAGCCCGGATGGCACGGTACGGAATTGGCTCGCGGATGGATGGGCAGGTATGATGAGACATGCGAAGTCGATAGACATACAAAATGCGAGCATCAGACGGTGCATGGCATACATATCCCTGCGCACGGAGTATGTTGGTTGGACGGAAGAGAGAAAGAGAAGTGGCTGGGATGGACGAAACCGGTAATATTACCATACCGGCGTGTGACGGCAGGCGCTGGCAGCGGGCGTACGATACGGTACAGGCGGGTGACCAGACAAGGGAATGGGAGGCCCGCGACTTCTTCGAATCTAATCCACAGACGACCACCTGAAGGCCAACCCAGCGAAAGACCAAAACCAAACAAAATTACCACAATGGATTCTCGCTCCTTGTTTTCTTCTCCCTCCTCCTCCTCCTCACCACCACCACCACCACCTCCCCCCGTCAGCCTTCCCCTGCTCACCACCCTCGCCATCGCCGTCGCCCTCGCTCAACACCACGCTGCTATCGTCGGACTATGCCACATTCCCTCCGCTTTGCCGTCGTTGCCTTTGCCTCCTGTGCCGACCGGCTTGCCTCGTGCTGACCGCAGCCCCTTACTCTGCCTGACCGCCAGCGTCACCTCACCACCACGCTTCTGATTAATTATTAGCATCGTATTAATTTGCTCGTGCTACACCCGCGACGAATAATTTAATTTCTGCACAACACTTCAGCCATCATGCCGGCGTCGTCGTCCAAGAACACCGCCGCCAGCAGCAGCACCAACAACAACAACACCACACAAAGCCGGACGATCGTCCTCAAGCTGTCGTCGACGCTCCTGAGCCGCTTCCCCAGCGACAGTCCAGCCGTCGACGACAAAGACGTCAAGGTCAAGGACGCCTCGTCGCCGCCATCATCCACCAGCGGCGAGGCCGGTCTCCAGGCCTCCTCGTTCGACAATGCTTCCGACGCTGCCTCGACCCCTGCCGCAGCCGAGGGCAGCGGCAAGGGCAAAAAGGCCGGCGCTGCTGCTGCTTCCAGGGGCACCAAGCGAGCGCTCAACCAGAATGGCGAGTCCAAGCCGCCGCGAAGCAGGCCTAGCGTGAAGAAGCGACTGAAAATGTATTCCTTTCCTGCTTCTGGGTGCCTTCATCAAGATCAATTTTGCTAACCAGTGAATAGGGACGAAAAAGCCCTCGATGCCTCCAAGCTCATGCCGCCCAGCCACAAACTAGGCCCCAAGGCAAACCAGGGCGCCATCAACGCGGGTCTGCGAGCGCTCGACCGCAGCGGAGCGCCATGTCGGAAATGGGAGCGCAAGCCATTCCAACTCAAGAGCTTTACGGGCGTGGTATGGGGACTATCCAGTTGGCGCACCCCGAAGGCGGAACAGACGGCCGAGTCGAGCAGCGAAGAAGCGAACGGCGTCGCTGTTGCTGTTGTGTCCGCTGCCAACGGCACTGGCACTGCCGACAGTGACAGCAAGGCCAATCCGATGAGCAGTGCTGTGCCGAGTGAGAAGAGCAATGCTGGCGAGGGCGATCTCCCGTCGCTGCCTCCTAGTACTGCAGAGTCTCCGGTGCCTATGATCACTGCATAATCTTGTTCTACTCTTCTACTATGTACATTATCCGGTTTGACTTTTTTTTTTTCTTTCTTTTTTTTCGTTTCTGCTGTTCGGATAACCTGGTGTACGGCTGGATGGGCATACGGGATTGGCATTTTGAGGGTTTTCTTTTTTTTTTTTTTTTTTTTTTTTTTTTTTTTTTTTTTTTTTCTTTTTCCGTTGCTTGCCGGCGTTACGACACTTGGGCTCTTCTTACCTTTCGGTCACCCACGGTATGTGTGTATCATTGTATAATAAATATAAATCGCGGATCAGGAAAACATTCACATCCACCTCCACCAAGTAAGGAATACGTCACCATCGACGGAGTTCCGCTCGGTCAGCCAACGCCGACAAGCTAACTTCACTACTAATAAATGCCTCGGCCGTATGCACAGATTGGGTAGGTAGACCACGCTTTGCTTGCCACATTCTGGCATGAAACAATGGAAAATTTTGGGGAAAGAAAAACACTGGAAATGGATGCCAATTACTAAGCTTGAATTTAAATTGTGGATATTCATATTTTGACCACCCATATATATATCACCATGGATATAGCCGATCGAGTTCTGGAGAATCCTCACATCATATCCATCCATACCTCATACCTATATCTACAATGGTCCAAAACAAAGCCCTCGTCTACAAGAAACTGCCCTCGGGCACCCCCGTCGTCGGCGAACACCTGGCCATCGAAGCGCTCGACTTCGACCTCAGCCAGCCCATCCCCGATGGCGGCCTGCTCGTGCGCGGCCTCTACTTCAGTCTGGACCCGTACATGCGCGGCCGCATGCGCGATCCGCTCACCACCAGCAGCTACGTGCCAGCGTTCCCCCTGGACAAGCCCATGGTAGCCTACGGCCTGGTGCAGGTCATCAAGTCCGCCAACCCCAAGTACGCCGCGGGCAGTATCGTGTTTGGCATCTTTGAGATTGCCGAGTACAGTGTTGCTGCTGTGCCCGCGCGGTTTGAGCTGCCGATTGGGCAGACCATTGACAGCAAGGAGTTTGTTGCTGCTGCTGCTGCTGGGGGCAGCAAGAAAGTGAATGGGGTCGAGCTGTCGTATTACCTGAGTGTTCTGGGCATGACGGGTCTGACTGCTTATTCGAGTTTGTATGAGATCGGGCAGCCCAAGAAGGGCGAGACCATCTTTATCTCGTCTGCGGCGGGCGCGGTGGGACAGATTGTCGGGCAGATTGCGAAGCGCGAAGGGCTGCGGGTGATTGGGAGCGTGGGCGATGATGCCAAGCTGGCCTTCATTGTGAATGAGCTGGGCTTTGATGCTGGGTGGAATTATAAAAAGGGCGAGACGCCGCTGGAGGCGTTGAAGCGGTTGGCGCCGGAGGGCGTGGATATCTATTACGACAATGTCGGCGGCGAGCAGTTGGATGCTGCGCTGCAGACGATGAATGTTGGGGGGAGAATTGGTTTGTTTCTGACTTGCTTCTTCGTTCCCTTGATGTGAAGCATGGGCTGACGGTCGCGGCCAGTTGTCTGTGGCATGATCTCGCAGTACAACCTGCCAGCGGGTGAGTACATATTCTTCCCAAGCTACCTAGGTTGGCCCCAAACTAACGCTTGACAGACCAAAAATACCCAATCAAAACCCTCGGGGCCCTCGTCTCAAAGAGAGTCAGAATGCAGGGCTTCCTCGTCAACGACCCGGACTTTGGCCCCAAGTACTTGAAGGAGAGGAACGAACGCATTTCAGAGGTGAGCTCTGTCCCTTTCTATGAGATATATATAATATATATATGTCTGGACAGACTGTAGACTGACAAAACGCAGTGGCTCGCCGAGGGCAGCATCGTGTGCAAAGAGGATGTCAGCTATGGCATCGACTCGGCGCCCACGGCGTTTGTGGACATGCTCGCGGGCAAGAATTTTGGCAAGGCTGTTGTCAAGGTTGCTGATCCGGAGTAGATTATACCCCTGTACATATATACCGTCTAATTAATTGCAGATGTTGGTATTATATTGAGATGCATCCTAAGTCCGGGGCTGCCCTTAATCAGGCGGCCATGCAGGCCCGCCACTGTCACTGTCACCGTCTCTATCCATGTGTCCGGTAGAGGGCAGACGTAGCTGAAATTTACACGGTAGGAGAGGCCTCGGTAAAGCATTTCCTGGCTGTTCTCTTTTTTTTTGTTTTGGCAGACTTTCCAGGGCTTCTGCTTCTATCCGCATTCAGAGGTCAGCTACGTAGTAACGCAGTCAAATCGGGGAGTGCTTGACCTAAGTCGGCCAGGCCGTGCGAATAGCAGCGGAGACAGATCCATATTGCTCACTGCTTCTCGAAATTCGGTGTAAGCTCCAGGTGGAATCAGCCAAAAATGGCTGCGTTAGGCACGCACGACCATGAGCCCGCCGCTCTCTCGCGCGGGTGGAGCTGCGGCGACGTCGTCGTCCTCCTCTACCTCCACCTCCACCTCGGCCTCTACTTCCTCCTCTTCATACGCTTCTGTCGTCGCCAACAACTCGTCCTCATCCTTTCCTCGCCATCTCGCGACTTCTTCTCGCCGCTTGCCCCATCTTCACCGTCCGGAACATCCCACCGCCGACGCCGCCACTACCACCTCCCCTACCAGCAGCACATCCTCAGCATCCTCCCCGCAGCTGCTCCCCCATACCGCATCGACAGCAACAGCAGCAACAACAACAACAACAGCGACAACAGCGGTTACCACAGCCCGCCGCAATTCTATACTCGTCCCTGCCACGCATGCAGATATGCAGATGAACTATGGCTGGAGGCGGTCCAGCGGCCTTCCTTCTTATTCCCGGCAGTTCGCTAACATCCCCGACTACGCAGGCGCCGCTGGATCCGGGCCTGGGCCTGGCGCCAATGGCTTCCAATCGTCATTTACATCATTAGCAGCCGCAGCAGGCTTTGTACCTAGCATTACTGCATCCGCCTCTTCCCCCTTCTCTGACCCTTCCTTTTTCATCCCATCCTACCTCCGCAACTCCCGCTACGTTGCCCGACTAGAAGCTGCCCGGCGCTCGAAGCTGGCCGCTGCTCAACGTGAGCCTCCTCCTCCTCCGTCTGCATCAGTGCCAGCATCAGCATCCGCGTCGACATCCAACATCATTAATACCAACCAACCATCACTCTCCGCCTCGTCGAGCCATGCCAGTCTCCACCGCATGGTGCCTTCGCATCGAGGCATGACGCACGATATAGCGGAGAAGGAGCCCGCCATCGTAGAGGATAAACCGCAGCCGCTGCCCTCTCGCTGGAACGATAGTGACAGACACGAAGGTCTCGATTTGCTTAATGATGGCATGGAGGTGCGCTATATGGGCCATCCGCACAAGGCGGATTATGAAGCTGCTTCGGTGCGCGCAGACTTTCCGATGCCGCGCGAGGGCGGGATATATTATTATGAAACCACCATATTGGTCAAGCCGAGAGATGCGTATGTAGAAACCATCCTTCAAATTCAAAACCGTGGAACATACGGGTGTGCCTGAAATTAACACGCTGCAGGGTCATTGCCATCGGCTTCTCATCGTCAAAAGCGTCTCTGGAGCGATTGCCCGGCTGGGATAGCGAGTCGTGGGCGTATCATGGCGACGATGGAAAGGCGTTTATTGGCGAGTCGCAGGGCCAGGGCCGTCCTTATGGTCCTACGTTTTCTGTTAATGATACTATTGGTTGTGGCATCAATTTCACGACGGGATGTGCTTTTTTTACGAAGAATGGGATTATGATTGGTATTATTCTTCCCCCCCCGTTCTGCAATACGCAACTAGCAATGACTGACAGGTTGATGTAGGAATCGCATTTAGAGACCTGCCGGCTTCGAAGAGTATAGCTTTTTACCCGTCTATCGGCATGAAGAGGCATCATGGCATGCATATTAGGACCAATTTTGGCCAGCAGCCGTTTATGTATGACATTGATGGACTCGTCAAGGTGCGTTCGACCCTGTTTCTTTCAATTCGACTGACTTGCCTGACTGGTTCGTTGCTGCAGAAAGATAAGCTCGCCCTTCTCTCCGAGATCAACGAGACAAGCACCGCCAATCTTCAGCCTCCGTTAGACGAGGCCACGCTGCTGCAAGAACTTGTGGCTCAGTTTCTGGCCCAAGATGGCTATTACGAAACCGCCCACGCGTTTGCAGAAGAAGTGCGTCAAGAGTCGGTGATTCTGGAGAACGGGCAGTCACGATCACTCTATCAATACGAGCCAGGAGAAGATATTGATGCAGCGCATCGACAGAGTGAGTAATGAGTTACCCTAAGTATGTATATATAAACTGACGTGCAAGCAGAAATCCGCGCTGCTATTCTGGAAGGCGATATTGACAAAGCTCTAAAATATACAAATGCCTACTTTTCCCAGGTCTTACAAGACAACCCCCGTATACTGTTCAAACTCCGGTGTCGAAAATTCCTCGAAATGCTGTGCAAATGCAGCGACATATCGAGTGCAACAACAACAGCTAATAAAAAGCCGATTCATAGCGACGACCAAGTACTTGAGCCTGAAGAAGGCGAAGAAGAAGAAGACATGGAGGTCGATGACCAGGATGGCTACTCGGATGCAGACGGAATGGATACCGAAGAGACCACAACAGTAACCACCGATGACACCGCCAAATTCCACGACCTCCTCACCGAAGCCGTTCAATACGGACAACAACTACGAATGGACTATCTGTCGGACGAGAATGCGGGCGATAAACAGTATCTGGCTGATATTTTTTCGCTGGTGGCGTATTCGGATCCTCGATCGTCTGTGCATGGGCACCACCTTGACGCTTCGGGGCGGGTTGCAGTGGCCGATGATCTGAATTCCGCCATACTAGGTACGTCTCTTTATTCTCTATGAAGATGAAAAAGAAAAAGGTTAACATCCGCAGTATCCCTCGGCAAGTCATCCTCCGCCGCTCTCGAGACTCTCTACTCCCAAACGGAAGTCCTCGTCAACGAACTGAGCGAAGACGGCGGGACCGGGTCATTGATCAATATCCGCGGTGACTTTCTTGCATAGATCTTGACGACATACCAGACTCGTGTACAGCAGCAGACTTAACGGGGGTGTTTTATTATTGTTTTCATCATTAATTACTCTATCTAGTGCTTCATTTGACCGTTGTTGTTATAACTATCTGCCGTATGCTAGTTATAGTTCTGTTTAGCATAGGAAGGACCAGCGAGGCTAATTGATTCTCTATCTTTTTCACACTTCACTCTATTCTCTATATTCTGGGGTATATATGCATACTCTTCAGGCAGGACGTCCCGCAGCCTCAGGCATGCAGTTTATAACTAGTGGGGCAGCTAGCGGCGGGTGCCTGAATCCCATGGCGTCATTATCTAATGATTATTATTTTTGCCCGTACTGTAAGGCATTCATTAATTTACCCATACAGACACCGCCCAGCCCCGTGATTGAGCTATCGCACCTTCCTGGCTTAGTCGAAGCTAAGTTAGCTGTCACATTCCAGTCTGATTCCTGCCCGGTCTGTTTCTTATTACTCATCTTTCTATTGTTACTTATTTCTATTTCAACATTCGGAGTGCATAGCATAGCATAGCAGAACAGAACAAAACGCCGAGTCCGAGATCAGCCTACGATTTACGAACAGAGCGTCTTCGGACCTCCAGTGGGAGGGGGTTTGCTGAGCGGAGGAGAAGGACAACACACGATACACGATGGGCCTACAGGAAGAGGACAAGGAAGACGACAAGGCGCATGACTATATCTCTACAGCCAATCATAACTATAACAGTAGTGCTGCGCACATTCCACACCTATCCACATCCACATCCACATCCACATCTACGTCCACACTCGTTTCCGGGTCAAGGCCGAGGAATGTTACTTCTTCCTCTTCGACGGGAGGATTGCAGTGCTGCTGTGGCCGCTTGGATTGCGCATACCTCAAGCATAACAATGCGGCTTTGGGGGATTTGGAGAGTAATTTAGAGACTGCTGCGAGGTTGGGGCAGGTCAGCTATTTTTTTTTTATTCTTGCTGTTTTTATGTATATTCTCACATTCTTCTTGCACCTGTGCATTTTTGCTTCTTTTTGTATAGTCGGCGTGGAGTTGTTATTGTGTTCTTTCTTTCTCGTCTTTCTTCTCGATGAATAAATAGCTTGTGTGCTTGATGGAAAGCTGACATGTCGCTAACCTTCTCCCTCCAGGCGTTGCTGCAACGGCACGAGACCTACGTTGCCGACGCGGAAGCAGACCGCGCCCGAATGGTTCTTGAGATGGAACGCCTAGAGCGAGACAAACAAGAAATGCAGACTGCCAACGCGCGCATCGTAGAAGAAAACCGCAATCTACTCGAGCAGCTAGAGGGCCTCAATAATGCTGTCACCGCCTCAGACGACGAAATCAAAGCCCTGACTAACCGGCTCGAGCATACACAGCTCGAAATGAGGGAACTCGCTGCTTCGGCTGCGCGTGCCGCGGACCTGGAGCATCAGCTTAATGCCATGGAGGCCGAGCAGGTGGAGTTGCAGCAGCAGCTGATTATGACGCAGGAGGATGAAAAGTCGTCGGTGCAGAGGTGGAAAATGGCGGAAACCATGCTGCGCGATTTGCAGGATCAGTTGGATCAGCTGGAGCGTGATGCACGCGCCGAGAGGGAGGAGCATGTCCAAATCATCGAGCGTATGGAAAGGAGGAGGGCCGTGGAGCGGGAATTGGATGGTGCCGCTGGTCGTCTCAAGGGCGCTGCTGCTGCGTCGGCTATGGATCGTAATAACAATAACAACAACAATAATAATCGGAACGCAGGAAGAACAGCGCCGGTGGTGTCCAAGTTTGTTCGCGACATTTTGCAGGATAATGCCAATCTGCAAATGGGTATTGTGGAGTTGAGAGAGCTGCTGGAGAGCTCGAATCAGGAGGTTGAGAATCTGCGAGAGCAGATTTTGCATCATCACCAGCCGCTGAACGATAATAATGTGGAGGCCTCCCGGCTGGATCAAGAACTCAGCTCAAAGGAACAAAAAGAGCCTCGTCCTATTTCGCAGGAGATTCATTTCCATCACCATTACCACTCACCTTCCTCGTCAATCGGCTCGAAAAAGGAGAAACAGTCGATACGGCGTCCCAAGAAACGACGGCCATCACTCATGCCGTCTGGCGTACATACCCCCAGATCACCAATGCATCGCGCACAGCCTTCGTCTTCTTCTACATCTACCATCATGTCGCAAACATCAGTCTCAATTCCGCCTTCACAACAACAGCAACATCATCCACGCTATACGATTTATCCCTCTGGCGTCTCGTCCTTAGCAAGTTCCCCCATTTCAGCATACCAGCCATCGTCTATATTCGATGTTGTCGACCAGAGGAGCGAGATTTCGCGACCTTCCAGTCCTGAGAGCCCTGCCGCGCTGACCTCGCCCAAACGGCCGCTGCGGAAGAATCGTATATCTGATGCGTCTTCAACTCGGTCCTTCTCCATGCCAGCAGCTCCCGCCGGCGGCAGCTTGTCTTATGCATCGGACTTTGACCTGACTGATAACTATAATGACAAGTTCGAGGGGCTTGACGGTCGCGATGAAACTGGGGATGTTTTCCGAGATGATTACCAGGAGCAACCACAACATATACACTCGCCGTCGAAGAATAATAATATTGCCAGTGAGGAACTGTGGCTTCCGCCTGCTATACCCGAAGAGCAGGAGGAGACTGCATTTGACGTGAATAACACTGCGCAAGCAACAGAAATAGAGAATACCAAGCAATACACAGAAGAAGAAGAAGAAGACGCCCCAGGCCCATCCATCATGGAAAACACATTCGAACCGATACAGTTCAATTTACGAAAATCAGCATCTTACGAAAGTCTGCTTTCAGTGTCCGGAATGGATATCCACACCCTGCGCGACCGACCTTCACAGTTACTGGCGGGCTATCAATCGAGATATTTCTACCAACGCCCGCCGCAACGCATTACCGCTGCCGGCACTGAGCTATCGTCCACGCCGCCGGTCATATCGACTACTAATATTACAGCCGACAAGACATCTCTAGTCGCGACGGGTAGTCGTCAGACATCGTCACATTCATTGCTTGCTAGCGTTGCCGCCAAGAGTATTATTCAATCAGATACATCCGAAGGTGCAGCCGCCGCCCCCGTTCTTAACAAAAAGGCATCGGTAATCAGCCGCAAAGTCGGGGGATGGGTCATGGGGAAATGGGGCATTGCTCCTGTTTATTCCTCCTCGTCATCTTCTTCCACTGCGGACGTGCTTAACACAGACGCAGAAAGCATTATATCGGCAACAACCGACTCATCCACGCCAACTATTACTACTACTGTGTCGTCCGATCGAACGCACCGAGCACGGAAACACAAGGGTAATCATCAGTTAATGCGCGGCTTCGGCATTAATCAAAAGGGCCCCATTCCGGGCTTTGTCCCGTCTGTTTCGCTGCCAGCGGCGAATGTGGCCATTCATGTTGATGAGAATGGGTTGAATAGGGAGTTGCTGGATGAGAGTTTGAGGGAGTGACCGCATAAATATATTAACAAGAGACGGCCGTTATATATATATATATATATATTTTTTTTTTGCATGTTTCAATGATACCCCCATTCGTTCTTTATCTCCTGATTCAAGGAAATGCATATATTACCTAGGTACTAAAACACCAAGCCAACATGAAAACTACGTAGTAAATAAAAAAAATTAAATAACAACCTCCTTCTTAACATCCCTCTTCAACAAATCCACATCCCCCTCCACCTCGCTCTTCGACGGCATATTCCCCCTCCTCATCAACTCGGCCGACTTGGTCATAATCGGATCCATCCCCATCGTCGCAACCGCCACGACCGTCTCGCCCTTGCAGTAAAACGCGGCGAACTTGGCCTTCTCCGGCTCGCCCTTGAGTACCAACGCATCCCATCCAGCCACCGTACTACCGCAGTAACGCAACTGCTGGCCCAACGCGGACCAAAAGATAGGCACAAACGCTTTGTGGTGGCGCGTTTTCTTGCCGTTGACCGTGTTGACGATGGTCTGCGCTACGCCGCGTCCCGCGTTCTGCGCGACGTTCCAATGCTCAATGCGAACGGGTATACCTGCGCCGGCGTCCTTGCCGGCTGCTGCTGGTGCACCGGGCCCGTGGTACGGGTATGTCGCTATGTCGCCGATGGCGTATACGTCGTCTAGCCCCGTGAGTGTGCCGGGCTCGGCGCCAGCGGCTCCAGCGCCGGCGGGGATGACGGCGAAGTTTTCGTTGGTGCGTAGTGAGCCGTCCTTGAGTAGTTTGATGAGCGGGTTGTTCTGCAGGAAGTCTGTGGCTGGGCGCACGCCGATTCCCAAGACGACGACGTCGGCGGGCAGCACGACGCTACCGTCTCCGTCTTTGAGGTGGACGGCGCCAACTTTGGCGGCATCTGAAGATGAGGGAGTGGCCTTTTCGACGCTGGCATTCAGGTAGAACTTGATGCCTGCTTTCTCAAGGTTTGACTGGATTATTTTCCCGACTTGCTCGCCTAGCACGCGCTCGAGAGGTGCTTTCTCCATGCCTACGATGCTGACATCGTGGCCCTTGGAGGCGATTGCGTTGCCGATTTCGAGCCCGATAAACGAGCTGCCGATGATGACTACTTTTTTCTTTTTGTCCTCCTCGCCCTCGCCTAGCGCGGAGAGGATATTCTGCACGTCTGTGACGAACCGCAGCAAGAAGATATTACCCAAATCCTTGAACCCGTCTAGCGGCAATGTGCGCGGCACTCCGCCCGTGGCAAGCACGAGTCTTGTGTATGGGTACGTCTTTCCGGATTTCGTGGCCACGGATTTGGATGGGAAATCGACCGCGGTGACATCGTCGTGGACGATGTCGATGCCCGCATTTTCGTACCATGATGCTGGTCGAATCTCGAGCTTGGAGGCGTCTGGGATTAGGGCTTTGGAAAGCTTGGTGCGGTCGAGCGGAAGGTTGGGTTCACGAGTGAGCAGGGTTATGCTGCCTTGGAAGTTGAGTTCGCGCAGGGTTTGGACGAGGCCGAAGGAGCCGCTTCCACTGTTATATAGTTAGTAATTATTATTATCTCTTATGTATGTAGAGGGGGGAAGGGAGGGGCCTACCCTCCCACAACGACCACTTTCTCCGGGGTAGTGGCTACGCATTTGAGATTGGGATCTCGCTGTCCGGCCTTGATCGCGCTCTCATCGGCTTTGATGTACACGCCGCCTTCTTTCTCGTATACTTCGAATCTGTGCAGACGGTTAGGCGCCGGCGCATCTTCGATTTCGCCCGTAGCGACGGTGAAGCATGCTGGAGGAAGGAAGCAAAAAGAAAAAAAGTTAGAATGAGCAAGCAACAGAGAAAGGTGCTAGAAGAGACATTCTTACCTCCATGCCATGGACATGTTATGCGTCCATCCGGCGCAACAACGCCCAGTTTCAGAGGAGCGCCGTAATGGGTGCAGCGGGGGCTGATGGCATGGAAGGCGTCGTTGACTCGGACCACGAGCACTTTCCCGTCGGGGATGCCTTCGACTTCGGCCTCGACTTTTTCCAGGTGCGGAATGTCGTGCAGTGAAGTGAGGTCTTTGAGCTTGTATTCTGTGGCCATTGTGGATGACACCGCCGATGATGTTGAAAACGGGGCGGATAAGGATATGAGGTTATTCTTATTCTTATTATTATTGCGGGGTAGCCGAGGACGGACACGACAACACCTGCAGCTTGCTTTTCCCGAGAGACAGCACTGTGGTCTGCACTTGCAGCAGGCCGACGACGTAAGTGGTGATGAGGCAGAGTATGGTGGTGGTGGTGGTGGTGGTGATGAAGTAGAGAACGAGAGCGCGGAAGAAGAGGGGCGATGACGATATCCCTGATGGCTAACGTTATTGGGCAATGTCGCATATGCAGCTAGCACAGACTTGCGATATGCTCGCAGCATGATACTCTGGCACAGCAGCAGATAGGCAGACCTCTTCTCCAGTCTGGATTATCAAATGGCCGCGTAATTGTGATTGTGGTTGTGGTTGTAATTGCGGTTGTAGTTGTAGATGTATGATGGTGGTCAAGTCCCGGCCGAGTTACAACATGGCTTGGATATAAGTACGTAGCAATTCCGAGTCATGCCTTGTTTCCTGCGCACGTACATACAGCCAACCACCACCGTGTGCTGTTCAACTGCCAACTGACGACGTTGTTTCGCATGCAGTCATGGCTTGTATATGTGTGACGTCAGTCACCTGAGACAGCGCGCCAATGGGAGCCCGCTGTTTATTAATCCGTATATCCGAGACCATCTAACCCTAACCCCTGTGAATATTACCCTAAGACGCTGTTTTATTTTTACGTTTCTTTCTAAAAGTACTCCTCTATAGGTTATTAATGCCAGTAAGGGACTAATCTATGCAACAGTTGTAGGCTCGTAGATCGACGGACCCAAAAAGGCCGCAAGGCACCAAGGCAGCGATCGGATAACTCCACATGAAACTTCCCTCACCTTACAGGCATCATACAACAACAACAACAACAACAGAACATGGATCCTTGGCTGCGATGAGGCTACCACGCATCAACGTTGGCCATCGACCCTTTTCCACATGCCATTCACTCAGAAAACAGCACGATGCAACGGACCCGCGCTTTTCTAGCCTGGGTAAACTGATCGAGGACAAGTTTGCGCATATCCAGGAAGATTACCGTCAGTTTGTACCGTTTCGCTTTGCATCGTTTATAATCTATTGGATTAACCTGACGGGCAAGATATGTTGTAGAATGTCCCAAGAATACAATTGTTCTGGCCCATGGCCTCCTCGGCTTCAATGAAATCAGACTGGCCGGGTCGCTTTTCCCGCCGATCCAGTACTGGCATGGCATTGAGCATGCATTGTCCATGAAAGGGATCAAAGTGATTACTGCCACCGTGCCTCCGTATGGCTCGATTGAGAACAGAGCAAAGGCATTGGTCAGGCATATTGCTGCCGGAGCAAAGGGGCACGATGTTAACATTATTGCGTAAGTGAGTTTGGATTTACATTGGTTGATTTGTGGAGTGGCAGTGATTTCTAAATTGAGATTTATCTGTATAGACATAGTATGGTGAGTGTTTGCTATCAATATTGACTTATTTGAGATCTCATTAACACATGTCTGTAGGGGTAAGTCGGTACCTTGATGGCAGAGAGAAGTCTATCAATGCTAAGTGTCGTCAGAGGGCTTGATTCCCGGTATATGATTAGCAAGTTAAGACCATCCGAATTCAAAATTCGTTCTCTCACTTCCATTGCAACGCCGCATCGAGGTATGGCTGCACTTATCCTTTTTCATGAATTCGTGAGGACTGACATAAAACAGGGTCCGTGATTGCCGACTGCTTCATGAAACAAGTTGATGCCAGTGGTATGCATATGTCCAGCTCCTGTATCAAGTAACAGTCCTGATAGGTCTCTTTCCCAAAGTGTCGCGGGTACGCAGGTTGTCAAGATCATTCGACCGAATCCACTTCGATGCACAGGCATTCAGCCAATTGACGCGCCGATATCTTGAGGAAGAATTCAATCCCAATGTGCCAGATATTGAAGATGTTCGGTAAGTCAGTTATAATCTTTGCAACTTCAACCCGGTTAACCTCGTTCAAGGTACTTCTCTTACGGCGCAATGTTTCAACCGGGCCTGCTGAACATCTTCAGACCATTTCATCAACTCCTGGAAGAGGCCGAGGGCCCCAACGATGGTCTTGTCAGCGTTGCCAGCAGCAAGTGGGGCGGCGACTTGGGCTATAAAGGCACGCTTGTGGGTGTGAGCCATCTCGACTTGATCAACTGGACCAACCGTGTGCAGTGGTTGGTCGGTGAGTTGACAGGGAATAAAAGGAAGTGAGTTTTGGCCTATTTTCTTTCATTGCGCTGTGTCAATCTAACAGTAAACAGATTTAATGCCATTGCATTCTACTTGGATATTGCAGGTGAGTTGTGTCCTTGCGTAAGTAAGACTTGGCTGACATGGTAATAGACATGCTAGCGAAGGAGGGTTTATAGAAGGTAGCTTCTGTATATCATTATGTACATATACCATATCATCTTTTAACGTGCCTGCGAGTGCCCGGGTGAGTCTATATGATCTTATTGATTGAGTGTAATGCAAAATGCATGCTCTAGCTCAAGATACTCGGTTTCTGTTCCTTCCATATGGATCGTGGTTCAGATACCGACTGCTTCTTTTTCTTTTGTTTCAGTGTCGAACATCATTCACTACTCTAACGCTTTAGGTATACACGAGAACCATATGCTTAGCAGGAAGGAATTTGTAACCATTCTGACGAAGGATTAAAAAGATATTGCTAAATACAAGAGAAAACCTATGCATCCCCACGCCACCCGTATAAATTCAAAGATTCAAAGAGAAAATATCCACCCTGCAGATCAGGATCCCGGAGATATATAAGTTGTCAGCTTTTGTCAAAGCCCTTGGTACCGGCGCCGGTTTCTCAAAGGTGGTTTCACACATGCCATGGCGGCTCAACCCTCACCCACGAGAGTGACTTGCACAATATCGCTCCTGGCAAGGCTTGGAAGAAGCTACAAATGATAGAACTCATCTGCGAAAAGCCGTCCATGAGAGCCCACTAGAAGGTTGGCTTCTGATCTACCACATCGTCGCCATTTTTTATAAAGCCAGGAATGCTGGCCTTTGCTATGTTGGCTGCGTACCCACCCAGCAACCCAGCGCGAGATGCACAGAACTTGAAAGTTCTATTCAGATACACGTGAAGGGAACTAACTCTCGTGCCTTCGGTGTTATGCAGGCCCACTGTTATCATAAGCTCGGGGTCTGTTCGGTCTTTTGAGGACTTATGGGCTACGGAACCCCTGTGAGCATATTAGCATGATTTTATATTTGAAGCATATTCAGGATGGAGAATGGGTGGACGGATTTGAGCAAGGTTACATACTAAATTTTTGATTCAACAATTCGTGGCTCCTAACTTGGTAAAATGTTCTGAGGATCGAATTGACAGACAGCTTTTTCGATTGCATTGCATATTGAATCTATGACGGTAGACCACAATTCTCCATCGATGCCATTATCAGACACAAGCTTTTCAATAGGAGTGCCAGTTTGTCTAATAAGCGCCCTGGCAGATGTTTGGAAGGTCCTAGCGAAATTTTTCATGGTGGAAATTGAATGCCCCTAAGGTGAAAAGCACGGAATGGGTGTCTCTTAGGTTAGGGCGCAGTATTAATTGATGTAGTTGTGGGAGAAAGAAGGAATATCGCAGCCAGACAGAGCCAATGGCGTTGATATATCGTGCCCAAAACCTCGAAAAATATGCGCTGTCTTTCGTAGAAAGGGGAAAACAATTTGTCTCGCAGCCAGTCAATTGAGCATGACACCTGGACTTTGAAACATCGAAAAGAGCGCGTAGACACCTATCTACGCTATTCTTGACTTTCATCGTCGCTTGTTGGGTGTTTTTGCATGCTAGTATTGGCTAATCCAAGCAAGCGCCCCGGGACTGAAGTGCTAGTCTGGGTATGTGATATCTCTTCTACGAATGATATGTAACGCCTCTCATAGCTTTTAAAATAGTATTTTCACTGTTTTTAAAAGTAAATATAAATATAACTAGCCCAAAGGTGGGGCACCTACAATGTATAAAAATAGACACAAGTTGATATCACTCATTGTGACGGCGCAAGCAACAACAACTGCTTCAACGTTTCACGTTATTCCAACGATTCCTACCCTGAAGGCATTGAACTCGGTTCGGAAATGAATCGAGCTGCACCGTTTTCTCGGAGTGCATATATACCTTGTTTTCACCAGAGGCCGATCAAATGTCTGCTCTCGAATTGTTCTATTATTCGAGATTCACCATTGATTGTGCCGCGTCGTAGGGTGATGTCTTCGTTGCAATGGACATCTGCGCGCAGAACATTCCCAAACACAGGTTTCAAATTACTCGATAGCTCTGTACCAATTGAAGAAGAAACACTTCCGACATACATACCCGAAAAATATTACCCTGTTCAGCAGGGAGAGGTCTTTCATGAGCGGTATCAAGTTCTTGTCAAGTTAGGCTTTGGAACCACGTCAACGATATGGCTTAGCCGCGATTTACTGTAAGTATATAGTCCTTTATATCAGAACATTTGCTACTATTTCTGATGATAACGCTGTTCAATCAGGGAGTCTCGATATGTTGCTTTGAAAGTTTATGTCACGGGCAACAAACAAAACAACCATGAGGTGGAAATCTATGAGCATTTGAATTCCATACAAGCAAACCACCCAGGTCCAAGGCTTATTCGCAAGCTCTTCGACCATTTCTCGATAGAAGGCCCCCACGGTAGTCATACTTGTCTGGTCCATGAACTTCTCGGTACAAGTATACTGAACCTCATGAATTTTCTACCGGAGAGAAAAATGGCATTCAGAAACATGAAACGCTGCATTAGACAGCTACTCGTGGCTTTGGACTTTCTGCATCATGAGGTCAACATTATTCATACTGGTAATAGATACCTGTCCCTTCAGTGGAAAAGTTCAAAATGTTAACCTCGATCAAGATTTACAACTACGAAATCTACTACTTCCCGCACCAAATATAGAAAAATTGTCTCGATTTGAAGAACTCGAAGTCCAGACACCGTCGCCCAGAAAACTACTCAAAGATCGAACAATCTATGCATCTGTGGGCTATCTGCCAACTAAGGGGCTACCTCTTTCGAGTGACTTTGGAGAGGCTCGATTTGGTGATAGGGAGAACAGCGAGGATATCATGCCCACTGTTTATAGAGCACCGGAGGTTGTCTTGAAGGCGAACTGGGATCATGACGTTGATATATGGGGTGTTGCTATGCTTGTGAGTTGTTGGACTGTTCTCACCATGGGTAATATCTGTGGCTTGTGTTCTATGCACGCTAACTTATGTGACAATAATACAGGCTTGGGATCTTGTTTCTTCTCATATTTTATTTCACGGGCATCAATGAGGACGGTGTGTTCGATGACAGAGTCCATATGGCAGAAATGATTGCACTTCTTGGTCTCCCGCCACCTGAATTTCGGGAACGATGCAAATTAAGCTATGTATTTTGGGACGAGTCAGGTATGCTCTCTTTCCGTCTGTGTTTCCTATGCTATCCATTCACATACCTCTGACTACAAATTTTTACTAAACCGGTTTTATCTCCCCAGGAAACTGGAAGAATTTGGCGCCGATCCTTGATATAACGCTAGAAAAGCTAGCTGCGGATTTCGAAGAGGAGGAAAAGGAAGGATATTTGCAATGGATGCGGCTGGCCTTGCAATGGAATCCTGATGACAGGCCGATAGCGCAGGAGCTGCTATATGATGAGTGGATGATGGAAGGTCTTAATTCCCAGAGTCCTGAACAAGGCTCATGAGGGCGCTTTCAGCTCTGCTTGACTAGGCATGGACAGGGGTCATAAAAGGTCTTCATCTTCATTGTACTGCATAGGAATGTGCTGCTTATAGGCGTAGAGATGTACAGTAACAACTCCGTAGGGCTATGAACGAAGCTGAGCCACATCACCTCTAATCCTAAACAAGTTAAGCCCCAAAGCTCCGCCCCGCCGCAAACTCCGCACGAGCGTCAAGGAAATCGGGCCGGGTCAAACGTCATTTCAGCTTTCTTTCTTAACAATTAGTTGATGCAGTGCTCATTGACCTAGGCAACCCCGTTTAACGTCGACGTTCGTTCAATTCTTTCCTTATTTAATTTCTTCTTCTCTTGAGATTGTTTAAAAATACACTTCAATTCAGACAGTGGGCATTCGGTTTCAACGCATTCCTTTTCCGTTCTGTTGCTCCCAACAATGGCAGCAACCATCAAACTCGACAAACCTCACAGTCACTTCACAAACTTGGACAACATTACTGGCAGGGTAATATTGAGGCTGCATTCCGATACCGCTATTAGCACTATTCACGTAAAGCTCGAAGGGGAGAGTCGCACTCGACTCGCTAATCCGCGCAATGACCGGGAGAAGAGAAAGAATGAGATTGAAGTGCATAAAGTGAGCGCTTACCTATATGCTTTTATTTCGTATGTAACATTGCTAGGTACTAATTACTAAAAAACTTTTCTGCTTTAGATCTTGTATAAAGTAAAGTCTGTTTTCCCGAGCCCAGACATCGCCCAACATAGCTCTCCAAATGCCTCATTTACTCTCGCCCCTGGTGTTTATGAATACCCATTCCAGTTCAAGGTCAGATAGAGAAGGACCTTTTCCTTTGTCGGAGAAATATGCTGAGTGATATACCAAGTTTCCGTTCAATAATTCCTGCAGCAACCAAAATTCAATGTTGACAAATCTCAACATGGTCGGTTTACGTGTTGAGATGGCACGAGACACGTATAATCATGTCAAGAGGACGCTACCCCCTACATTAAGCACATTTCCTGGCGAGGCAGAGATCAAATATTATGTGAAAACGACGGTTGTGCGTCCGCAATTTTACAAGGAAAATATTCGTTCGGTGAGTGGCAGCTTATGCTTATGCATCCATCTGTATCTGAACAGAAAGAAAGAATATTAGTACTAATTAACCTTCATACAAACAGATTGCACCATTCAATTTCCTTCCTATAGAACCTCCTCGAACTGGAAACCCCAACGAAGAGACCTACGCCAGACGTCAACACGTATTTGCCAAACCACCTCCACCGTCAGTTCTAAAAAAGGGCGGCCTTTTCCGCAAGCAATCGTATGTAGCTGCCCCCAGCGCTGCTGTCGATCCAATACGGGTTTCGGTTGATGCAAGATTACCGAACCCCGCAATTCTTACATGCAACGAGCCGATCCCGTTACGGATTATAGTCACTAAGCAATCTCACACTTCTGAAGCGATCTATATGCAGCTACTCCAGATTGAGTTGGTTAGCTATACAAATATCAGAGCTCATGAACTTGTTCGAACAGAACCTCTTACGAACTTAATCTTTAGCCGCAGCAATATGAATATCCCCATCGGGCTAGGTACAGACCCCCTAGGAACAGAGTGGACAATCGACGCAAGCCTATGGAACAGACTCCCACTTCCGCCGGACGTTGCGCCTTCGTTCGAGACATGCAATATTTCTCGGAGCTATGAACTGGAAGTACGGGTTGGCTTGTCACATGGCTCTGCAGGTAGAATGATGGTAAGAAGTTAATCCCTTTGACAAAGGTTCATTAGACTAATCAGAACCGCCCACAGCCACAAGTCATTGTTGTCCCCTTGCGGTTGGCCGTGCAGGTATATTCTGGCATCCGTCCGCCGCCTGCTCTTCTGGAGGCCATGGGCGCCAATGGAAGAATGGGCAAACGGCCTCAAGGTCCCACAGCAACAAATCAAGAGAATCCTCCACCAAAGCCGCCACGACCATCTAACCAACCATATGAAATGGATAATAATGCTGCCGATAATGATGCGCCACCGAGCTACGAAGACGCAATGGCAGATATGCTTGGTCCGATAGATGGGCCCCGCGGGGATTATCAATCTACCACGCCCGCTATGGATCGGAGTCTTTCAGGGCCTCCAGGCCCCATTGGCGATACCAAGGCACCTATCATTGATTCCGAAGAAGAAGATGACCACGTTAACAACGGCAACAACAACAGCAGCATTACACGCTCCTTCTCTCGGGATTCGTCCGAGTCTGTCGATATGCTCCCTCAATCACCACGGTTACGCCCAACATCATACGCGGACAGCGTTTTTGAAGAGGCTGCATCATCCTCAGCAAAGGGATCTCATAAACCCGGCGAACAAAGCCAGACCAATCACAGCACTACCGATAATATACAGGTGGAGCAACAGACACTATCACAAGCACCTCCTCCTCGTCGCGCATTCAGCACAGGGGTGCCGAATCGACGACCTGTGCCAAACTCGGGTCAATCACGAGGAAACCCATCATAATTATATCAACTCTCTAATCAGCCCTAACATTAATAAATACATATTATACCCCTCTTCGTTTCTCTTCAGTGTCGATAGTTAGACGCACTAGCATTATATGGAGTTTCATTTTATTGTTTGTTTGCGAAAAGTGCAGCGCATAAGGTTCACTCTACATAATTTTCATGTAAGTAAATATGATATGCAATAAAATGTCTACACGTATATAGAATTCACCATATCTATCCTCTTAAAATCAGTAGATGTCTCTGTTTGTATTGTTTGCCCCAAGTCTCGAGAGTGTGGCTGCCCCACCTGCCGTAGATTAAGCCGTCCAATCAGCAAGTTCGGTGATCGCGGCCTTAGAAACATGGAGTTAACTTACTAACTAAACCTAGTTGAGAATTGCTAAATTGGGCGTCGCGCGTCGCGCCGAACTCCTCAACCTCCAGTCAGTCGGCCAGTCAGTTTTCCTGCAGCGAAACGGTCGTCGAAGGCACTACCTTCATCCAGGCATAGCAGCGATTATATTGCTCACCAAATCTTCGATTCAGAGAGATAGGGAAAGGGGCTTTCGGTGCCATATGCGAAGAATGATTGTCGAAATCAACAGCGTATTTTTTCATTGCTTCAATCGAATCTAGCCAAATTCTTTACCCAACAAAAAAGAGGGCAAATTAGGACGAAGAGGAAAGTCTCTAGTACCTCTGTACATGTCTTATTAAACTTTTTCTTCTTTGAGGATCTTTTCGATTTCTTTGTTCCTCGATCATGCGTCTGCGACTTACTATTATCCGCCATGGTCTTCCCGCGACGAGGATTCTCTGGACTGTCGCTTCCTCGGCCGCTACCACTACTACGACTGCTCGTGGCGTCCCTGCGTCGGCTGTAGCTTCGACTCGTGTGCCGAATGTCGCATATGGAGATGAAGGATGCACTATTGCGCAGTTGTTGGAGGATGTGAACGAGGTTGTCCCGCTCGAAACAGCTATCAGTGGTGGTGCCAGTACGCTGGGGGAGAGTGATGAACTTGGCGGTCAGTGGGGCTTGGAGGATTATGTTGTGGAAGTTGATGGGTTTGAATGTCTGCATTTTATGCATGTGGATGGTCTGTTGAGGGATGGGGATGAGGTTGTGTGAGTATCCCCCGCTTTACTTGCGCAATACGGGAGTTACATATTTACTGATTATTTATTTTTCTTTGGGTTCTTATAGGATTCGCTCATTAGGTCTGGGGGATCTTCGCGCGAGACGGCTTTCAGGTCGTCTTCAGGTTTCGACGGATGGTAGACGGTTGATTGATGGTGTCCCGTTTGGTAGACATTTCTTGCAGAGGTCCTATTCGTCTAGGCCTCCCATCAGGATTCCACCGCGGAAACGGAGAAAGACGATGGTTTCTTCGGGTTGGACTGGTAATCTCCAGAACGAAGAGGCTGGCAGTGACATCTTCCAGAGAACCGCTTCTGCGCCGTATGATAAGCAGGTGGCGTTATATGATGAGGAGGCTTCAGTATTACCTTCTGAACAAGGAACAGTCATTAGACACCCTCTAAATCTCTTTGAGGATGCGGGCGATTCCGAGAGCGACATGGATTACTCGGAAGGCGCGGCGGAGGACTTGGCTGAAGAACTGGAACAGTTGAGGGACGAAGCAGAAGATGCCGTCTCCACTGGAAATATTACGACGCATGAATCAGGTCGTAAGTCGCGAATTGCACATCGTGATCCGCTGCCAACTAGCAGCCCAGCACGTCCGTCACTTGTCTCTACACCTCGTACAGCCATCGGTAGAGGCACCGAAATAGAAGCAACGCCAAAGTCGTCTAAGAGTGTTCGATTCGAGGCTGACAAACATATTCCCTCAAGTCAAGTGTCAGAGCATGAGGATGCGCTTGATTCAGATGAACAGTCAACGTCTGACTCTGAGTCCGCAGTTTCAAGTAGCGACGATGACAGCAGTGAAACTTCGAGCGACGAAGACCTCGTAAGTCATGAGTCTGAGTCTAAATTTGAACTTGAGTCAGTGTCAGATGGTGAGACCAGCGACGACGACTCTTCGACGTCCGAGGAAGAAGAATCCGAGTCCGAGCCTGAAGTTCGAAAAATCAAAAAACCCATCGACGTATTCACGCCTCCAGGCCAGGGATCCTCAAAGACCCGAAATAGCAATCGCCGAAAGAAGCTCCGACTTCGACTTCAGAAGCTAAAAAGCCTAGGCGAACTTCCACCAGAAGCCGACTTTGATGATTTGAGAACGTGGGAGGCGAAGCATGGCAAACGACCACTTACAGAAGTAAAAGATCTTGAAGATTTGCGCGAGTCCAGAGTCAAGGAGCAGACGGAAATTGAAGCCAAGAGACAGCTATTACTTCGAGTTATCGCATCTGGTGGTATTGATGTCGACGGTTGTTCTGAGAAGGAGAACATTCCACCTCGATACACAAATGGGAAACAGACTGAAAACGAAGTCTTGAAGAGTGTGGGGGATGTCGAGACAGCCCCGACATTTTCCAAAGTTTCGACAGAGGAATCGGCAGTTGAAACAAAGGCAGCCGATGCAGATGAAACTGCAAGTCCCAGTGGGATCAAAAGACGAAAACTCGATGTTTCAAGCACGAAACGCCTGCTGTTTGGTTCATTGGGTGTCCGGACGCCTAAATCTAAGAAGGATGAAGAGGCTCTTCGTATTAAGCTAGAAGGCTCTCGAAACAAGTATCTGACGAAAGCTGCAGAAACTACTGCTGCTGACACTACTGAGACTGCGGTCGAGGATGAAATTGAGGATGAGAACTGGGAAAAGAAGATCATCCTGAGTGCGACAGAATGTATCTTTAATGACATCAAACTTGCAACCCCTCCATTTCCTTTCTACCAACGGTGGGATCCTGATGCGAGCTATGAGATTCGTCAGCGGAGAAAAAACAATAAAAGAAACAAGAAGCGAAAGCAACGTGACTGGCAGGATGAGGCCGAGACAGGCTGGTACGATGGTGTCACGGAGGATGCTGATGAGGGCGGTATCACGTTGAACTACGAAGATGCACCTTCAGCCGCACAGAATGAAATGCAGGAAAGCACCGTTAATGCAGACGAAGCAGAAGATTTACCTACAATTTCCGGCGATCCTGAGTCGCTGCCTTCTTTAACTGAGGACGAAGCAACGACCGGTGCCATCATAGCTTTCAAGCAACTGGATATGTCCAAGGCTACCAATTGGCAGCCACAGGTGTCCGAATATAGAGTCGCCAAAGTGATCGAAGTTCTTGACAACGGCAGTTTAAACGTTACCCTCGCGAAACGTGATCGAGAAACCCAGCAGGCGGTAGCGGTAGATGAGAACGGCGTTCGCACGTATTCCGGATTCGAGATGCCCGAACACGAAGACGAAGGAGTCGAGGATGACAACGGCTTTCGCAATCTGTCATTCCAAGACTTGCTGGAGCCGAAATTGCTGCGATCAACGAGTCCTCAGGAGAAGCAGGGAGAGCTGGTAAATGGCAATCATGATGAATCGAGCCTGTCAGTTGCATGATTTTCATTTTTCTTCTTTCCTGCCATTCCATGTCTAGATCGTGCTCTGCTATTGCAGAACTTGCCTGTTATTTCTCTCTCTAACACCACAGACCATATTCATGTATCTCAAATGCTCTGCTATCCATAATACTCACAAATCGCATGCTTTTTTAGTAGAGATAACAACCTCCCTCCTTCTCTTCCTCTTCCTGTTTCTGCTAGAGGCAATGATGCAGAAGAGTCCGTAGAAGCCGATGCCGATTCATTACCCGTAGCAGCAGCAGCAACAGCGACAGTTTCTTCAGAAACACGACTCGATATCTCCCACATGATTCGTGCACCTAGACGCGATTCAGAGAACGCGGGAAGCCAGGATTTGGGTTCATCCTCAAATTCGTCGTCGTCAGAAGACGAGTACGAGTTCTCGTCAAGTCCTCCTGAACCAGGTGTTGAAATGCAGCATGGCTCTGCTCACAATGACACGGCTAAGGAGAGAGACGCAATGAACTTAGACGAGAGAAACGGCAGCATGGAAGACTCTGGGTCCCAATTGAACATTGATGATGGCGGTGATATTGACATGGGTGGCGGCGATGACCTTCATGATAACGCTAGTACTCATGACGATGGCGACAGCGACGGCGACAGCTCGGATGACGGCATCTCCCTACCTTGGAAAAACGGAGAGTTATCGATGAGCACTGATGAAAGTGGTCTCATTGAGACTGGCTCCGTAGAAGGACATGCGGCTTCTTCGCATAACGGAAACTCGACTGCGGCAGTGGATGGTGCTCTTGAGAACACCACGCCAGTCCCTCGAGAGTCGACTAAGAATGAAGCAGGCCCGGCTCAAGACGTCGAATCACAAAAGGAGGAGGGAAAAGGGAAAGGGAAAGGGAAAGAAAAAGAACAAGCAGAGGACACATCCTTGAGCACCACACTTCGCGATGGCGAGTCTCACCTTCAAGACTCTTTCATCACCGCTTCAGCTGAGAATGAGACTCAGAGTGTTTTATCTGATTATTCAGATGCAATCTCTACCGTTCCCAATCCATTCTACGAGCGGGATAGAATCGCGATGCAAGCGGAAGAGCGAAACGCGGATGAAAGACCTAGAGACATCAATCAAGGGGATGGTCCTTCATCACTCCCTATGCACAACTCAGCAAGGAACAAGCCCGCTGAATCCGTGTCACGGCACACACAATCAATAGAAAACGGCCAAATTGACGACTTCAACCCCGGCTGGCTTGATCAGGGAGACGACCATAACGTCAACGATAACGCCAACGATTCTTCCGATCCCGAATTCCCGAGTATCGAAGTGCTATGGGCATCTACCGCGCCATCTCGAGAGCCATTCCCGCCTATAAAGACAGAAGGGGACAAGCCATCTGTGTCTGGCGGTGATAAAAATAATCACAAAACATCTTCCCTACCGCCGAGTCAGTCAGTTGCTGGTAGAAGCAGTTCACCTCCTTTCGAGCCTGTAACTACTACTAGTACAAACAACAAGTCACCAGCGACAGCGAAGAAGCGGTCCCGTCTTATCGCGTTTAGTTATAAGAAAGGGCAACACCAGGGAGAAAATGAACAAAGAAGACGGAAATCCAGTTCTTCTATTCCTTCTCTTGAAGTCGGATCCGAGCAAAGACCGAGCAGCAGCAATAACCAGAACTACGAGTCTCATTTTCCAGAACATGAAGATGACAATCACTTAGAGCAACAACTAGAAGAAGAAGAAGAAGAAGAGGAAGAGGAGGATGACCAACCCAGAAACAACCCAACGCCCGTGATGATTGATCTAACCTTGTCTAGCCCCCTGGTCTCTCCCGTCGACACAGGAAGTGACGAAGACTTTGCAAGGTCGCAGGGCCTCCCCAGGGGACCGGGCTGGGTGAGGAAGAATGTTCCTTCTACGCAACGTCAGACACGTTCGTCGACTGGTGGAGGGATCTTGTTGAGTTCGAGTCCGCCGCGGCCTCTGCAAAGGAGGAGAAGGGGGAGGCAGACTCGTTGATCGTATTATTTTCTTTGTGCTTTTATGATACCGAACCCTGTAATGCCTATAGTCATTTTAATGCCTAAACAACAGAGCATTAACCCTAACGTTGGAAGGAATGCCCGCTGGCTTATCGATTGAGGAATACGCCAGATGGAGTATCATAGACGAGTCGTGTCTAGACCAAGTGCCAGGATACTGTTGGTTTACCATACATAGCTTTCCAAGTGCAATTACCTCAACTAATGGACACTTCGTATACTAGGGCGATGTGAGATTGTCTCCAGGGTCTTGGAATCCAATGAAGACTGGCAGATAGAGATCGATAAAGTATTTACAGTCGTGCAAAAAAATTTTTTTTTTTTTTTTGATATCAGGCTCACGAAGGGATGTGCAGCGCACGTCCATGTCGCGAAATCGATGCTAGATTTGACATAGGAGAACTGCAGAGAATGGCCAAGGCAATCATCTACTATGAAGAGCCCTTCACAGCCATTATGCCCCCCCCCCCCCCGTGCGCAAGGATAATGATTATGCCAAACCCAACGTGAAGCAAAACCCTTCATTGAATAGAAAGTGGGATGCGGTGACACAGGCGTCATGGGCTCCGATATTTACATATATCGACAAAATCAAGATGATCAGAGCCATTCCAGTTGACTGCTTCCCAGGGCGCGCGCTTGCCTGGAATTTTGGTCCTGTGTTAGACAACTGTGGTACAATTGAGTTCCGGCGCCCCCCAGGTGTCGATACATCTGCTCCTCGGGTTTGCAGCCCATGCTTTGTGGCAGCAGGATTGGGCCAGCCTGGCACAGACAAAAACGCACCCCAACGTCCCATATCTGCATACATGCATTGAGAATGGCTTGAAACTTCTTGGACGCACTTACTTTGGATTGAGAATATTTGCAGCAAGTACCAAAGTAGGGGGCTTGAAAGAAAAACTGACATCATTTCTTGAGGGAAACATAGCCATATCGAAACTAGCACGCATAAACATTGGTCTCTCGCAATTATTTACTAGGTCTTGCAATGATCTATTCATCTGCCTGTGCTGCTCCAATTTCCAAGATTCGTATGTGTCTGATATATAGCATGACCGAGACGAGCCCATTGCTAGTTTGGCCATTATCTTGTGTAATATGTCTTTTGAATATCATGGGGACGTCAATTGAGCTCGTCTTTGCGTGCTCTTCCCATGCAGAAGAGGTTGTCTCGTCAACGTAGTGAAGCGGTAAGTCAAATGCTGGTGGTATATAATAGCTTCACACAAAGTAGAATAACAGAAGGTCAGCACTGGACGGGTCTTATTTTCAACTAACTATGCTGGTTTCAGCTAAATATGAACTCCTTAAGTTCCTGGTAGGCTTTCTCAAGGTCATCATTGACGATAACCTTGTCATGAACACCGGTGTCTGCATATTCAATCTCAGCCTTTGCCTGAGTTAACCTCTTTTGAATATCCTCGTCCTTTTCAGTGCCGCGTCCTCTTAGTCGTTTCTCGAGGGCCTCAAAAGTGGGTGGTTTGATAAAGATGTAGCGAGCCTCGATGCTAGGGTTTGCCTGGATCTGCTTAACGCCGTACATTTCGATATCCAGCACTACAACGAGTCCCTTGGCTGTTTGGTCGGCAATCGTTTTCTTGCTCGTTCCATACCGGTTCCCACTGAATGTTGCATGTTCAACAAAGCCGCCCTCCGCGACGAGATTGGCGAATGTCTCGTGGTCCACGAAAAAGTAATTTACGCCATCGACTTCGCCGGCTCGTGGCGCGCGCGTGGTATGGGATACCGTGAATGCGAATGTATTAGGGTGATCGTCAAAAAGTTTTTGAATTAAGGTGCCTTTGCCGACGCCCGACGGTCCAGAGATGACGATGAGTCTGCCATCTTTCTTGAGAGGTGCTGCTGAGGCTGACAATTAGATCGTGACAAAAATCTTCCAAGTTGAAGAAATGTTGAGACTTACTGGATGCCATTATGTTGACGCGACCAAGATCTGAGAGAGAAGATGAGGCTGTATGAAAATATCTGGTTGCGAATGAAGGTGAAAATTGGCGGGCAGTTGTTATGTGGGGGACGACTATCTTAGTCCCGCCGACCAAGCCTTGCTTCCACGATGACTTGCTCCTGAAAGCTGCGCAAGATGGAATGTGATAGGAGGAAACTAAAGAAGCAGGAAGGCGAGGGTGAAGCATTGAGGCGCAAGACAACGGATTAGTCGACGGCCCTGACGTTGTTATATGTACTGAGACTCTTGAGAGATGGTTCGGCGGAGCTTAGCCGATAAGGGCCCGTTACAGTGCTGAACATGCTCATACAACATCTCAACCATACGATTCGAATGTCCGCTATTATACCGATTTTGTTTTCTCCATAGACTTGTCAAGCCCTAGATTGCATTATTGGAAACGTTGGCATATAATTAGACCGGATTGTGTTCCAATCTTATCTCATGCATTCAACCACGTATACCAAAAGAACCACCGTGGGATTCAATGAAATAGAATATCTAATGAAGAAGAAAACAGAAGAGGATATGTCGTAATGTTTGTTATATTCAAGCAGCAATCTTCTCAGGCACTTCCGGCTTCACATCAACAACAGCATTGATCAAGTCCTTTATAACCTTATCGCCCGACTTCTTTCCAGCGGTCTTAATGTCTTCAAGCTGGGATTCCGCTTCCTTGTTGGCTTCCTCTTCGGCGATTTTGTTTCCGCTTGAATGCTGTGATTAGTGTACGTTGTCAGTTCTGTTCTCTGTCCCTGCCGATAATCTTCGAGAGAAGAGATAACAGTGCATACCTCGGCCTCGAATTTCTTAAATTCCTCCTCCTTTTGTTTCCTGTATTCGTCGATCTCGCGTTGTGCTTCCGTTCGTGCTTCCTTTACTCGCTTTGTACGATCTGATAAGGGGTTAGTTTTCCGAAGTCGAACGTTGAACAGATGTCGCAATTATGTGGGTGATCTGATAGTCGGCGGCGGGTAACGGTCACAACGTACATTCTCTGGCTACTCTGTGTCAGGCAATAGCTTTGCTTGAAACAAACGGCGGAACAATGCGACTCACCTTGTTGAACAATCTTCTGAGCTTCGCGCTCAGCCTGTCATAACAATCCTTGTTAGAATGCCCTGAGAAACAAACGAAAATAAAACCGTTCCTCGCATTTGAGCCATCAAACGAACAATAGATGCGTTGTTCAACTTACATCCAGAAGTGTCTGGATTCCCGTGGAGTTTTGGGCCGACTGCATGCATAATGATGTTAGAGAAGGCGCATCGCACATGAATAATATTTGTAGACAAAAGGTAACATATCACACACCATGCTGGTATTGTGGTGCGAGATCGAGGTATTTACTGGAGGTGCAACAACAATGTCATGGGTGAATCGACATGTGAAGCGGAGTAGACGTTGAGGGAGAGCTTGTCCGCAGCTATGAATGTGGGTCTGTATTTTGCCTGTCTTGACCGCCCGTATGCAATTTATCTTCAAGGTCCGATAACATGCATGGTCCGATGGAATTTGCTTTTTTCACCTTGCAATAAAGTCCTAAATCATGTCTCGCGCCTCGAAAGTGACGTTAGCGGCTACAACGCTTGCAACAGCCGGCATGATATACTTTGTGCATTGGTCGCAAGAGTCAGACAAAGCGGTACCTTTCCCTCTCCTTCACAACTGACACCGTCAATTCTGGAAGCTAACTTGATATTTTCATGATTTTTAGGCAATGCATGCCGGAGTCGAAAGAGACGAGGAAAGACAACGCATCAAGCGCGAGAGACAGGCCGACTTCGAGCTGCAAAGACGTCTCGAGGCGGAATATCGCAAAATCCAGCATGTCCCCGAAGGGCAACAGAGGGACGATAACAATCGCAGCTTAGGGCAGGGGAGTTGATCTGGGGGCATTTTGAGCTCTGTTTGCTTTTTGAATTGCATTGTGATTATATATCTGAGCGGGATTTCTTCTTTCTTCTGAATACCTGGATTTGGATTCAAGGTAAGGGACACTTGAGGACACTTCACGTTGTTTTTTTGATTATATTTGCTGAATTTTGCAGACCTATCTCTGTCATTATAAACTTGTATATTAGCCTCGAAACATACATTGCCATTCCTTATTGTATAGTATCTACCACCTTCGAGGACATTCTTACGCCCGGAATGAAACCGACGACATTGACATGAAATTCAGTCACAGGTTTTCTTCTGCAGGCAGACAACTCGTACGCTCCAACCAACGAAGAACTCACTATATTGTCAAATATTGGGCAGGGAAATCGTGATTCACATGAATCAATAGATTCAATCAAGTCTAGGTTTCAGACTACTCGTATAGCAATCAACCCATACTGCTTTGTTCTTACTCCAAGAATAGTGTGACAATATACTCTTCAACTCGGAGCATGAGCCCTATAGTTTGTGCATGTTCAGCATTTCCGCTGGTTGTGCAGTCTAACTCGGTCTAGCTATTTGGGTGCTCTTTATGCGACACAACACAGTGACTAACAGTGCTCTAAAAAGCAACCCAAGGGGATTTATATTACTGCTCTCTTATCCTAGGGGTAGGTTCATTTTCCTCTCATGTATCTCACTTGCAGGAACAAGGTTTTGTTTAAATAACCACCAGTCAGCTTAGATCGTCTCAACCTAAAATCGCCTTCTATTTTAGTGGGCTTTATGTGCCTATGTCTGTGTGCTATTCATGACTTTGCGAGTTAGTTTGTCTTCGTCAAGCTTATATACATGCCTGGCGAGTACTAGAAGGAGTTCGATTCAGCCCTAACCCTTAGCCCTATGTTGCTCCCAGCCGGGCGATATCGGGTTATCATCGGCTACAGTCGGAGGCCGGATGAATTCCGGCCTCTTGGCACTCACAGGCGCTAACTATTTTAGCTGCATATGATGGGGCTAATATCTGGCCAATCACAGGCCCCTATTTCTTTGCTTACATCGCTGTTGTCCATGTGGTGAACGTCGGAGTAACAGCAAGATGCAGTGCTGAGATGGATCAGAGGAGTGATAACGGCTCTATAGTCAATTGGAAATTGCTATCACCTTGTTTCATTACAGGTTTCCCACTATCAAGAAGCTTTGTGCACGCTCAGCGAGTTACAGGCAGAGATCTGGAAATAGCCGTATACGGCTTAGCGCCGATGCCTTCTATATCAATCTCATCAAGCCTCAACTTCTGGATACAAGCCCTAAATATCACCCAGAGTATGCAAAGGGCTTCGAAATGGGGCTTCTAAGGCTATATCTCCTTGTATAAGCTTGTTTCCCTGCCTCGAGCAAAGCTGAAGCTTGGTCCCACCAGCTTTATCAACTATATTGGTAGTAGTGACACTGAGGCCGGTATCAATTCCGGCCTCATCAATATATAAGCGTCGCTAATGTCCCGCCCTGAAAGTCGAGTTTTTTTGCTTTCTCTTTGCATCGGTCGCTTTCCTGGGTTTTTGGCCACACATTTTTGTCGCATTTTTTCCCCGACTTTCCTAGGTGCTTTGCTGCCTTGGCGGTGTGTACCTGTCCCCATTGTTCTCTTTTAAGTCATCGATACATACATTAGGTAGTACATACCTACATCTTTTTCTTTCTTTCTTTCTTTCTTTCTTTCTTCTTATCTTTTCTTCTCTTTTCTTCTGCATCACCCGCCTACTGCGGTGGGCATCTGAATTGACCATGACTATTCCTCAACATGTCCCTTCCTCTACTGAGGCTGTCTTCCCCTATATCAACCATGACCCTGCCACCCTCCCACACTCAATAGACCCCTTCACCATCACCACTGCTTCGGGGTTTATGCCTTACAGGATAGGTCCCACCCACCTACCAGATGTCTTCAAGCCCCTGACAGACCTTCTCGAACGCATGCCCGTACTCAAGCTCGATGGCCAACCCGGTCTGCTAGCCACGTATGAACTCGGGCAAGCCGTCCAGAGCTTCCCTGATCTGACTGATGAGGTCGACAAGGTCCTCACCAAGGATGGAAAGAGGGACCTCTTCACCCTGACTGCCATCTTCCGCGACTATTCTTACATCGCATCTGCTTATATCCTTGAACCATGTTGGGAAAACTGGTGCAAGGATCCTGAAGGTGGATATGGACTAGGAAGAGAGTCGCTTCCCCATGCCATTGCTGGACCAATGTGGCGCTGTGCAGAAATGTATGTCACTTGTTTTTCTACTTGGCTCCATGTGGCTATACTTATTGACGGCTCCTTAGATTGGACCTTCCCCCTTTCCTGTCCTATGCTGCCTCATATGCTCTCTTCAACTACACCCTTGAGGACCCTTCACGGGGTCATGAGTATGACAATCTGCGTCTTATTAGAGGGTTTGAACGTGGTCTTGACCCGAAGAGCTCTGAAGCTGGGTTTATCTTGACCCATGTCGACATGGTCAAAGAGACCGCGCCATTGATCCACGGAGCTGTCCAAGTGCTAGATGGCGTAGAGAATGGCAATCGACGTGCCGCCGTCAATGACGGGTTTCGGGAAATTCTCAAGGCTATGGAGGTAATCGAAGCATCTATGGAAGGTAAGATGATTACTCATATTGTACACGAAGCTTTTGGATACTAACTCTCGATGTTTACAGAGATGTGGAAGAACTCCAAGCCCGCTGACTACTTGACCTTCCGTGTTTTCATCTTTGGAATCACGTCCCAATCCATGTTCCCCAATGGCGTTGTATACGAGGGTATTAATGATAACCATCCCATGTGTTTCCGAGGAGAAAGTGGCGCCAACGATTCCATTGTAAGTTGTTTTCCTCCCTTCCTTCCACAAAATCAGAATAAAATACTCATATATAACATCCCAGATCCCCCTTCTCGACCACTTACTACAAATCCCTATGCCGGATACACCCCTAACAAAGATCCTGCACGAATTCCGCGCTTACAGACCACGCCCTCACCGCGAGTTTCTAGCCCACGTTGCCAGTACAGCCAGTAAACTCAACATTCGCGACTTTGCCGTGGGCGACGAAGAAACGGCCATCCTTTACTTGAAGACTCTTGATCATGTTCGCAGTTTCCGTTGGCGGCATTGGCTGTTCGCCCGAGAGTATATCATTCGTCGAACTGCGCATCCCACTGCTACAGGTGGCAGTCCTATCGTCACGGTATGTTTTCATTCAATTTAAAGAGAAGGAGATTATGGTTTCTGATTGTGTGTATAGTGGCTACCCAATCAACTCTCCGCCGTCATGGATCTCATGATCGATATCTACGATACTTACCTGAAGGACAAGGCGGCTACTGCAACTGCAACTGTCGATGATGGTCCTGCCCTTGCTGCTGATGATATGGTTGCCCTGTATAAGAAGCAGATCATTCCGATGATGGATCAGGTTCATGACCAGCGAGAGAAGTTGGCGCGTGAGGTGGAGAGGTGGTGTAAGGAACGAGGTGTTTGATCAGTCTCCCTGTTGCCGTATTTTTTTAAATTTGTCTTTTCCTGTTCACTACAGCTTTACAGGCTTCCTAGATTGGATTCAAGCGATTGCGGGTTTATTGATATACTTAACTTTCCTACCGAGAAACATCCATTAATGACATGCAATCATCCATTAGCATTAGTTTCGTTACTACTTCCCATAATATAGTTTGTTGCAATATATAACGACCCGAACAATAAAACCTCACAATAAGAGAAAAAAGAAATCCCTATCTGTTTATTATCTTCAGACCTCTTGCGCGTCCCCATTCAACCGCTTCAAAAGACACATCCCCGCAACCCTTCAAATTGAGAAGTTTGATGCGCGGAAAATCCCCTTCGCGGCCATCAGCAAGGAGAACGATTTTCTTGATCAGGGACCCAGTCACCGCAGTATTAGGGACGTGAAGTTCCTGGAGCTGTGGCATATTCCGAATCACAAATAAAAGCGTCTCATCGCTAAGAGTGTACATCCCCATCCCATGCAAATGCAGCGACTTCAAGTTCTTAGTTGCCTTTGCATGGCTCGCCAGAAGCGCAAGATCGGTTGCCCGGATTCTATCGCATGATTCGAGGCGGAGACTCTCTAGTACACCGTCATTCGACTGCAAGAAGCGGAGGACTTGCTCGAGATCGATCCAGTGGAATTGGGCTATGGTAAGTGATTTCAGATTGGGAAGCGTTAGTGGTGGACGACAGTCGGGAGTGAAGATATGTTTTTGGCAGTCAACGAGGCGGAGATGTTCAATCGTCTCCGGAAAGGCCCATGTACCGTATATTTTCAGATTGCAAATTTCTAATATGCGGAGATTGGGGTGGCAGATGTCGTTGAGACAGACAGCCATGCGCTGAAAGGGTCGCGTGTCGGCGTCTAGTGTTGTGGCTAGACGGAGTTCTTCGAGTTTTGGAACTCGCTCGAAATATGTCTTTCGTGTGGGCAAGTTCTCAATGGCGGCCTCATCTGGGACGACTCCCGGGACCCAGACATGCTTGAAGTAAGACGGTAGATCGATGCGCTTCATGTCCAAGACCAAGGCTTTCAGATTGGGCAGGTGTTCGGTGCAGGTCATGTTGGGAGATTGTCGGAATACATACCGATGGACCTCGAGGCGTTCAAGGTTCGGCAATTTGAGCATTTCACAGAATAAATTTCGATATATATTGGTTTTGTTCGAGATTATCAATGTTTTCAGGGTATGCTTTAGACAAGATGATTGTGAGATAGATCTTTCATCTACCCCGACATCCAGGTCGAGATGTTCAAGTCGCGGGCACATTGAAGCCTGACGGAGGGCATCATAATGATTTTTCACATTATGAAGCTGCAGTCTCCTAACCCCCTTTTGAGAGTTTAGGATACATGACCTCATGTTTTCAGGAGTTGCCCATGAGCGGGATCCTTTGAATGAGATGTCATACCATAAACTAGGCTGGCTTTTGATATAGGCGCGCCAGGTCTTTGAAATACGCATCATAGCACTGTAGAAACGAGTTAGTCACTGGTCTCGAAACAAGACTACTATTCATCTAAAAGAGCTGTATTCGACTCACACTATCTGTCTGAAGGATAAATACTTGAATATTTCCAACAAGCAGTCGTTATTAAGGTGCTGGATGGGATCCCGAAGACGTGACGACATTCTTTCTACAAGTTTGTCGTGGATTTTCGACACTGACTGAGAGGATTTGGTAAGAGCAATGTTGCCTCAAGTACGCCGCTCATCAAAGCTAGCAAAGGAACATTGTAATACGATGGCATCCACAGGAACAAGAAGGCTTAAAAACAGAAACAACAAGACATACGGCAAACTTACTTCACGTTGTGGATTGTTTTTGGCCAGAGCATTCAACCCATATCTATAGACCTCAAGAGCATCCTCTGGCCGGCCATCTAGGAGGAGAGCTTTACCAGCACGCAAGTATCCCTAGGTGAAGAGAGGTGGCGTCAGCCAGGACAGCAGTGAAAAACGGAAAGGACTGACCTTTTCATTTTGCCCTTCAGCAGAAATTATGCATTTTGCATCGCTGACAGCTTCCTTGTACCGGCCCATCTTGCAGTGTATTGCAGACCGGCTGTCCATGATCTTCACATAATTGGCCTCGACAGCATCTTTTTGGAGCAGAGCCTATATATGCATAAGTCAGTGACAACTTCCTCTACACGATACTTGAACCTACTTCTTTGAGCACATCGATGGCTTCTTGATATTTACCATTTCTGGCTAGATCCTGAGCATGCTGATGGTACTTTTCCGACGACCCTTGGCCAAAGCTGAGCCTTTTGGTGGTGTCATAGCTAACACTCTGATGATGGTGAAGCCCGGGATGTGCTTTTCGCTTGGCAGTCATCATGCTAGCCACATGGCTATGATTTTATACATAGCCTTCCAGTCAGTATCCGCTGTTTTGATGTTTGATGGAGCAAAGTGTTGATCAGCGCGCATCAAAGTGGGCGGTGAAGATGGGACATGGCAGTATTCACATGCGCACGCTAGTGTTGCTAGCGGCCGTTCACCTTGGGTGATGTTTACTTTCTTCTGTTTTGGGCTGCGGCAGAATTCACAGTTTGTTCAGAAGTGTTCACAAAGAGGCATTAAATTAACACTCCGACAATTGCCTCCAGTGCAGCTCTTCTCCGCCATCATGGAATCACAAAATCTGCAGGCGGCGTCGAATTATATCAACAACCTTTTGCTCGCCCGCGGATTATTGAAAAATGGCAAACCGATCAATTTTGCGCAGCCTGACGACGGCGAGCAAGGCGCGGATGCTACGATGGCTAAGATCATTAACCTGGTCAATGACCTCGTGCTAAGGAGAGATGTTCGTGTTGCTGATAAACCTCGTCTCATAAGGAGAGATCTATTGACAAGGATGTAGCGAGAAGCCGAGCACCGCGAGAACCTGGCAAGCACCATACAGAATCTGCGAGTCACGGAATCGCAGCAAGCAGGCGATATAGTAAGACTTACTGTACAAGACTCGCATTCATCTCAATGCGCTGACTGAACGCGAAATTTCTTAGGAGAGATTGAAATCGAAAAATGCCGAGTTAAAGCGCTCAGTCGCCCTTGCCGAAGGTCAGCAGCGTGTCCTGAAACAGAATCTATCGAGCGCAGAGTCGACCGTGCGACAGCTCAAAGAACAATCCCAGAAGCTGAAAGCAACTGTCCAACAAGTGCGCGCACAGTGTGCAAATGATATTCGCAAACGAGATATGGAATTACAGAAGCTCAAGACACACCTCAGCGAGCGACAGCGGGGGAAGCGGGAAGGCTTGGGGGTTACCACAATCAATATAAACCGTACAGCAGATATTGCCCCTCGCAACCCCGAGCCGGATATCAGCAACCCAGGTTATAACTTGAAACAAGAGACAACGGAATTCCTGACCCAACTCTGCCAGAATCTGAGTGACGAAAACGATAGCTTGATCAACCTATCGCGAACAACAATTGAAACACTAAGGGAGCTACAGGGTATATCTGACTCATCTGACGGAGATGCGTCCGCTTTCTCCAAGTCTTCTCAATTGTACAACCAGGGAGGTGCGGTCAGTGCGGTGCCTACGAATATCGTGGACTTATCTGCGGAAATGGACACCGTACTTGACCACTTGCGAACGTTGTTAACAAATCCGTCGTTTGTCCCTCTTGAAGAAGTCGAGCTTCGTGACGAAGAGATTCAACGACTTCGAGAAGGCTGGGAGAGAATGGAAGTACGTTGGAAGCAGGCGGTTGCGATGATGGATGGCTGGCACAAGCGTATCTCTGACGGAGGCGACTCTGTTGATATTGACGAACTGCGAAAGGGCATGAGCCTGGATTCGGCCCTTGGACGCTCAATCACCGAAGCAAATGAAGAATCACCTGTCTACGGTGATGATGACAATGGACCTGAAGATATGCAAGAGGATGACCAAGAAAAAGAAGAAGAAGAAGAAGAAGAAGACGCCGCTGAGCCCCAGGCGAAAATTCCGAAATCTGCGCTCTCGAAGCCTCCTATTCGGGCCCTAGGTGAGAGGAACAGTAATCGGAAATCAAAGTCCAATCGCAAAGTGTCATTTTACGATGGTGGTATGGATACGGAAGCAACAGAATCCAACGAACATACGGAGCATGACGAAAAAGATGAAACAGTTTCAGTCAAGGCCCACACATCTGAAGCAGTCACTCAGAGATCATCGCGCAGACCACCTTCTCAAATTGTAAGAGTTCTACTTTCTGCCCACCCTCAATACCTATATTCCTTCGCTCACAGAAATATTCTAGGTAAAACGAAAGTCACACCTATCGATCAAAGATAAACTGGCTGCAGTCGAAGCCGAAGCAAAGGAGGCGGCAGATGATGCTGCTGTGCAAGATAGCAAGAAAAGAAGTCGGACTAAACGCGATATCGTTCCTGCCAGGGGCAAAGGTCGTCGACGGAGTACGCTGACGAACGATGAATTGGATCAATTGCTCGGAGCGTCAAAATAAATAAGAAGGCCTTGATTGCAATTGTTCGCAACCCTTTTTTTTTTTTTTTTCATTTTGTTTCATATCTAGTTTGGTTGATACCCTTGGCTTTGGTTTTTGGCGTATGTTTTGTGCGTTCTTCGAGTTCATAAAAAGCATTGGTCCTATTCAGGCGTTAGGATAAATTAATTCTTATAATTCAGAAGATATTGCAGCGTGCTACGCATGGGAGTCTATTGACTTCAGGCAGAGTATATTCATATAGACCAATTCTATCTTTCTTATCGTTAAAGGGCATATATATCACGTGATTCATTGCCCGCCAAGACTCGCCGTCGGGCGCGTCGAAGCTCGAAGGCAAACAACTCAAGCTCAACAGATGTTTTAGCTTTTGATAAGCCTCGATGCGTCCAGCGACAGCAGACTGGATGGTAGCGAGTCAGGTCTCATATTGCCCTTGAGCTTCGACAAGTTCAAATAGTTTCGTTGCCAATTACCGGCCAAGCAGACTCCATTCATTTCGATATTCGCTTTCTCTGGAGCTACCTACTGCTTGCGCAAATCGACTCGAATTGATGAACGCAATTCTTAGCTCAATCGCCAACGCATAATAACTTGAAACTTTTGACCTCAAAGTGCCTTCAGCCATAATCAGTCAAAATGCCCTTCACGGTGCCAGACTCGACTCCACCTTCGACTCCGGACAAGTCACGAAGTCTTTTTAGCAACCCTTCGACAACTCCCGCAGGTCCTCCGCCGCCCTCGTCCCCTGGCTCTTTCACCCCGCATGGAATTCCAAATTCGTCGACCTTTGGTAACTCGAGAATGGGATCGATGTCGAATCTCAATTTCTCCGAGTCTACATTTAGTCAGTCTGGCAACTTTGGAGGGAACGATAGTCTGCTCTCATCCTTTTCTTCGTCGTCAAAGCTTCCTCCGCTACAAAATAATACGAAAAGCTCGATTTTCTCGGGCTCTTTTGGCAAACAGGCGTCCTTCAAGCCTGTGAACACTGCAAACAATTTGAAGGTGCGGAACAGGAAGCCACATGGGTTGAGCCAAATGAGTGCAGCAAGTGAGGATTGGGAAGATGAAGAAGGCGACGAGGAAGAAGAGGAAGAAGAAAACGAGGAGGAGGAGGAAGAGGAAGAAGAAGAAGAAGAATATGTTGATGATGAAGGTGAAGGAGCCGAAGAAGGCGAAGAAGGCGAAGAAGAGTACGAAGATGAAGAAGAAATGGAGGAAGACGACGATGAACAAGAGGACAGAGAAAGTGATTGCGATATGGAAATGGACGCCACTAGCAATTTCTCAGGGCTACAGAACGAATTCTCAAACTCGATTTTTAGCAAGAGTTTTGGCCCAGCCCCGGCACAGAAGAGAATATATTCCAACCCCAACAACGCCAAACGCGCAAAACTTGACGAAAAATGGGCTACGTCATCCCCTACCACTGGGAAAGATGTACCTAGCCCACGAAAGAAGCCATCTCAATTCCCATCTGTTGCTCGCGATTTAGCCTCACGTGCCAAACCCGCAGCTGTTACGGAATCTGGAGAAGTAGTAATCTCGACAAACGAGCATGTTTGTGAGTTGCTAGACAAGCTTCAGGCCACCGAAATAGGAGAAAACGATGCCTCCGCTTTGGTTTCTGAAGCAACTGCTGCTTTGACCGATTTATGGGGTGCTGCATGCGAGAAGAAGAGGGAACAGAGCGGTCGACATAGACCTTTGGACGATTTTGGTCCCGGCCCAAATGCAACGGGTCTTGAAAAAGCTACTGTTCTTGCATCCCTTCTACTACGCTTACATCATCCTCCCGTCAAGGACTCTAGCAGTCGCGACTTCAAATTTCCAACTGGCCGTATTCCCACTCAGAGTCTTGTTCTTTCTGCACCTGGTACCAAGACACTCGTTTCTATCCCTAAGGTTATAGTCGACTGGCTTAATGAGAACCATCTTGGCTCCATGCATGAAATTGAGGCGTTACAGCAGACCAGCCCTAACCCCACTGCTTCCCCGGACTTCTGGGAGATTGTCCAGGCTGGAGTGCTCCGTGGTCGATTTGGTGATATGGCTGCACTTCTTCGGTCTGCGGATTTCAACTACGCTCGTTCGGCACTGCAAGATGGTTTCTCCCAACCTGGATATCGCGGGATGCAGTTACAAAGTGTTCAGAAGGCGGTCAACAAAGTTATTCAGATGCTTGAGGCATCTCCCATTAACCGGGATGACGACTGGGATGTCACCGGCTTTGAGTGGGCTGCCTACAGAAAACGAGTCCATTCGGCTCGAGCAGAGCTGCAAGAGTTCGCTGAAGGCGAGAATGCCGGTCAGCAGCCAGGTGGCCTTAGATTTGAAGCTTCCCAATTCGGCGTGTCTCAAAATTTCGCTCCTGCGCAGTCAGGATTCTCATTCACACAATCGTTGCGCATGGCAGAGAGCCGGATACCATGGTCAATCTACCAGGGCATTAATAATATCTATGGCGTTGTTCTTGGTGAAATGACAGCGATTATGTCTGTCGCTCAGGACTGGGTCGAGTCGACAATTGGTTTGACAACATGGTGGGATGGGCAGGAGAATAAAAAGAACAAGAACTCACGATCTCTTCACATCGGCGCCGTGGGAACAGATGCCCAAGATAAATATCTGCAACGACTAGATGATAGTTTTGCAGCCGCCACAGAGGGTGCCGAGGCGAAGTCGCGGCCTAATCCTCTTGATCCACTAGATGTTGGAGTGGCTTGTGTTTTTGAAGGAAACGTCATTGGAGCTGTCAAATTGCTTGAAACATGGTCATTGTGCGTCGCTGCAACTGTTGCCGAAATAGCACATGAGGGCAGGTGGTTGGACGTGTCTTCAGTCAAACCGTCTTTACCAGACTTTCTCAACCAGAACGACCTGATGGTGCTGTCTTATGGGCAGGATGACAACTCTGCCGTAGACCGGCTAAGTAAGGATGATGTCTTGGATGCTTACTCATCTGGATTGAGCTACAGGGATCAGTTTCAATACAATGGAATAACTCGCAAAGGCTGGGAAATGGGATTGGAGATCCTCAGCAGAATGGATGACACTAACCGAACCAAAGAGAGAGTCTCTGTTCTGTTGGACCAGATTCCTGTTGGCAAAATAGAAGAAGTGGAGCAAGTGATTATTCTATGTGGCGACCTCGGATTCGAGGATGAAGGTCGAAAGATCGCTGCTGTGAGTCATTTTTTATTGAACTTCTGTATTGTTGTGTACGAAACTCAGACTAATAACAACAGAATTTTGGAGAACAAATCATAGCAGCCGGTCTATCTCATGCAGATTGTGACTATGGGCTTGCGATGATTTGTTTTGCGCGAGCACGTTCCATTCGCAAAGTGAAGGAAATTGCAAACAACCTCATATCTTATTCCTTACAACAATCTCGCGCTTGGCCACCAGATGAGCAGCTCGGAGGCCAGCTGCGATCTTTAGTTAAGAATCCCAAAGTGTGCCTATCATCCATTGCAAAGTTCGACAGTGAGGCAGCCCAGATCCTGCAATTTTACGCTAGTGGCTACGCTACACTGCGTCGATTTTATGATCTTCGCGACGAGCCAGTGTTATCGACAGACAGTCGGCTTCAGTTACGCCCACAAGCTAGAAAACGAGCCGCAGCCGAAGCCCTAGTTGCAGTGATTCGAAGCTCGGCTGATAGCATTTATGGCGGTCTTTACGACGTCGAACGAGACTCTGCCGTGCTTGTTGACAATCTATTGGCCCTTTTGGGCGAGGCCATAATTTTTGTCAATCGTAAGTCACTGCATACGCGTCAATCTCTTGAATGAGAAGCGTGGGGGAAAAAAAAATGAAACATTCGCTAATAATGTTGCAGCAGAAAAACCATCTTTTCTTTCCATTGAGCAGCAATCCAACATCCTAGCGGCTATCGAAGATCTCGAAACCGTCACACCTCGGGTCTTTGCGGCCGCGCAAGAATTCTTTTATGAATGTCTCAATGAATACATATTCGAGAAAACGGGAGAAACGCGCAAAGCATCTTGCTCTTCTTCACCAGCCTCATCATCACTGGCGACAGCAGCCGGTCTAAAGAAATCAACGTCCGGTCTGACAGCCTCAAGCAGCAGCTTCTCCATGATCGATAGCCACATGGCCGAGTCATCGATCACAAATAAAACCAACGCCACCAACGCCTCTACTACTACTACATCCGGGGTGGTGATTCCTAAACCGGACACGGCCAAAATATACGCAACGCCAATTCAGCGGGGGTGGGATTGGCGCGTCGGCCTTGCTGAGTCGGCGGGAGCGGGCGATGTTGATATGGAAGGGGGAGAGGACCAGATCAGTCCGGACAAGAAGTTGCTTCGTGTATTGCGATTGCGCTTGGCGCAAGGGATGACATGGCGATAAGACTTGGATAAAAGCCACAATAATAATATCTTGCATGCATTGGATTAGTTGAGTAATAGATAAAAACATTGGTATGCAGGTGAAGGGATTATCATCAATCAGTCAATTTTGTATGAATATATGTAGTTACAGAAAAATGGGGCGCTGGCTGGTTTTGGTTTAATGTTCACCATACTGTTGATTGAGAGTATACCTACCTAGGCACAAAATTCGATGCATATTCCGTCCTTTACCCAAGTTGCCAGCCTAGGTCCCTAGGTACTATTGCTGCTTCGTACATAAGACGAGAATCCATTCTGTACGATGAACAGGTTGCTTTACAATGTAAAGACCAAGACAACAGAACGTCTTGCAAAGAAATGAAGATAGCATGTATCGTTCGGTCTGACTATTGGACGAGTTTTCATCGATACCTGGTTCTCCAACATGCCATGCCACCAGTCAAGAGCATATCAAAATTTCGAATGAAGGTGCACATTTAGACCGAAATCTCTTGCTGTTGACCCCCGGGACGCTGCTCAGATGTTCTCTTTCTGGCTGAAAACCGGGCCTTGCGGTTACTCTAGTCTTGGAGAAGGCGATTGGACGTTCTGTCTATCCTGGCTGGTAGTCATACTGGGAGAGCAAGAATACTTACTTATATTTTGCACAACGCTCGCGCTTTTCACGGGGCCAGTTGAGATCAGAGAGCAAGGAACTTTTTCCCAGCAACTGTTCCAAGGTTGTTGGAAGCCTGCACAATATGGCATTATTCCCACGGCATTTGCATAGTTAGTTAGTATGTTAGCGTTGTTGTGATATTCGGTAAAAGGGATATACAGCTGAGCCTCCAAAGTAAGCCCACCGCCAACCTTGGAATGTTCTCAACCTGTTTAAGCTCGCTCGTGGCATGAACGGGCCTCGTCCACTGTCTCCATGAACCCCTCCCCAACGTCATAAGGGCTTTCTTTTTGTTTTGATATCATGGCATTTATCAAAACACTTATCTTGGCACAAGGTCTGTTCTCATCTCTAGCCTATGCCGATGCGTCAAACTTGAACCCTCACGGCAAAGGTTGTGTCGATCCAAGTGGCTATCTTCAATGTTATCAGCAGAATGAGAATGACCTTACTTCGTGCTTGGCTGATGCGAAGAAAAACTTGCCTGATTGCAGCGCTTGTCTGGTGCAAACCTTGAAAGGTTGTCTCTTTTACAGCCAGCGGACAATCTTTCACTTCCCCATTGGCAACCCTGCCACTGTTTGCACACTGTAGGAGATGAATGAAGCTGGGGTACTGCAGTGTTCCGATCGATCAGAGAATGTATTCCGTACTGATAATCTCAAAGAAGACATCAACGCATTAGGAAATAATGAACCGTAGAAAAGAGGGATCCAGCTGTGTTGGAAATGACAATGAATAAAATATCTACCCTTGTGTGTGTATATATATACCTGTGTCGTCAATCAGGAGATTTATTTTGGTCATCTTCTCTCTTCAACATTGGCATCTTCAATACTCGATTGGTCAAAATCCACTGATCTCCTCCCCAAAGACGACTAGTAGGGTTTCGAATGGCCGATCTACTGCAGACTCACCGACCAAGAGTCGCTTTATCGACCTTCGGAACATGGGGTCTTTTACCAACCCATCCTCCAGCATATAAAAATGTGCCTAGGACCCATGGTTATCGAAAAGTTCCTCAAGATACATCAATTCCTATCAACATGGAGGATCAGGCGCAAGGTCAAATTGAACGTATTCTTGACCACTCATTGGACAATCTTTCCGCCGAGGATGTTATGGAGTTGAGACGTACCTCTGAGCGTTCTCCTGTTCTTGACAAGGTCTCCCCTGCGGAGTATTTGAACTGGCTTGACAAAGTCGGTGATGATATCCGTGGTGCTGAGTATGATGCACAGAATGCATGTATTGTCTTGAAAGGATGCCCAGGCTGGATGCATGAAGCTGCAGCTGATGTGGTCCGTGAAGTCTTCTATCAAATACGAGACAGATTGAGTGCCGCTACTGGCTCGGACTACATCTTGACCGGCAGTACAGGTATGTTGATAGATCTATCTCTTTATATGGATTGATTTATAACTATATTCTTAGATTGTCTGTTAGTCGACAAATATGACGGATCTATAAAGCAAGCAGATGCATCTCTCATGGAATTCGAAGCTGAATGGCCAGTTGTGGTTCTCGAGGTTGGCATTAATGAGACTACAGAGAAGCTCTGTGGAAATGCAAATCGATGGTTGAATGGTAGTGATGGCGATACCAAACTCGTTATACTTATCAATGTTCAAGAGATAGGCCATAAAGCACTTCGCAGACACATCTTGGATTGGTACGGATCTAAGAACATTCGCCTTCATGGTAGCTTCGAGCTATCTGTGGATTTATGGTACAGCGATGGTGTCGGGCAATGTATCTTGAACAAGGCTGCCTTCTCACGGGACAATTTGATCGACCTGATGATAATCAACGATGTGCCAATAGACACCCCATCTCCGGGCTGTCAGCTGGGGATCTGGAGATGGCATCTATCCCTGAAAACTGCTTTATTCGTTCTTTTCTCCCCAGAATTAAGACTCCCCGGTTTAAAAAGGTTGCTCCTGGCCTAGAAGTGCCACGTCATTTCCCATCATTTGCTGCGCGTCAGAAGTTCACCGGACTACCACGTCATACTGAAGAGGGTATGGTTATCCCCTCTGTTCTACTCTTTGAGGCTCCAGGTCACTCCGTCCCCTTCAACGAGGAGATTAGATGGAAGTGTTTTACTGTCAATGACCCCGTGCCATACACCAATCAGCCTATCCCCTGTAGGGCTATACAGTTGCTTGGTAGAACGGGATAAGCCTGATATCGCAGAGGACGGCTTCTATCTTCTGCTGCCAGATCCCCCTTTCGAACGGCAGGCTAGGCAGAGTGATGGTAGCTTGGTAGATCGGCATTCACTCACGCAGCTCTTCCAACATGGTGGTTATTTTCCATTTGGTGGAGAGTTCCGAGCCCAGAGACTGGAGAGATTGCTCAACAAATGGCGTGAATGATAGGTTCCACGGCGCAGAGCTTGGTGCATGGCAGGATTATTGGATTCCTCCATACATGCCTGCGAGACAGAGGAGCCTGTCCCAATCTAGTTCGTGCGGCAGCAGGCCACTTGCAAGGGCTGAGCGACCGCAGCGTTGTCTCGCACTGACTCCAGAGTCCCAGGGCTGCCTATGATTGGATATCAGAATGTAGCTACATCTCAGTTACAGCTGCTCATGTTTGGAGTTAGTCAAGTGCCAGGTGCCAACCGCATGCGCACTTGCTGCTTCTCGCATACAGATAGTAAAACACCAAAACACAGATATCGACCAAGCGATATTAGCGCTAGGCTATTTGTTTGAGACAGAGAAAGGAAATATATAGTGTCTAAGGGACGACTAGGTGCTACCGCTTGGTTCCTATTTATACTGTTAAGATTAATCAACATAGTATTTTCTATCATAAATAACCAGAAATTCGTGCAACTCTATTCAAGAGAGGGTTCTAGATTAGTTAGATATACACCCCCCCTTGTCAAAGCAGCCGTCTTAATCCAGATACTAGATGAGAGCTTTCGTATTCTCTATGAAATAAGAAAAAGCTAATACAAATATACCAAGAATAGATTAGTCAGTATTATATTGTGATTGCTTACCAGCAAGGACAACTACCACTGTGCCTTGGTCGAGCGGACCAACAAGAGCCCAGAACCCTGTGTGTATTGATACATCTAAGGTATGATTACGACCTATGAGTGAGTATCCATCTCGAATTAGGTACTCTGTACAAATTTTGGTTGGTTACCCATGCGTTACAACAACAGATTCCCATAACCCCTTTGCTAGCGTGTATTCAGGGGCATGCATGGTTTCAGCCACACGTATCAACTCGAAGAATTTGTTGGATAAATACTTCAAAACGCCCCTACACGGTCGGATGCCAATTTTCGTTGGTGTAGAGAAAATGCGCCAAAGGCTTAGAGTGCGAGGCGAAGCAATTATGAGTTGGCGTTGGCACCAGACTTGCCAGGCTGGAGAAATAGTAGCTGCTATATGAAGGCGCCTGTTGCTCTCTCTGTTCACTAACTTGTCAAGTTTATAGTTCGACGCTCTTGATAAAAAAATTGCACCAAAGTTACCACCTCTTTTAGAACCTGAATATCTCGTACTCGTAATGTCTGCCCCTCCTGTCCTTGTTCGCCCAGCACTTGGTGAGGCTGCTTCGCTGGGAACGTTGTATGATGCTCGCACCGACTCTTTTCTCCCACTCTCAGCCCTGCAGACGCAGCCTCCTTCTTCGCTCATCACCAAAACCGACATCCACGACAGTGACACTCGGTATCTCCGCGATGATACTCTGAAATAAAAGCTTAGTGACTTGGATATTAAAGCCCAGCTTGGTGCAAGCTTCCTGGCCGGTCTGGTCAATGTTGAAGGATCGCGGAAATATCTGTCGGAGGGCAGAGACAGCAACTTGGTTGCTCATCAGTCTTTGCTATACAGTGTGACTAAGGTCAGCGAAAGACTGGAATTCCAGACAAAGGAAGTTGAAGACTCTATTTCTTGGTCTGCATTGGAAAAAGGTTATGCGACGCATATTGTGTTTGAGATCATTTGGGGCTCACGGAGCGTCGTCACGGCGAAGCAGATCCTCTCTCGAGAGGATAATGCGAAAGCAGTCACCGGCAACTTGGCTAGCCAGCTCAAGTGTTGGGAGACGTTTGGTGAGGGGAGAGGCGACATGGTCAACAGAGACGAGAGCTTGGATAGGTCATTGGAAGTCACTGTCTTTGGCGACGTCCTTCCTAGTGATGGCCTCATTCCAACCGATCTTGCAAGCGCGTTCCGTTTTCTCACCAATATCCCAACGTATATTGGGAATGCAAATAGTGGAAAGGGAAAACCTCTAACCTACAAGTTGATGCCGATATCTTTGCTTGCCGGTGTAGTTAACCGCATGATTTCGATACCACTTGTAATTAACAATCTTGAGACCGAATGCTTCGAAAATTTTGTTCAGATATTTGATGAAATTACAGCTATTCGCCAGGAGTTGAATGACTACCGCGCTTTCCTTGGAGAGAACCGCGGCTACGTTCCTCCAGACCATATTCGAAGTGTGGAGGTCAAGATTTCGGAATCCAGGCACCTTGAGACCGTGGGATTTGCTGAAAGACTTTGATTCGAGGAACTCTGAAGTACACCGGCTAGCGGACATCACCTTCAGCGGTTACAAAGAGAAGATCCAATTCCTGGATGATCTGGTAACCAAAGGAGCTAAGTATGTGGGATTCAATGGCCGGTAGCTTGATACCGAGCTGGCTAGTAATCGAGACATTGATATATATGTCTTTCACCTCAGCAGAACGGCGAGATTGCATTGAGAGCTTTGGAAGCAGAACCTGACGATACTCTATCAGCTCTTGAATGATCCCACACACCGGGTTCGCGTCATTCTCAAGGATCAGGACGCAGTTGAAGAGAAACTTGATGTACCGAGGATTGTTCTCATCCGGAACGCCGAAGTAATAATTCTAGACGTTCTTCAAGACCGGAAACTCTCTTCCAGCAAGCGTTTCGCTCAATCCATCGAAGCGTATCTTGATAATGGATCTCCCAAACCAGTCCGAAGAGTCGTGATGAAGATTCCTTGCCCGAAAATTTACTGTGGTTCAACCACTAGCCACAACTGGTTTTGCACACGATGTGGTACACTGATTGAATATGGCCACATCGATGACTACCTGTACTGCGACTGCGGGCGTTGTAAATACACTTCGTGGAGCTTTAGATGCTCGAATACGAAGCATGGCCTGGACTTCAGCACGTATGACAGCGTCACACTAGCTCAACTTCTTAAGTCATTAGAGCCATTCGAGGAGCTAAATATTTTGGGAAAATCGACCTGGATTAATGCTTTCGTGAACTATCTGTCGTTCCCATCACTTGATGAAGCTATGAATATGGAGAAGCTTTGCTGGAGGATACCATTCGCTTTCAACACTTACAGCGTAAGGGATGATGGCGAGTTTGAGAAGATTAAGGTGAGCTACGGCTTTGAGCGCCATTCAGAGAATGAACCAGTTGTGCGGCAAGTCAGCATTGAAGAGGTCGATGGCACCACTGGAGAGTCGGCAACCCAGAATGCTACAGTACATCGGGTCATGATTGGAGAATGCCTTGTGAGGATTATCGACACGCCAGGCATTGGTGACACACGAGGAGCCTCTCAAGATAAGAAAAATATGGCAGATATCTTGAGTGTCATTCGCACATATGAAAAACTACACGGAATTCTGATTCTACTTAAGCCGAATGAGCAGAGACTTAGCGTTACGTTGCGCTTCTGTATTCAAGAACTCTTAACACACCTACATCGCGATGCTGCAAAGAATATAGCGTTCGGCTTCACAAACACAAGGGGAACCAGCTACACTCCAGGTGATACGTTTGATCCGTTGCAAGCACAATTGAACAAATATAGGCATGTTGACATTGGTCTCCGATCACGGAATGTGTACTGTTTTGATTCCGAGAGCTTTTGCTACCTTGCAGCCTAGAAACAACACGAAAAGTCGTTGGGCCATTTTGAAGAGAATCGTAAGAGTTGGGAACACTTGGTGGAGGAATCGAAGCGCCTCCTCGATCACTCCAAGAGCATTTTGCCACATCGAGTTACTAGTACTGTGAATTTGTATGAGACAAGACACAGAATTTTCCAGATGACCGAACCAATGGCCGCCATTGCGGAGAAAATCAAGTCTACTATTATGATTAATGAAGACCAAATCAAAGATCTCACACAGAGCGATCTGAAGAAGAAAGACTTGGAAGAAAATATGAAAATTCGTGTGAACACGCTCACTGCCGTCGCTGTTGAGAACCCACGAACTGCATGCGCTCATGCTGACTGCGTTGAACACTCGAATACCGGACTCATAGGCATGGATGGAAAACCAATGCTGGGAACTGTATACAAGACTTTGTATCACAACCCATGCCATTTGGTCTTCCAAGTTGACAAGATAGGAGTTGCTGGCTTACAAAATTGTTGGGCCATGAATGGAAAAAGGCAGCTGCCGAGTCTGCAGCCATCTGTGGAACTTCCATCTACATATCAAACACGAGTACGAAGATGGAAGCACAGAGATGGATAATCCGATGGTCATAGAAGCTCTTGAGCGAAACGCAAGCGACCGCGAGAAGAAAGAGGCTGCAATCGCCAGTAAGGTGAAACTTATCGAAGACCTCGAGCTCGAACTGAAGATGGTCCGTGATGCAGCCGCTCAGTTCAGTATCTTTCTTAGAAGGAATGCCATAATGCCGGTCAACGACGCAACCTTGGACTACTTGGACCTTCAGATAGAACAGGAGAAAGGGAAGATTTCTGAAGGAGGCAGCAGAGACAAGTTTAAGAGACTTTCTGACTTCCGAAAGCAGTATGAACAAGAAGTGAAGATTCTGACGGAGTATTGGCAGAAGGGCGACAGTCAAAAGTTGTTGGACCAAGCTGACGTTGAAGGTCTTATGCAACATTTATACTCTCTTCAGCATTACGGGAGTCAACTGCAACAGGCGAATCAGGTCCTAAACAGAATAGGAGTAATCAGCAACAGAGAGAAAACGAATGTGATACATGCGAAAGCCCACTTTACGGAGCGAGCAGGGCAGTCCATAAAAACACAGAAAGCCGCTGCTATTACAGTCAACGAGGTTGCAGAAAGGCAGACTGCTTTCAACAGCTCCTTCATAAGTTGGGTCCCGAAATATGCAACGGCACTTTGGTCTAATCGATTCTGGATGAAGAAAAAATGATGGAAATATTCACTAAACGCAAAAGCTGGTTTTGCAAAACAGAGATCATTGTAGGCTGGCGGGTTGGCTAAGCAGCCTGAAGCTTTGTACGGGATAGGGATTTTCGCGGATATTTTGACGTAAGGCTACGCTGCCAACAAGCCTATCTAGCGGTGCCGAATCTAGGAATAGTCTTAGCAGTTTCAAGAGCACGTTTATCGTTTTGTGACGGCGACTGGCTCGGCTGTACAGATTAGGAAGCCTTGCTGGGAAGCTCTGGTCAAATCTCTAAGATATTCGTACGCGACATTCTGTCTATTAGGGATACATAGTTGTTTATATTGTATGGAGATATTCTGGGATCATATGGAAAGCCTTTCGAAATAGATATGTGGCCATTAGCCCCTAGCTAGATTTCTCCTCCTTCCTGCATAATGAATATTCTTATTGCATGCGGACACCTTTACAAATTGTTGCACCGTCACAGAAGGAACAAGCTACGTGTCGCCTATCGTGGGCTTAATATTCTACTCCCAAGCGAGGCACGTTCCCTCATCTAACTCCGACATGAGTTTATTCCCAAATCTGGCACCTTCCAGAAGAATTTGGACCTTACGTCTTGCGTACGTCCTGCCAACGACTTCGGTTACGAAGATGGAGCCTCTATACCGTCTCACGGGGTGTATTTATCAATAACCTTTGACTGAATCACATTCAGCTATGAGTGGTGCAATTCACCACAGACATCTTTGGTGCTACAATATCCTGTAGCAGTGACTGTCGGAGATTGTTTATGGTCTGGTAGTAAGTGTTTTGGTAGTCCTTTCCGTCATCGAATGACATATACATGGCTTTGGTATCAATCTACAGTCAAAACTTACAAATAAGTAGGATTTTGTATACCAAGTGGATCTAATGTATGTCAATGCATAAACATGAAGCAGTTGCCGACGGAATGCATAATCCACGAGGTCGTCTCTGCGATCCGATTGCCGTAGCTAAAATTCCAGTAGCTATACGGAAATTATCCTCCTGCTCTGTCTTCGTCATCGGTGTCTCGCCCAATAATGTACTAAAGGATGAATCGTATATATATTTTTCGAAACCTCAAGTTGAATAAAGGCATACCTATGTAGGTCGTATCAATGTTGATGTTGGTACAACAAGAAGGCCATCCATCCACATAATTCCTGAGCCTACTGTGACCGGCATTGTCATTGATCGCCCAGGGTTAGTGAGCACGCTCGCTATGTAGTCAGTCCAAGGAAGAGTCTAGTACTACTTCATCAAAAACCGCCCACAATTCTGGTTCAGAAAGACTTTCACCACTTATCTATCATTGGTCCTCCAGCTCATCATTTCTCTCAGCCGTTGCCGACACATCATGGTTCACCAATACAGTCGGCAGTGATCATCAACACTTAGGTTTTACAACTACACTACCCTTATCGACCACAGATCCGGTTATATATGACTCTCAAACATTGATTATAACATCACAGCATGCAGACTCGAAAGCTGAACATGACAACCTGTCCGAAGCCCTCACTGAATCTAGCTCATCTGCCGTCGTCACAGGAATGGTTGGTATACAATCTAATCTTAATACAATAACAATCATAACTACCACCAGGGATGGTGAAGTTCCAGACCTTAACACAGAGATATTAACCACCACTATTGATCCTTTTACTTTGACTAGTCAAACTGCGGTGCCATCTACACAGGATGCTGTCTGGACCTTAAGCACGCCTTTCAATCCCAGTTTCCACCCAACAGTCGCAAGACGCATCCACTTTAAAGACCAATATGCTTTACAAATAGGCTGGTCGAAGATCCAGAAAGGGACTAGAGTGACACCAACTTGTGAGCAGGATACGATGAGGCACATTACAGTCACAAGAAATACAGACATTAAGACAACGTCAACTCAGTTCAGTAGCTCCTTGCAATCATATACCAATTTCGCTGAGCCTACAAGAAGTGAAGGGCAGATCCAGTCTACTGATGACTCCAACAGATCTTCAGTGACATTGAAAAAAAGCGCCGAAATATCAGCAGGGGCTGTTGGTGCAGCGCTATGTATGTGTTTTTATTAAGATCTTTGTATTTGTACGTTACATTAAACAAAGAGGTAAAAACAAGCGAGGGTTATCAATAACATAGTTGCACAAGAAGCTCTCTTACCACCTAAACATCGATAAGCGAATTTTTTGGAGGCGGTCTATTTTCTATCATTCCTTAGCCTTCAGCGATAGAGATTCCTGCTCCAGAAGCTACCGCACTCTGATGGGGTGCCAAGGGCGGTGAATCTACGGGAGCACTAACCTACATACAATAAGTGGGTGGCAGAATGTCTGGACGACCCCCACACAGGTAAATGTATGCGAATATAGCCTAACAACACTGACCGCTCAGTTAGTTACCATTAATAAACATGGCTGTTAGTAAGAAGTTAATCTGCCTTGGCATTGAGGCATTCATTCTATCACTATTTAGTTTCTATATTAATACCACTCCTACTAAGACTTTGAGACGCAGGATAGTGATACAGCCTACTACTATACCCAGCCTGGCCAGGTATGCGGATATAGAGGGCAAATATCAGCTGACTTGGAGTGCTAAGTGGGGACGTTTTTTTTTTTTTTTTTTCTTTTTATATAACATGGATATTAAAGTTGATTACGTAGGCTTGAATTAATAATAAGACCATGCAATAGTTAAGACAAAGTGGTTTCTTTTTTTGCCTGAAGAGCCTCTGGCAGGCTGACGTGCTTTGATATTCTAGAGTATGCTAAGCTTTGAAGAGTTAAAGTTGTCGTGTCGTGTATATTTATTGTGATATCCCCGTATATACATCGACCAATTGGGCCATTCAGTGGTGAACACGAACACGAAACAAGCCAATTAACAAAATACCATGTAGTATGATAAATAAATCATAATCGATATAATTCATCATTGACCATTATAGCCATGTTAACATATATTGCCATACAATACGGAGTCCATATAAGCTGCCGGCGTGCTCAGCCACACTAGACTGCCTGCCGTGGCCGCAGCCCGGCTCCATATTCAACAACTGCCCAGGCATATTTGCCCAGGTTTAAGTTCTGATACTTATTATTAGCAACTTAGCCAGTGAAGATGATATTCAGTCAGCATCGTATTTTCGGACTAGCCGTACATGTATGTTGTAACTAAACATAGAAAAATCTTAGTAACCCGGGCGGCGTGGCGATTTCTTCTACTCTTTTTGCATGCCATGCCGTGCAGTGTGAGGAGTGAATACGAACGAGTATATTCTAACTGTTATCAGACAGTGCGATGCTATACATACAACTTCTTTTCTTTTGTCGCTGCTTAGGCCTAAGTTCCATGTTTTATTAGTTTACAAAATAAGAATGCATCTGCATGCAACCCCCGTATACACAGGCTGTCAAACAGACCATGTCTGCGTCAACGGCTCTGCAAGGACGCTGCAACTCTAGCTGAACGGGCGCCCGGGTTCGTATATGGGCAAATCAGGAACTGTTCGCTTGTGGGCGACTAATGCAGGTGAGATGTGGCTAGTGAGCCTGGATTTCGGGATCCACGGCCCCTTGCCAGTGAGTCATAATAGTATTAGTAGTATTCGGGTGTGAGGTATTCTTAGGACTTGTCCGCGATCCTTCTCTTGACTGAGTCAATTTCCTGGGTTTTTGGCCCGTTTTGAAACGTTTTGTAAAATCTAGTCGCAAAGATGGAAATCGGACCATATGTGGCCTGCGTCACAAGACCTAGGCTATTACTCATAGTCTCAGTCTCAAGTCTCATGTTGGTATAGTTGCTCGAACCCGGTACTGTGGATAGGCCCCTGCGGAGTTCAAACTGAACGTGCCAATCCAGCTGAAAAAACGAGCCCTGGCGCAGGGGCGTAGCCAGCCAAGCAGGCCAAGCAAATCCCGTTTTCCGTTTTCCGTTGTTATTCTGTTTGGCTTGCAGGACATTGGACATTGGCCATCGGACATCGTAGACGCTGTCAAAGCTGGGACAACGTGGCCGAGACTCAGCCTCGGCGCAAGACTAAAGAAATGAGCATTCCGTAGATTCCGTCGTACGAAAAGAAAGCCCTAAATCTAAGGCAGCGAGGCTGGTGAGCGGCCGCCAAGCCTACATGCTAGCTGCATCGGGGCTAGTGGGGGTGGTTAGCTCTTGCTTCCTCTTCCTTTCCAACTTCAACTTCTTCAGTATCTGCACTGACCGAGAGTCGCTGGCGCTGGCTGGCTGGCTGACTAGCGCAATGCGCGGTTATTCTTCTGCCTCGTCTTGGCTGAATATCAATTAAGCGAAAGGCGGAAAGAAGAAGAAAAAGAAAAAAAAAAAAAAAAACCTGCTAGTCCGACGCCGGAGCCGACGACATCTGCCGTATTCCGTCCCGCTAACTAGCCCGCAGTAGCTCGCGCGCGACACGAAGAAAATGACATCGTCTGCCTGGTCCACCGTCCCATAATGCGATACGGGATGATACGGGGTGGTGGGGAGCGTTGCTTGCATTAGTCCAATTGATCGTGCATCCCTAGTCCTAAGCCAAGTCCTTTGGCTGCTGCGGTCATCATCAGCATCATTATTCACTAACCAACGATACTGCTTCTCGTCGTCGTCTTGCTGCCCGTGCCGCTGCATTCCTGCTGCTGAGTCCAGATTCATAATTACCTTACCAAACCGACCTGCCTCTAGCTTGCCGTCCGAGCTGCCGGTTCGGGATCCGCTCGCTCGCTCATTCTTCCTTTTCTTCAGTCTGCAATATGGGTCCTGGCCGTTTTGTTTCTCGGCTGGTCCCGCGCAGATGGAACCCTCGTGGCTGATACTCTGCTTCCTCTTAATATATAATCGTCCGATTGCGCCCGCCTCGGTTGGAGATCTCCAGACACAAACCATAAATACATCCACATCTCTCCACCAAACACAGATTTGTACCCTTCCTCTCTTTACTCTAGCAGCAAGCCAAGACCGTCTTTCTTTGATCTTCATATTCGTTACTTCGTTTTTTTGCTCTTGCGCCTTTGTTTGCCAGCGTTTGCTATCTGGTCTCTTTTCTTTGTTTTTCTTTTGCATCATAAGCATCACTGACAGCTCGAGCGACTTCACATATATAAATATCTCGCCCACCGTGCCTTGGTCACTGACGTTCCACGGCTCTGACTTTGTTAAAATATAATTCTCTCGCGACATTCAATCTATCTGTTTATCGACAGTCTGCCATTCATAATGTGCTATCAGGTCGTCGAGCGATACTCGGTGTGCCGCTGTCTGTATTACCAGCATTCTGTGGATCCATGCCAAGCTTACGGACAACGCCATCACGTTGTTCAAGAAAAAACCGTCCTCGTGGGCTATGCTTGTCCCGCACATTCGACTCGGCAAGGCAACGGCAACTCGCACAACAATCCCAAGGGCTACCGGTAAGCGTGGGATGCGTAGTCATCGGGTTATGCTGCTGCCAAATGGCCCAATTCCCAGAAAAAGGAAGATGGTGGCGAACGCGGGCATGCTCATAGGAACTCTCCTTTCGTTTTTTTTTTTTCTTTTTTTTCGAGGTGCCGGACACTTCGGTTTATTTCTTTTCGACTCTCGGCAATCACATAGTTGACATGCCAACTATCAACAACATGACGGACTTTGAGCAAACTCAAGGTTGCAAGTAACGCTGAAGCCATACCATATAGCGCTTGACTCCCAGGCGGATCAGGTGTGCGGAGGATGGACAACGCGACATTGATATCGACGGACTCGCACTTATGACATACTTGGAGTCATTGTCTTGAGTTACGAAACGAGCCATGCTTGAATAACGATCGGCAACGATGTACTTGCGCAAATTTATGTCCTCGTTTTCCGCTCTTCTGGCTTTGCATAAACGGGGTTCTTGGGTCTGTTTTCTTTTCTTTTCTTTTTTCGGTTCCAGAAGACTTGCTGCATTTGTGGCGTTATCTCTTTTTGCTTTTTTTTGTTGAGGTTTTCACAATTTCCGGGTCTGTTTATATAAGCGGCATACACTGTTTTGTTTTGATCTTTTTTTGTCCTATATTTTTGTTTTGTGCTTGCGAGAATCAGAACTGGCGTCTGATTTTGTCTATTTGTTGAGAGATATTTATGCTGGACCAGGACATTCTATGTCAGACTTTCTATGAGCCCATTTCCTGTCTCTGCATAGATACCATGGGATGCTCGAAGTGCCAGGAGCACTTCAATTATCCATTCATTCATTTCAGCCATCCCACGGATCTTGCATTTGAACTGGTTTTCAGATGTGAATGTTTCCGATTTCAGTTTTCGAGCTGTCTCAACGAGCTAGACAACAAATGATAGGGCGGCTGGAGCTGTGGTTAGTATCGTGCGAGACTTGAGACTGGCGCGTTCTGAGATGGTAGACATCTGAAGCGTTCGTCAAGGGCGGCTGATGACACAGAAACAGACTGACGATGGACGACCCTGGAGATTTGGTTTATTTTGTCTTAGTTCTTGTCACCATAGCCCTGATACGAACCATCATTTGTCTGTTGGTCATGTCAACGATGCATTGCTGGGAAATGCTATGTATTATTTTATATCACCATGTACTTTTTAAAAACAAGCCCCCCAAAAAAAGGACAGCGAAAATGGACTACAATCTCACTCATCTCCGTTTGTATAACTATGTCCAGGTAATAAAAGCATACATATACAACATCGTGAAGAGCAGACAATATTTTCAACTGTTTTTCCTAATTTGGCAACCATTTGCCTATCTAGGTAGTTTTCGAAATTGGAGACTTCTATAGTTAATTTCCCGACTAGCGTGTGCGGCGCCGCTTTATCCTCTTGCAATCGCAAAAATCCGTCAACTTTACACGACGGAGGGTCTGCTACCGCGCATTAATTCCCTACCACTGGGCAATTTTAACCCGAAGAAGGCCCTATAACCGATGTCTTACTGGTATAGTGGTTCAATCTGACAGGCATAGGTTTTCTAAATTTCTACCACCGCTTACAAATTCTCTACCACCGGGCAATCGTAAACCCGTCGTAATCCGTACATATGTATTCCGTGTCGGCCCTAAGGAAGGACGAAAGCGAATGCATTTCACGGATAGATCGGCCACCAATTCACATTATTGTATACATATCGCATGTTCTAACAATATTAACAGAGACTCATCTTAAAATCTTAGCCTTGCTTACAAATGGTTCAACGAAATGATTATTAAGCCAGAAGTGCACGTCCCGTAAAATCCCTCATCTGTTAGATCCAAGAACCCATTTCTCATACCTCTCTCAGGCTCTTCATTGGTGCTATGTCTGCTCCTGTCAGTGGGAGGAGAGTGGGAGGACACTCCCACACGGAAGAGATGCATGAAACTATACAATGTTGAGGGTGATATGACGGAAATCTCGGCCTGAACTACATTACATGTCCTCTAGGTGATTGAACTAAACATGTAGTGAAGACCTATACTCCGTATATATATGTGAGATAGATCCCATCTCGGTCAGTCAGATTGATTTAGGTAGACGGAGGAAGAAAACTAGCCCCTTTGCTATATTTTCTTCTATTCTCTCGAAGCATCAACCTCAACCAAGGCCACATCCTTTTTCTTAGGTCATATCCTGCTCGACATAGATATATCGCCAGGATGAAAGTCTTGATTGTTTTCGCCCATCCAGAGCCACAATCGCTTAGTGCGGCGCTTTGCCAGGTCGCCGTCCGAGAACTCGAAGCCCAGGGCCACGAGGTTCGCGTATCTGATCTGTACGCAATGAAGTGGAAATGCAATGTCGACCGAGACGACTTCCCATCGCTCTCGAGCGAACTCCCACTTAGGGTGGTATCCGTTTCCAAAGCTGGCTTCACTTCGCATTCTCTCACTGAGGACGTGTGGGCAGAGCAGGAAAAACTATTGTGGGCAGACACCGTGATTCTGCAGTTCCCTCTCTGGTGGTTTACTATGCCCGCCATTCTGAAAGGGTGGGTAGATCGAGTTTTTTCATGTGGATTTGCCTATGGGGTTGGGGAGCACAGTGACAAGCGCTGGGGAGATCGTTATGGCGAGGGTGTTCTATCCGGGAAGCGCGCCATGTTGATTGTCACCGTGGGCGGTTGGGCAGACCATTACTCCTCGAGGGGTATTAATGGTCCAATCGAAGACATATTGTTTCCCATTCAACACGGCATTCTTTTCTACCCTGGTCTTGATGTCTTACCACCTTTCGTTGCCTACCGGACCGACAAAGTCAGCAGCGGCATGTTCGAGCCCATGGCTGAACAGCTGAGAGAGCGTATGCGCAGCATCCAGACTACTGAGCCGATTCCGTACCGTCGTCAAAATTACGGTGATTACCTCATTCCGAGTATGATTCTACGAGATGATATCGACACTGGGGCTGCCACTGGATTCGCTGTGCATCAGTCGACCGCAAAGTTGGCTTAGGGAAATTCACGATTTGTGAGGGTAACAAGCTCACATCTTTCATGGTATAGATAGTGCATATATCAGGATGATAGTCCCGAGAATGAACAGTTCAATTCCAGATATAACTCGTATGGAGTATGAAGTTATGTATTGTTTCCTATCTCAAAGCTCTCTCTCTATTTACCAAATCCGACAACGCATGATATTATAACCTAAGAATCCAGTGAGAACCCTCTACTCGATTGGTGTCAATCACTACTAAATAGGGGACACTTTGAGACTCGTTAACCATGCCTCCGGCAGTGTAAGCTCTAGTTACATTACAAGCGTCGATACCGGCGTTGGGTTCAAATTTGATTAAGGTGTACTTGAAGCGACATGTTGAGATTCTACAACGTGGGGGTGTCGGATTCGGGTTTGGTGGGAATCCATTTAGGGTTGAGTGCGGAAATTGAGGATTGAGTAACGGATTGAGTAACGGATTGAGTAACGGAATACGTTCAGAAGAGATTTTTAGGAGAAATGTATGTGTGTGTGTGTATTCAGTGAGAGTCGTCCTTGTGAATGTACATGACCAGGCCAAGTATTAGTCGCCAGTTTCGGCCAAAATCATATACGAATTTCAAAAGGAGAGTCAGTTCAGAGATCAAGTGATCGAATATATTTTTCTATTTTTATGGTAGGACATCTACTTATCCAGTTATAGTGCTCTAGGTAGACAGACACCACCGTCGGAAATAAACAATCACTATCACAAAGGGGAAGAAGTCTGCTAGGTTGGTAACATAATCATCTTTTTTGATCTTCTTTCTGTGTGGACGTTGGCATGAATATGTGACCATAGGCAGAAGTTGCCTTTCTCTTCCACCGACCTAGGTATCTAGGTAGATAGAAAAGATTTCAATCCATGACGACTCGGCAGCTGTGTTATCTGTGCGTCCCATCCATCGACGTCCCCTCATCGAAGCGAGACCAGCTCGGTTCGTGGCGGTGATATGGATTTCGTTTCGTGACACAGCTGGTTCATGGGACGTTGTCGTTTTGTGAAATTAATAATTATAGATAGTATGTAGATATGTATATAATCAATCAATCGTTGTCAATTGATGATTTTCTTTTTTTCTGTTTTCAATTTTTTTTTTCTTTCTTTTGATTCTTTTCCGTTTTTCTTTTCCTCCCATTTCAATTGTTGTCGTTAAAAATGTATAATGTTCGAATAATTGATTCATGACTTCATAATTGCGCTTCTTCCGTCCCCCGTGTGGATTCGAGGTAGATATCAATTGCTTGCATTGACTGGTTGGAATGGCCCTCTGATTTTTCTTAATTCTCCCGAGAACTGCGATTGTAGTGTCAAAAAAGGAGTGAACGTGAGGTATATATAGTATCTGAATATTCCCTCAAAGCGAACTGCGGACAAAAAAAAAGAAAAAGACGTTACTTTTTCTTTCCTCCTTCATCGGCGAACTACAATACCCTGGCGACGAGCACCGCGACGAGCAGCACGGTATTCATCATCAGACTCAGACTCGGACGAGCAATCACTACCATCTGAAGAGTCCGAGTAGCCGCATCGACTGCCACCGCAGTCAAGCTTGACGCGCTCACCCTTGCGTGTGATTCCGTAGCGTTCACAGCGGCAAGTAGTAGACGCCGGGTCACTGAGAGATGACAGCGAGGAAGGCGAAGTGCTGTCTGTGCGCGATGAGACGGACGATCCAGCCGAGCTTGGGGGGCTACTAGAGACAGAGTCATAATCATCGGACAGACGCGAGTGCGAAAACCGGTCTGTGAGCTCGTCGACTGTTGGGAAGAAAGTCTCTTCACGAATGCCACGCGAGGCGTAGGGCTTGGAGGGCTTTGGGTGCAGGATCTTGGAGGGCGAGAGAGCACGGCCCTTGGGGATTTCGATGGACTCGCGGCGCCCGTGACTTGAGCGGCTGGACTTGGAGGAGTGGTGGTGGTGGTGGTTGCTGCCACCGCCAGGAACGTCGAGCACGTTGAGCTTGCGGCCTGTTGTGGGTTCAACGGTGTACTCGACAGCGGGATCGTGGGAGACGTGGTAGCCATCCATGATGTAGTAGTACCAGTATCGCCCGCCGAGTTGCAAGACCGAGGTCTGGAAGCGAAACTTGCCAGTCCATGCTCCTGACTTGGTGGAATCCTTGGACAAGGGTAGTTGGCGAGAGTAGTTGTCCCAGGATCCGACTAGATGCACCGTCTTGACGCTTCGGGAAGTGCGGAGAGAGAAGTTTAATTGAACAGCGGCCATATTGAGTAGATATTATCGTTGAATATGGCGATATATCGAACAGAATTAAATTAAGGCAATAAGTATAATATAGATAGTCGCGCAGAAAAAGTTTCCGATTCGGATTTGATTGGCAGAGCTTTTTCGACGGCGATGAGTCCTCAAAAGGTTGTGAAAGATGTATCGATGACTGACTGCTTAGAATCCAGCGTGACGGTATATACCAGCAATCAATGGTGGTCGATCGAAGGAGTCCGAAGTTTTTCGACAATATATTAAACGTAACTGCGTTTCGACAACAGCAAATAAAACGAAGAAGGAAAAGTAAATAAAAATGAAGAAGAGATGGAATAGTTCTGAGCAAGAAAGAGCTGCACAACTGCAATTGTCGACCGGCGACAAGAAGCTTGGAATGTTGTAAAGGTTGTCTAGTTTTCAAAGTTGACCAAGTGCAACGTAACAAAAAGGGATATACTTGATTAAATTTAGCGAGCACAGCTCGTGTCCTTCCGTGGTGGTATTGAGGTTCGAAGGAAGTAGAAAGTAATTTAAAAGAAGAATATTTGTTTTGGCAAGAAACACAACGAAAATAAAACAAGTGCAGCCAGTGCAACTTGGGTACTTTGAAAACTAAGGGCAGCTCAGCAAAGGGGAAAGCTTGCTGAAGAAGGAAAGGAAGGAGAAAAAAGAAGAGAGGAAAAGTAGACCAGGGAGAGGCGGTCATTTTTATGTTGGCTGGGTTCCGGGCTGCGGGGGTGGGTGACCAACAACAGACCAACGGCAACGACAAGACTGGTCTATGATTCACATGGTTTCTAGATTTGGCTCTGTTAGGGCCACACCTATATTAGCTGCATAATGGGTAGTACGTACAGAGACGATTGTCTACTGGACGGAGGACATGTACATGGCCGCTGGTTGACGGAGTTGCTCTGCATGGGTGGGGGGTCTAGCGTTGCTTTGCAGGAAGAAAAAGCCAGAGATAAATTAAAACGAGTCGTTGACTGCAGTAAAACCTGGCATCTATCCAATGAACCAAGAGGGGTAATGTGATGCGCGCGTAGTCCCCGAGAGGTGATTGGGGGATGAGGTCAAGCAAATAAACATTAATATTGCCATTTTGGGTTGTAGCCCGTGCGGCTCGGATCGAGTGGGAATTCTAAGAATAGAACCACTGCGGTGAGAGCTGGGCCAATGGCCAACGCCCATTGGGGAAAGGACATTATTATGCCAATGCACGCCGTGCATCCTGTGCACACTGTGATAGCCAATGAGAACCCATATATTAGCGCCGGGCTGCCCTCCATCACAATTTAGGGTTGTCTCGTTCGGACCACTCACAATGCTGTACGCAACTATTCAGTATTCGCACTTCTTTGAATCCGGCACTGGACTTTCCTTATTTGGTTGACTGCATAGTACTTGAATGCATAGTCGTACACACGGATTATATGCCGGGTCTTTTCGTAGTAATTATCTGCAAGATATACGTACGCATTGTCTACCCGGAGGTTAAAAAAAGCCCGATTGGGATCAGCATGATCCTTGAAAAATTGAGGCGTAATCTGACTGCGGCAAGTGCTTTCGGATAGTGCGATAAGATCAGGTCCTCTCGTCCGTGTTACTGTTGAATTTCTGAGCAAACTGGCATCGTTCGGGAGTGCCCCTCGCCTGGAGTAGCCCGCGTCCGCATTTCAGATCGCTAGGCCTTGCTAGGACGAATACTTGTAGGCAACGTGGTGACGAAATCTCTTAGGCCAGGCTGCAAGCCGCTCTCTGACTTACTTCTGCTTGAAGGAGGATGCATCACTTGATACGCAAGGGAAGGTTGGCCAGTTCAACGAGTTTTCCGTATGCCCGGAGGACCAGACGACAACATGACTACGTCTTTGCCCTCACCCTGTACGACATTCATCAAACCCTTTACTCCTATTTATCTGAGACTTGGTAAAGGCCAGTATGAAATTCTTTTCCTCTGGTGGCAGAACTAGACAATCAAAAGCTTTAAGATTCCATGTGGTGGGAGTGACATTATCGATCAAAAATCAGATCATTGATAATACTTGCATAAGCTCTCTTTAAAAAAGGAAGTAACTGGCTTTCATAATGATTCCTATTATCATTTGCCAGAAAGAATTAAGATGTTTTTCAAGACTTTTATGCTTCTCCGAGAGGCAGGATGTAGAGTACGCATGTTTAAATAACTATACCAACCTATTCCGTGGTTTTTAGTGATGCTATTGATTTCTTTCAATTAGAACTTGACCCTTTTTGAGCTGTAGGCAAGGTATAAATATATATATTTGTATATTTATATACTCAATGTCCAAGTGGAGCTGAAGTTACCCTGCTGTTTTTTTAATCTTCAAGATAGATAGTACGCGCATAGCTAATGAGTGACGTATAACTATTTTAATATAGTGTATCGAGGTGGATGAGGGTTGAAACAAGTTAGGTAAGCCTTGCTTTCACAGGCCCTCACTTCTATGTGTAATCGATTGCATCAATTATCTCCTGAACAATATATCTGTAACCAAACATCTACACCTTGGAGAGCACCCTTAAAATCAAGTCAATGAATGTCCTGGACTACTTCTACGAAACCCACTACCATTGAAGAGTATCTCTCTACTCACAGGTAAAAGTAAGGATAATTCGTCAAATCAAGTTATTTCCGGAAAAGTCTCTGAATTTATAGCTTTCAAGAGCGGGAATCACCTAGTGTCTTCAGAAAAGCATCCTCTTTTAGTCTCCTAGGTAGCCTGCCGTTTGTGATGCCACTCGTTTCTTTTAGAATCAATTGGAGAGACTGAATGTTCTGCTCCTTGAGATCAATCAAATAGATAATATATCGCGAGATTGACATTGTGGAAGATACAACTTGGAGAGGGCGATTCATTGGCATTGGTCTAGCAATAAAGGTGTGGATTGAACGTTTGGGTTCTCAGAGCATGTCCATGAGCTTATTCCCTGACCTGTGAGGGTGAACTTGATAGAGTGAACCCTTGAGCGTCACAAAGGAAATCCCGTACGTAGGCGCTCGATAATAGGTAGATACTTAGATTCGGAAAGTAGAAAGGCATGAATAAAAAATTTTTGCATTCTTCTAGCAAGGTAAAAGTACAAAGTGCTCGACTAGCATATCCCCCGTATTTCACCAAGTCGAACGAACCAGATGGATATAATTTTGTTCTTCTGTCCGATACTCCCTCTCTATTTAAACCGCGGATTTTTTTTTTTGTATTATTAACAGACGGCGACATAGCCGATAAACGCGAGTTCTCTTCCCAGCTTATCTCGCTCTCCAGCTCCGCACGATAAAGCAAGATACATAGATAAAAAGATAAAAGATAAGAAGATTAAAAGGTGGTTGAAAGAAAACCGCTATACGCCTTAAGAATGCCAAGTATGTCATCAAAGGTGAGAAACACGTGAAGAAATATCCTAAATGCCACGCCAGTCTTTGAGCTAGCGGATATTTTCGGTGAAGATCGATCGGATTTACCGCACAGACACACCGGACCGATTGGTAAACATGCGTGCTGCGATGTTCATAGCGGCGAGTTCCTGGAAGAGCAATTTAGCTGCATACGGGATGTGGACTTGAGAAATGCGGTGCTTATTGTTGCACAATCGGCACTCAAAAAGTCCTTTCTTGAGTTTTCTGCACATAGAATTGTTAGCATTATGACGTAGGCCCCCGCCAGAGAGTAATCAACTTACGCAATCGGAGTCATCAAGCCGCAGTCATCGCAAATATGAACACGGAATGGATCAGACACATCGAAAAGACGTTCCTTCAAGAATGAACTTGCACCGTGCGCAATCATACAATCGCGTTCCATCTCTCCGAAACGTAGACCACCATCGCGGGCACGACCTTCTACAGGTTGCCTGGTCAAAATCTGGGTAGGACCACGTGCACGAGCGTGAATCTTATCATCCACCATGTGTCGAAGACGTTGGTAGTATGTAGGTCCCAAAAACACTTGGGCCTTGAGCTTCTTGCCAGTGTGGCCGTTGTACATCACCTCGAAACCACGTGACTGGTACCCATGCTCTCGTAACAGACGAGAAACAGAGTCTACCGTGACATCAGTGAACGGAGTGGCATCACCTTCAAATCCACGAAGGGACGAGACTTTGCTGAGCTGACACTCAATCAAGTGAGCAATCGTCATACGAGATGGAATGGCATGGGGATTGATAATCAGATCTGGCACGACACCTTCTCGAGTGAACGGCATATCTTCGTGACGATACACGATACCAATCGTACCCTTTTGACCGTGACGTGACGCAAATTTGTCACCAATCTGCGGGATCTTTGTTGTTCGCATACGGACCTTGACCAGTCTGAGATCAGGATCATTGCCCGTCGTCAAGAGCACCTGATCAACAATACCAGATTCGGTAGCTCGTAGCGGAGTAGAAACATCAATCTTCGTATGTGCCTTGGTACGTTGACCCAATTCTTCAGATTCTGGAGCCAAAGGAGCTGTCTTGCCGATGATAATATCCTCACCCGTGACACGAACACCAGGTGCCACAAGACCGTCATCCTCAAGCTTGTCATAAGTTCCTTTCCTCATGCCAATTGTGTCGGAACGCATTGGCTTCTCAAACTTTTCGATAGTTTGGAGACCAAGTTTCCTCTCGGCTTCCGTATAAGTACGGTAAAACAGACTGCGGAAGAGACCACGGTCGATACTGCTTTGATTCATAATAACTGAATCTTCCTGGTTATATCCTGAGTAGCAGGCAATAGCAACAATTGCATTCTGTCCAGCAGGTAATTCTCGGAATTTGAGGAACTCCATAGAACGCGTGGTCGCCAAAGGCTTCTGAGGATAATAGAGGATGTTGGCCATGGTCTCCATGCGCTGATCGAAGTTGGTCAAGAACACACCCATAGCTTGTTTACCCATAGCCGACTGGTAAGTGTTACGAGGAGATTGATTGTGGTCGGGGAACGGAATGATACTGGCGCAAATACCCAAGATCATACTGGGATGAATTTCGCAATGAGTCCAGATATGGGCCTTCTGACTCAATATAGAACGAACACGTTTGTTCGGATCATCGCTATCCTCTGGCATAGCATAACCGGCCTGCAATTGCTTGGAAATTTCAAGATCCTCAGGCGACATGGCGATCATGATGGTTTCTTCTTCCTCTGCATCAACATATTCAATAACACCCGACTTGACAAGCCCATCCCAACCATAATACTGTTCTCTACGCTCTTCCGGATCGAGATCTGGCGGGAGCTCTCGATCCGCCTCGAGTCTATGAATATGGTCTTTGTTGAGCACTAGAGAGCCACATCTCTCACTTCGGGGATCATTATCAATGACGAAAAGCGGCCGGCAAACACGGCCTGCATCAGTGAAAATTTTAAATTCTCGGTCACGAATGTCACGAACCAAGCTGACTTCGTGGGAAATCATGTTGCGTCGGCGAAGAGATTGAACAGTGCTGACCAAATGGACGGGGTCACGGTGAATGCCAACCCATACACCGTTAACGAAGACTTTGGTGGCATGAGGCGTGACTAATGGCTCAAATTCTTCCAATACTTCCATGTTTCGTTGAATCATAAAGTCAACAATAGGTTCACTAGGTGATCCAACGGTGATAGAACACATCAAGGACAAGTTCTTGACTAAACCACAAGCCTGTCCTTCAGGTGTCTCAGCGGGACACACCAAACCCCAGTGAGTATTATGTAGTTGACGAGGTTTAGCGATTTTTCCATCTCGACCAATCGGAGTATTTGTACGTCTCAAGTGAGACAGGGTTGAAGCATAGGTATACCGACTTAAAACCTGAGAAACACCTGCTTTGGAGCTCATGGCTTTCTTTTGTTCACCCCAGTTTCCTGTAGCAAGAGCATATTTCAAACCTCCTGTCAAGGTGGCAGGCTTCAAACCAACGTTAAGAACGACTTCACGATTGGTTTCGACGCATCTCTGGACGTAACGAGTGAGATCCCTCGTGACACGGGTGAAAAGTGTGCGGAAAAGCGTAGCAAGCAGTGGACCAGCCAAGTCTAGACGCTTCTTACCAAAGTGATCTCGATCATCAACATCCCGACGACCCAAAGCACATTGTAGCAATTTATGAACCATGTAACCCAAAAAGAAAGCCTTCCGAGTTTCACTTCCCTCACTTTGAGAAATGTGAGGAAGGAACTCCTTCTGCATGATCTCTCGCGCGTAGCGCACACGTCTATCATGGCTCATGCTCGTTTGAGAAGAACCACGCTTACTAATGAAGTCAAGCGCGACTTCACGGTCTTGGATAACAAAACCCTCTTCGATGCAAGGCTTCAGCATCTCAAGCATAGGTGTGTCATTGCGATCGTAGCAAATGTGATTAAGAATATCTTCGTCAGAGACGACGCCAAGAGCTCGAAACACGATGACAATAGGGATATCTGTCTTGATGTATGGCAGCGATGACCTGATTGTTGGACCAAAGCCACCTTTGCTGCTATCGCCTTTAGCAAAAAGCTTGAGCGAAAGTTGAGACAGAATGCGGGAACCCTTCTCAACCGCACTTCGAATTTCGGCCACATAAGGTGTTGGGCTGGGGGGAGCCTTCTGAAAAACCTGAACGATATTCCCAGCACTCCGCTCTTGGGCGATCAGAACTTTCTCACTTCCGTTAATAATGAAGTAGCCACCAGAATCGTACGGACACTCATTCCAGTTGTATAGACTCTGCTCGCTCAAATCTTTCAGCAAACAGTATTTTGACTTGAGCATAATAGGTATTCTGCCGATGTAGCAGCCTTTCGCTTCTTCTTCTGAAATGACCAAAGGTTTTTCCTCCCAGTCCAGATACGTTCCCCCGGGCTTCTGATCCTCATTCTCATCGCCGAGTCCTTCGCCATCACGGTCTGAAACTTTACGTTCGCGACCCTCGGTCAATCGTCGCTGAACATTGAGGTAAAGAGGGGAGGCGTAGGTGAGGTTTCGATGGCGCGCTTCCATGGGCAGGAGAAGAGTTGCTGCACCGTTGATCTCGGAGAAAGAAGGTCGGGCAAGCATAATCGTACCGTATTTGATCTCATACCGGCGGATAACGACTGGATCGATCTCATCTTCGTTCGGCGTGATTGTCTGGTCGATGGTAACCTGGCCCTGCTCCTCCACGAGTTCTTGCATCGTCGACGAAATAAATTCATCGAAAGAGTCCAACTGCTGGGACACTAGACCCTTGGTGTCGAAGTATGATGAAATAACGGTCCAGCAGTCCTCTGAAGTGATGCCTTCCTCCTCATCCTCGTAGTATTCATCCTCGTACACCTCCCCGTAGTCCGCCATGATGAGGTGCGCGCGGTGCGAAACACCTGGGATGACACGTTCGAGAAAAGCAAGGGAAAAGAAACTTTTCACTTAAAGCGCGTAAATGCGCTCAACGGACTCGGTTTATCGATGGTCAGGATGATAAGTGGTTGGGGTGAAAAGAGGGAGGAGCGACAATGATCACTGCTTTGTATCTCCGGCTCGAGTTTCTGGCTGGATCTTTCCTTCTTGGCGCTTGAGCCGCCACTGCAGCTTCCAGAATCTAGTCCCCTTTGGACTAGCTCGGTTTGAAAACATGTCACGTGATATAACAAAAATATCGGAAAAGAAAAACTGGACGATATCAGAGCTACGACTTGAATCTTGTTTTATTATACTATTGTACATAAATGCCCAAAGTGACTTGGTCTATTGTAAAAACCGCAACAGCGTGCTCAGCATATCTTTCATGTCTTTCTCTCCCTCATCTTCGTCTCCAAGGTCATTTACTTGATCTAGAATTGGTATACAAGGTTAGCCTCCTAGAACAGCAGGTTAATAATTCGGGGAGTGAGCCATTACCTTGAAGACTTTTTTGGATTAGTGAAATTCCCTCGTCCCTATCGCTCAGCAAAGCTGATATTTTGGTCTCTGCCCCATCATCCTCGGCAATTAGCCACGCAAGAACGATGTCAATGGTCTAGGAATACATATTAGCCTCGATAAATATTTACTCATGGGCCATTAAACATCATACCTGCAATGCAAAGAGACCAGCATCGAGCCGGCGTGAGAGCCATTCTCCAGCCATGATCTCCTGGTCAGATTCATCAAGCCCTTGGCGCTCTTGCTCAATAGATAGTTCAACTGGTCTAAGCCTAGATGAATAATCTCTTCTCAGAGTAATCAGCTTTTCGATTTTCTCATAATCCTTTTCCATGAATTTAGCTAGGGTGCGTATACGGGGCGCCGACCCGCCTGGTAGATGTCGTAGAAGAGAAGCGAATATGCCCAAGAGGTGTTCATAGGCTTCATTTTCTTGCTATAAAGGCTGTTAGCGATCGTCATGATAAACCCAAGAGGCAGGCGTACCTTTTTCATGAACATGCCAAACACTGTCCTTAGCCCTGCTGCCTCCACGAGTTGCTCGCATGCAGCTGCACCATTTTGGCCTGAAAGAGCGTGGTCCAGCGTACGTAGTGCTCTCTGTTTGCTAAGCTTTCCTTCTCGGAGCATGATCTGTGCAAGCTCAACTCCTTCAGCCTCTAAGAACTTTTCTTTGCCTTCTTTCTCATCTACCACGCATGTTAGGCAATCAAATAGATTTTCCACATATTCTTCCTCATCCGAGTCTTTCTCAGGGTCCCGTTTGCGATATGAACTCAATAATTGCAGAAGGACATCCACTCCATCGAGAGAAGCGAACGTAATCCGATTCTTAGGAGATGACTGTAAAAGTATTGCCAGGATCTCCGCTGAGTACTGCTTGTTCTGCCCCACCGGGGTTTCTTTTTGTTGTATTCGAGATAATAGCCAAGGAATGGTGTTGGCGTCCTGTCCGATTTTTTCGGCAACTGATGACTGAGAAGCCAGATTCTCAAGTACATCTTTTGGGATGTAAGTAGAGGCGCAATGCTAATCATAAAGTTTGACACTTACTTAGAACATAGTAAACACCTGTCCGGTCTGCGTCTTGTGATTCGTCCAGTCGCGAGAGGTTCTGAGCTAGCAGTTCAATAACATCGGCATCGAGCTTTGGAAGTTAGCTTTAAATCCTATAAGTGCAGATACTAGTCATACCATTGCATTGACCAGACTATCCCACTGGTCTTGCTTGGCTTGTACATCCTCATCAGTCAACTCTGATAGGGTTTGAATTGCATCAATAGCAATATCTGTGTTTTCATGGGAGAGAAGAGAAACCAAGGAGGCGACACATCCCAATTTTGAAAATTCCTCGTATAGCTCAGGATGTTCCGATAGCACAGATAACGCTTTTATGTCGGCGTCAAGGTCAGCTTCAGAAGCCATAAACCTGACAACAACCAGTCAGCAATCGCAGTTAACTGTTGCGCATGTGTAGGGCTCTCACTTTTGCGGATCGTTTTCAAACTTGGCCCGTAACTCTGCATTTTTCGATATACGCTTTTCAAAATTCAATGCTAAGCGTCTCACCCATGCAACATCAATTTTCTCTGGCTGGAAGCCCGCAAGGTTAGCCGCATAATCACCGGCCCGGTTGCCATTTGGCGACGCTACTCACAGCTGTTTCTCCATCCTGATCCTGTTGATCGAGATAATCCATAGCCTGGGCCGTCTCCTTCGCCATGCCTCCGCCAAAAAACCGACCTTCCTCATCATCGGGTATATCTTCTTCGAAGTCGGGTGGAAGTTCTGGACCGGCGAACTCGCTCTCGTCTTCCTCGTCTTCAACCTCTGCAGCCTTTCCCTTGTTTTTGACGTCACCATTGGCGCCTATTTTTGCTGCTTTATAGAACGCATCTATTTGGCACAAAGTCAATAGTCTGCGCAAAGAGACCGAAAGCTGAGGGGTAGTCATACTCGGATCGTGATTTGGTTGCTCGAGTTTGCGCTTCCCGGTTCCTTGCACGATGACAGGTTTCTGAAATCTTCTCGTTAGGGCCATGTCGTGCACAAAAGAAAAACAAAATGGTGCAAGTCTCGACTTTACCTTGAATATATCGTCGATGCCCGCCATTATTCACCCCCTCCTCGATTCGGTTTGCCGTGTCGTTGTCGCGGAAAGCATAAAGTGGTCCAAGAAGACCTGCGAGGTTCTGCCTTGAAAATAATAACCAGATAAGATGTATTACGCCAGATCAAAAGATATTGCCAACCCAAATTTTATTGGTAATCATTGACCGACGCAATATAAATTAGCAAAGAAAAGGCGTCTTGTCTTCACTGCCCTGAAGTTGCGAAGCAGCTCTTTCTCCCAAACAAGCTACGGCAATCCGCAAAAGCTCAAGCCGCAAAATCTTATCCAATGACGCCAAGCTGATTTTCCGCAAAAGAATTCTGCAACGCATCCAACTACTCACTTAGCATTAGTTCAATATCTCCAAGTTGCGTCTACCGCCATCCATTTCCGAATCACCAAGAATAATTAACTACGTGAGAAATAAAAAACGAACCTGCACGATGCCTCCCAAACGTGTTGTCGTCCAATCCGGCCGCCGCGAGCAAGAAGATGCCGGTCTTTTCGGCACCGCATATAAGGAAATCACCAAACCAGAGAATGCGACCATTGTGCGAAGCGTGGTCATCTTCAGTGTATGTATTTTTTTTCTTTCTTCTGCCGTCACACATACCCTGTCTGATATAGAGACTGACCGATCTACAGGCAGCGGTTGCCTTCTTTCACAGCAGCTTGAGCGAATTCCTCATCCCTCCGTAAGTACTTGATGATGGCATTCAGCCTCGAAATAAACCACCATCATATTATATTTCGATATGCGAGTGGCTATTTGATTTGGAAGCTAACAACTAAACCGCTAATATAGTCTATAAATCCGTCCCCCTCCATCCTCGAACCTCTTATCGTCGTGATCTGATTCCATCGCAAAAGCAGCGTTGCTATTGCTACGGTGGCGGTTTTGTTTTATTCTCCGCGTGATTGCAATGTCTCTTTTGGGGGGACAAGAAAGAAATATCATAAATAAATCTCCTGCTCGCCTACGTCGTCATTCACAATGAAGCGAGCCTTGTATCATAGTTTCCTTTCATAATCGTGGTTTCCAACAATACTACATGTTTCCATACATCTTGATCAAGAGCAATGTATATCCTGATTCTTTTAACGAAACGTATAGACGCGGAAATGTGTTGATGTTATCTATCTGTGACAGTATGTCTAGCTTTGGGGGATAGGGCTTGACGACGACAGACACTATTTAATGAGTACATGCAGCAGAGCATGCATGGTTTTCTGTTTAGACTATATGCATTTGAGTTGTGCATGGCATTGGTTGAATGTTAAAGGGGTCGTCTCTGTCTATAAATGATCAATCTACATAGTATACATAAAAGTGTTGTACATATATGAGAACCAAAAAGAAGTAGAGAGGGTTTTCCAGGCTAAGCCCAATCTCCAGTCCTTTCCCAACTCTTGACTTTCCTCACAACCTCCATATCAACGACATGCTGCGCCATATTGACAGCAACAATCTTAGCTTCCACCGTACTCAGCAAATCAAGATCTTCAAATTCCTTGGTAACAAAAAGCCGTGCGCGAACACCAAACGGTAAATTATCACCAGCATAAGCCGCCATATAATTCGTGCCCAAGGTAGCCTGACCTTGCAATCTCTGCCGCACCAGACACGGAACAGTCTCCGGGAGTTCGCTCTCGCCAAAATAGAAAGCGCGGAACAGGAACTGGCAGGTCCAGAAGTGATTGGATTGAGACTGCGCCGCTTTGATGAGAGGATATTGTAGTTTCATCCGTTCGAGTACCTGGTCGACATCACTGGTGGAAAAGGGTAGTGAAGAAGCGGCCTTGGAATTTTGGCCATTGAATTTTTCGCCGTGTTTGTGCTCGTAGCGAAGAGCTGCTTCGATTTGGTAGTGGCCCAGAAGATCGGTGTATCGTCTCAGTGGGCTGGTTGTCTTGGTATATGCGTCTACGCCTAGACCGCTGTGTGCTAGCACGCTGGAGGAACTGTGGCCCCTGGGGGGTGAGTAACGAAGCCAGTCCTCGCTAGTGAAGCTTCTCAGTTTTTCCGGTGTCAAGGCTGGATACTCTGGGTGGAAGTAAGCTCCGTCATAGACGAGGGGAATGTTGCGCTCTGCACCCCATCGCCCGGCGGTGTGGCAGGCGAATTGCATGACCAAAGAAACAAGATTTTGCTGGCTCATATCGGGGACTTCATAAGGATCTACCGCGTTCAGTATGACCCCAATGATGGGGTCACCTAGGTAGTAGCCTCCTTTTGCTGGAGAATCCGAAAACAAATATGGCGGTATGTCTTTCCCGGTGTGAATGGAAAGGTTCTGTGAGTGGTACTGATTGGGCCAGGTCAAGCCGCCATTTTCTCTCCATTTCAGATGAACGTTACTCATTATCTTCCTCAGAGTAAGGAAGGTCTCTTTTTCCTCACTGCTGAGGTCATCTTTGAAATGATCGTCGGATCTTGGGAGGAGATCACCCCCAACTGTAAGAGTTTGTGATGCCTTCATATCAGTATCAAAGATACTTCGTAACTTCCCATGAGTCATGTAAATCACATTCTGGGCCCGACCGTTTGTAATATTTGTCTCCAAGACATCGCCGTTTAGATTGACCTTAGCAGAAATGGTAAAGGTAGGGCGACCCTGTGCAAGACTGAAATGTGTATGAGTTACTTCTTGTGGAAGCATGGGGTACACTCTTTCGGGAAGATAGACAGTCGACAGACGCTCAGCGGCATTTTGAGAAACGGGGTCATCATGCGGCACGAATGCAGTGGGATTTGCAACATGCACACGAAGCCAGAAGGTATCGTTGGTTCCGGGGACGGATTCTAGGGAGATACCATCATCGATTTCCTTTGCCCCCGGGTCATCAATGCAGTAAATAGGCAAATCACCCCAATCAACCCTCGTGTCGGCCATCGCATCCTTTTCGTAGCGATTGGGTTTGACGGCGGCTTGCTGTGCCGCTTGTACGCTCTTCTCCACGGCAGGATCAATATGATGACCGGGAAGAGCAAGGAACTGGTCCAAGGAATATATATTCTCCCATGCTGGGAGCACCCCCAGCTCCTGTAGGAGGAGAGGAATCGCGCCGCGTTGAAGCTCTATAGCATTGTACATTCCTGTCGCTCTCATGATGTGCATAGCGGCATATCTTTCAATGCCGATACTAACACGGAACGGCGGAATAGCACAGTGCACAAGGTAGTCTATGATCTTCTTGTCGTTGCTGTCAAACGCCTCCGTGATTACCTTCTTGAAGTTTCGGCCATCAGTCGTTTCCTCGGGCTTGAGGCGCTGGGCGGATGGACCCACGCTCGCCATAGTCGTAGGCGATCTTATAGTTCGGCTTTGTGTTATTAATCTCTTAGCCTTGGAGAGAAATTTCTGCATGGGGTGGTCGTTGAAATCTGAATTGTGCTGCATAGTAACCCGGGTTAGGTGATCTTGATGATCACGGACCCAGCCCCAGACAGTGTGTAGGTTTTTGCCAAACCATTCTGGGTGCACCACATATCTATCAGTGAAAATAGATGAACGATCCACCAGAATAAGGAACGGTATGCGTAGGATAGCCTTATGCGTCATGAAAAGCGCTTCCGGAGTCACCTTATCCGGAGTCACGTTTATTGCTTTGGCGGCTATTTCGCGCAGAGAATATACGCGACGATCGTTCGATGAGGAAATCAGAGAATATAAATTGTCCATTCCTTTTGCATTCTCTTTGTAAAGCCTTTTTTCTTCGTATGCAAACTTTTGAAGTGCGGCGATGAGGGGTCTAGCCACCGAACGAGGAACTCCTCCTTCGATAATTTCCTGCATATTGAAGTTCATGGACGCGGCAGTATCTGGGAAGTATGGAGTCACGATATCAATCATTTCTTTGGGTACGAAGCCTTTAATCACGAGATCGATGCCCTTATCCGTCGCAACTCGCCATTTGCCGCTGGACGTGTAAAATTGCTTTTGTCTTTCAACAGAGCGCACATATACTGCCGGATTCACCTGACCGAAGCCACTTCAAAACCATTTGTTAGCATTCATATGCGAGAACAATAGAACCACAAGGAGGGAAAGTATCTCACGTGTAGAATCCAACCAAGTCACCGGGTTCCAAAATATCTCCAACTTCATCATGCTCGCTCATATCAAATTGAATATCTGACGATTCCTCGGCGAGGCTCTCAGACCTCTCCATTGATTCCTCTATAGTTGATCCGCTATCATTCAACATATTTCCAACCCATTGTCCCCGCGACAGCGGTTTCGGATTTACGGTGCCCGGACCACGGACCGGGTCGAGGTCATGTGCGTTCTGGCTTTGCCATTTGTGTAAATAGTCCCTGATGTCATTGTTCAGTTCGAATTCGTTCATCAAAATGAGATTATCGATGGTTGTTTGTATATTATCCTGGTTCCGTGGCAATAACGTAGGTCAGCAACAGCAAAAACAAGTCTTTTATCGAGTGGAAATGCAAAGTAGATAGTAAGATAGTCACCTTCTGCTCATCGTGAATAGTTCGTCTAGAGAAGAAACTGGCGCCGGCTTGACTGGGAATTCTGTTTCGACGGATGGCAAGGTTTGCCGTCGTGAATAGAGAACGGCGCTGGGATCGCGCGCAGGCAGCGCAAACGTAGCTTCCCAGCACAAAGGCATTGCGAGAAGCGAATCTTTGGTTCATATTAATATGCCCCCATCTCGCAGAATACGCCATTCTCGCCCAGCAGCAACCAGACAGGCAAAGTGCATAAAGAATGGAGCGTAGCAAATCTAAATCGTGCTCAGTCGCGAAATTTACACATATTGCCGGCAGGTTTAATTGACCGCCCTCCGCTTTGACACTGGGCGGTGAGTCCAGGATTTCTCGGCAAATCACGTGACCGAAGTGCCGGCAATCCTATCTGGACGGGCGTGCTCAGACCTCAAGTAACAAGCCATGGCGCTCTTGTGTTGCAGATCTTTGGTTTGTTGGGCAATATGACTCGGATAGCTAACTCCGCCGTTCCGCCACCCTCAGCATCAGACAAGAACTACGTAACTACCATGTACTCTGCATATGAGGATCCACGATGATGATCAATTCCTTTGGCATTGTTGAGAACCGCAATGAATGCTTGCATCTACGTTCGTTTTCCGAGTTCGTTCATAGTAGTCGTGGGATCTTCATTCATCCGCTGATCGCACCTACCTACCACCTGGGCAAACTCCATAATCCATTGAAACGCCTAAGCATGGGTGTTGGCAAGGCGAGGGGTCGATCTTGAAACTGTCCAGATTGGAAAGGCACTGCTGCCTCTGAGACAACGATCTCTCTGCTTGCTCCTTTGCTAGGGTTATTCTTTTGACTCTACAAGGATGGCAGCGAGTTTAAGGAGCTTGAAGGAGTGAAGGGATTGGACTTAACTTGTAAACTATGGACTCCCTGAGACCCCTGGTCCGCCGGGTTGACATGCTGAGGAATCCCCACGGAAGGGGGCATGGTCGAAAGAGGAATGAATGCACATGATGGTGACAGGCAGGCGAACTTGACAACGATAGTGTCATGATGATATGAAGCTGGACGTGTGAGGTCGCGAGTCAGGGTGGCTGCCCTGGTCTTCACTCGGGTTGTTTCACGTCGCGCTGCCCCTGACACTTCAGATAGTGGAGGAGTATAAATAGAGCCTTAAAATTGACTAGGGAGAGTTTAATTGCCGCGGGATGGCCTGTTCGAGCCTAGCGCAGTTTCAGATCAGCGTCAGATTGCAGCGGCGGCTCTCATTGGCTGCGACGCGGGTGTTTTTAATCTTGGCTTGCGGGTCTGTCGCAAGCCATTCCAGCGTCGCCCATGGGCCAATCATCTGCTACCGCGTCTATTTATCATGCCCCTGGGGATTATCGCAGCATGAATGCGTATATGCCTCGGGGGCTCATCCATGTCGAATGCTTAGAGCCTCAAGCTGCTCGGCCGTGTGCTACAAGCGACTATGAACCGCGTGTTAAGGCGGTAGGCACAAGTACGTAACTACACACGTACCTGCCCCTCCAATAGGAACGGTGTCCCCGCATACTACTCCATATCCATATGGATTGGGTCCCAGTACCGAAAGGCTGAGCATCGACAATTAATCTAATCATTACAGGGACTGAGATGCAGCCAATCAAAAAGGGGCAATGATATGATATGAAAAGCGAAAAAGCCAAAAATAGAGAGCAGCCATCTCACTGGAAGGCGGTCAGCCTAGTAGAATATTAGGGCCGGGCTTCTTATCTTCTGGCAACATTCTGGCAGATTGCATGATTTCCTTATTTTATTTTGGTTTGTTTTATTTTGTTTCCCTCTTCCTCTCTTTGTATGACCTCGTTATACCGACAAGACAGGGAAGGAACGCCTCGCTCTCGGTCCTACCCGCGGTACAACCCTCTCAAAGTCAAACCAACACAACCCTCGGCCACGCTTCATACACTTTACATCCCTTGGATGCCGCCGGCTCGACTTCTTGTTTTCGGTCTCTCTTTTTTCTTTTCTCTGCAGGTATCTAATTGATCTGTATTCGGTCAATCTGTCTGGATTTCCTGTGACCTCCATTTTGTGCCTGATAATCTCTACTGGCCCGTGTCCTGGAGACCCCGCCCGCTGCTGACGACGAAACCCTGACTTGTCTTGCCAGCGGTGCGATTATTCGCCGCCGCGGAAACCCCTTCTTTGCACATTTTTGAACATTTCTGCTTCCGTGAAGGCTTTCTAGATTTTAACCTGCAAGAACATTCACTTGCGGCTTCGGCAATGGTCCAGAGAGAGTCGGAAGTGGATTGACAGATTGTAGGGAGCTAGCTAAGACGGGCCAGCTTACCAACAAAACACTATGGCCGGCGGCGAGGATCCCTTTGCTTTCCTAGCAACTGAACCACCCCCAAAACCACTCGAGCCAACCAAGTCAATTAGGCGGCTAAACTGGGGCCGTGAACAGAAATCCGGTGACCAGAAAACTGGCGAACCGAAGACGAAATGGCGCGAAAAGCTATTCTCAAAGGATCGGGACGCCAAACAAGCGGAGGCAACTGAACGAGAGCTGGACGACTTCCTGGGGAGCAATCGCCCCAGGCCCTTACCCGAATCACCAGCTGTATCTTCTGTTACTAATACCGTCCTCGAACCCACAACTTCGCCGCGACGAGACTTGCCTACGCCATCGTCTCCCCCCAAACAGAATGCCGCTCTTTCGACACCGGCTAGCCCGCCAAAACAACGGCACCGCCGCCGCAAAGGACTGCGGGTGACGTTCAGCGAACTTCCACCAGATGTAATGGGTGAAGGTGGAGATGAGTCAGAGGAACCCACGGTGGAAATCTCTCGCAGGAAGAGTCGACCTAGAACAAATGAGCCCGAATCACAGAGCGACGATCAATATGAAGACCTTCAGCATCGCCGTCCAACTCTACCTGAGCTACATTTGGATACATCGTTTGCCAATGCCAGCCCCCCGACTGCAAAATCGGAGAAGAGACCGGAATGGAAGCCTCTTCTCTTGAGCCCGCAAGACCATGACTTCCTCATGTCGTTGAATGGAGGCGAACCAGGGTCGAGATTGTCTCTGCGAGCGTCTCCCGATTCAAGGTCCTTTGCGCAGAGGGTAAATGCAAGGATGCAGGCGGAAGAAGGCCTTGCATTACAGCATCGTCTACCACAAGAGGAACCAGCCTCGCCGGTTGACGCAAACGACGAAACTCCACGCCGACAGCCGCAAGAGGTGACGCTGCCTACTCCATCATTCAACTCGCAGCGGTCCCCGGTTTCCCAACAATCGTTGACCGTTGATGAGGGAACACCTACTTTATCACTTCGGACTAGCCCTGTACCGGCCGTGCATGAACAAATCAAGGCGCTTCGACGCGAAGATGTGCCTGAAATTCTGTCCCCCGGAGGGAGCTCTGCGAGTAGCCTTTCACCACGCTCGGATGAATTCAAGCCGACATTTCCTACCTCAGAAACATCACGCCATCGTCCTCCCCCTTCCTCGCCACCTCGTCAACCATCTTCAACCACACGAATGACAGTAGAGCCACCGAAAACGACCGTGGCTGCTCCTGCTGCTCCTGCACCGCGTGCCGCCAAGATGACTCTTCGATCGGTAGCCAATGCCATGGGAGACAACGCCTACCAGGAATTCACTAGTTTTGTGGAAAGGTATGGCAGTCTGTACCGTCTGGCCGCGGAAAACCTAAAGCCCCTGATGGAGACGTCTTTTGCGGAATGGGTAAGGGCATCTACGTGGTGGTTTCTCCGAGGTCGTTCTGGGTTGGAATCAGCTGTACGAGCAGGACGCTCTTCAGATACCCAGGAAGCTAGGCAGGCAGTAGTTGATCTTGGGAAAGCATGGTGGGTCTCTACACAGATTGTGCCAATGCACCCTGAGGTGACCCGCTATGGCAAGATGAGCATGGATGCTCTGTTAGCCGTGGTCAATACTACGGGAGACCATAGTATGGCTGCTTTGATCAATCAGCACCAAAAGGTGTTGAATCATCTACGTGCATTGACTGTGTCCATGAAGCGAAACCAAATCCTATCGGCTTTAGACTCGCCTTCACAAGTAAACAACCACCCAGCAGATACAAACATCTGGGTAAGGTATCCGTTCTTTGCGCCTGATGTCGCTGCTGTATTCTCAGGTTCCAACAGACGGTCTATGTTAATTGACACCTCTTCCCCATTGGTCTACACCCCCGAAATGATGGTATTGGGAGATACCAGTCGCTATTTTAGCTATGGGACCATGTTTGTTGAGGCTTCCTTGGTTGGAGATGAGGATGATGATAGCCCGCAATATGCTATACAATGCGTACTCTCAATCAAGCGAGACCGATCTGATTGGTACGTACTCGCGGGGATCTCTAGTCAAAGCGAGTTGGTCAATATTAGCATCCAGAATGATCGGAAAAACGGGCCAACATGGGATGATGTCCATTGGCAAGTAAAAACTCGCACAATGACCGTGAAGCTTCGACGTGGCTTTGAACTGAATGTGGCCTTCCAGGAGAAGGATTATAAAATGCTTTGGAACATCGTTCAATACACGCTCAAGACAGAGGCCAGCTTGCAGCCGGACTCTGGCGAGAAGAAGATTTTCAGTGATACTTTGAAAACGTTCCAGTACATGGACTCAGGCACACCGAAGGCTTTTCCCTCCGAACCCGCACCTCTTTGTCGAATGGCGCTTTTTGAGAAGTCTGCTACTTGGACAGAGGGTACAGGCACCCGTAAAGCTCACCGGGGTTTTCGAATCGCATTCGTTACCAGTTCTCAAACGAAGACGCTTAGCAGCGTGCAACACACCCTGGGCCACGGAGCTCCTATTGTATTTGGCTATCTTCGAGGTGAAAGCGGATCCCCTGCCTTGCTGCTTAAATTGAAAGAAGATTCAAGACCGCGCTCGATGGTATTAACTTTCGACCGAATTGAACAACGAACCCTATTGCATTCTCTCTTACTCGGCATGCTCGCAGATAAGAATGAGTTTACTTCCCCTAATCTCCCGACCCGTTCTTTCTCAATCATTGAGGCTAGTGGTCCTGTGCCTGGGGCGCCAGGTATCTCTCACCTCAAGTTCAATGCGGGATCTGTCTCTCTTATCGACATTGATCCAGCGTTCTTGGACCCTACTTTTCGGCATTATGTTTTGTCCGAGAATCTTCGGACTTTGGTCAGTACTGACTGGGGGACTGTCACAGATCGCATAAACCTGGGTAAGCTTTCTTTTTTTGTTCAGTTGGACAACCAAGTGACTAACGGATTATAGCCCCTGGCGAGATGAAAATTGGGCTGGATACCAATTGCCAGACTGCTTTCTATATGTACCGCGAAAAGCAAGAAGACATGACTGTGGCTATTGCGGAGAATCTAGTGGAAAAGGATCTCCCGGATCGCTTGACGCAATTTTTGGAGGCTGCTAAGACTAAACCTATGGTCCGTCGTTACGAATTCGACACCCTTGAAAGTGAGTATATCTAGGAAATGGGGTGAACAATATGAACACAGCTAATATCGATAAGCTCTACATTCTTTTCAACTGCTTGTGACGGGATTCAAGGTCATTTACGATAGCGTAGCGACGAGTTTCGCCATTTCTCGACGACGCATGGTGGTGCCAATCCATAAAAAGTGGGAAGCCAGCGGTGTACGACTACAATTGCTGTCCCAAAACAGAAGTGTGCAATTGGCGGTTTTCTTTGGCAACGACTTCAGCCACGGCAGGTGTATGAACTTCGTGGTGAGAGGGACCGACAACTACGAGACTTCCAACCGTTCTGGGAAGTTTACAGTTCGGTTTGTGGATGCAAAATTCGCGCTTCCTCTGAAGCCTGAGGAAGAGGGATCCGCGTTCGTCTGCCTAGAACTACTGGAGTATGCGACCGAGCATGATGATATTACTATTGGGTTTGAATCCGAACAAGGTGTGTAGTCTGCGGCAACGATCAATCATGTCTATCAAACTGCCTATACTGACATTTCTGCGCAGATCGCAGTAAATTCCTTGCTTCCCTGCCTGGCTCTAGGAGAGAGCCCACGCGAATGGCATCGTTGCGTAGATAAGCAGCACTTTGAGGCGATACCCATTTACTTTTTTTGTTGTTGTTGTTGTTGTTGTTTTCTTTCTTTCTTTCTTTCTTTCTTCTAGAGCCATAGGGAATTCATTGCCAGGCGTTGTTTGGGTCATGTGACGGCATGGCGGATGGAGTTTACTCTTTGGGATGGATTCTGACGCTGGCGACATCGGGACCCACCATCCCCTCATATTGACTCATCCCACCAGCTTTATCTTGGGGGCAGTTTAAAGGGTCATATACAGCTTCATTGAAGTCGAGGACTTCGCAATTCGAATACGAATAACGAATCTGAATTCTTAGTGTCTTTTAAGGGAAACAGTGTATCATATACCAAGCTACTTCCACCATGGCGCCTCCATCGGCCAAACCATCTACACTCGCGGTCCATGCAGACGACATTGTTAACAATGTCACTGATGTTGCGCCTCCAATTCATCTGTCAACAACTTTCAGATATAACGACGATCCCGATAAATTGATTCCGGCTGCGGATATCCAAGTACGTAGAACTTGTCATGCGAGATTGCCAGCCAATTCCCTTCTCTCTAATGTTGGAATTTGAAATCGATAGGGCGATGCTGGCGTGTATGACTTCCCGCCGGTATACTCTCGTCTAACATCGCCGAATTCCACTCGGTTTGAAGCGATTCTCTCATCTTTGCTAAAGGGCAATGCTCTGGCATATGGGTCAGGACTGGCAGCATTGAATGCCGCCTTAGTGCTGCTAAACCCGAAACAAATATCAATTGGAGAGAATTACCATGGATGTCACGGCGTCATCGATATATTTAACAGGCTTACCGGCCTGAAGAAATTGGACTTGGGTTGTTCTGCGGAGGATCTACACGCAGGAGACGTCATCTTACTGGAAACCCCTCTTAACCCTCATGGAACAGCATTTGATATCGAGCACTACGCAGCCAAGGCGCATTCTCGCGGTGCATTTCTCATTGTGGATAGTACATTCGGCCCACCTGGACTGCAAGACCCATTCGATTTCGGCGCTGATATCGTTATGCATTCCGGATCGAAATATTTCGGAGGCCACAGTGATTTACTCTGCGGAGTGCTAGCCACGAAGCGCAAAGATTGGTTTGACCAACTAGTTGCGCAGCGTGTGTATCTGGGCAACAACATGGGTAACCTGGAAAGCTGGCTCGGCGTTCGCAGTCTGCGTACTCTCGAACTGCGCGTTCAACGCGCAAGCCAAAATGCCACCAATCTCGTCTCTTTCCTCCAGTCCGCTCTAACACAAACAAGTCAAGTGGACAGTGACGCACAAGCTGTTGTCTCAAAGGTGTTGGCTGAAGTCAGACATGCCAGTCTTCAGACAGAACCCTGGGTCAAAAAGCAAATGCCCAATGGCTATGGCCCTGTGTTTTCGATTATCTTGAAAGACGCAGAATTCGCCAGGAGATTGCCCAGCAAACTGCATTATTTCCATCATGCGACGAGCCTGGGAGGCGTGGAAAGTCTGATTGAGTGGCGGGCCATGTCGGATAGCCGCGTTGATCGACGCTTGTTGAGAGTCAGTGTAGGCGTTGAGAATTGGGAGGATTTGAGGGATGATTTTGTCGCGGCTTTTAAAGCTTTGCTTTCCGATTCAGATGGGAAGTAAATAATGAGAAACTCGGCCAGTTGTAAAATGCACTTTGTAATGGGAAACAAGTCTCAGATACGCACGTACATGTCTATATTTGTATCTACTAGAAATCGATCAAAGAGTTTGAAGAATAGAAATTTCTTATAAATCCCTCTTCTATCCCTAATAAACAATTCCAGGGTCGTCCTTCTAGCTTTTGTTGATACATTAATCTAGGCATTGGCCAGGAACCTAGGTACTGTCAACGTATACTCTGTACGCTACGACTGATAAGTATTAAATATTCAGTCGTACATCTTCATACTCCAGACCAACATCATCAGCCAGTTCCAGTAGCCGAATATACACTCGCTTACAACCAAGATACGTATCGTGATGTTTTGGAATAACCCGAAGAGCGTACTCAGCGACCTCCAAAGACTCGCGCAGATCCTCCAAAGACTCCGTGAATGTATATCGAAGCAGTAGATGAGCCACCAACCCCCTCAGCGAAGAGAAATGGTCGGTACTCGTCGTACGTTGCTGTTGCGGGAGGACACTGCCAAGTGCCAATTTATCTACTCGGATGGCTTCGTCGATATGTTCTATTTCCCTTGTTTCTTCAGCGCGTGCGCCCAGCCAGACACTCAGCGTATGTAATGCGCTGTCTCTGCGTAGGCTGGTGGGCGACAGCATATCCACTGCCTCCCGAGCAACCTTGATAGCCTTGTCGAGATCTTTGAGACTGCTATCTGTTCCTTGTCGTGACCGATAACCGTAGTAGACAGCCTTGCTGTGGAGGAAGAAGGCTTTGTCTTGGTCGTCTAAGACGTACGGTGATGTAGTATTTAGAGCCTCTTCGATGTCATGGATTGCTTTGTTGATATCGTCGCCAGTTAGCCCTGGATCGGCGAAGTATCGTTTCCCGAGAGCATCGGCACGAACTTGCAAGGCTCGGGGCCGATTGATGTGACCTGGAGAAGTTACTTGAACTGCACGCTCGGCTGAATCAAGGCCTGACTCCACATAGTGGAACTTGGAGCTGTCATCATGTGCTATCAGGTAAGCCCGGGATATGTCTATGAGTCTTCTGCTCAATCTTGCATCAGTGGAATCTGTGCGGCTGATGAGTTCCTCGGACAGGGAAATCGCGTAATGTAGCTCCGATGATATGCTGGTCTTCAGGTATCGTGTCACCAAGCCCTTGGCCAAGCAGTCCAAGGTAAGATCACGATGATCGTTGCTGTCTTTTTCACCTAGCAATGGCATGTCTCTGAATACTTCCACTTCCCTCTTGGAGGGAAAACTAGAGCAGCAGAAACAAAGCTCAGCAAAATCAAATGGCATAAAGACAAATTGCTTCTGAACGGTCTCAAGTGCCTCGGGCCATTCCTTGTGTTCGCGATTTCGTATGAAATCCAGATGCATTAGCCACTGTGTGAAGGCATATTCGCCAAATTCGAGCGTTTGCCTGAACCACTGCTGAGTTTCAAGTTGAGTGGGGAGAGGAGCATCGAAGAAATCCTTTAAACTCGCTATAGCAGGTCTTTGAATAAAAGGGGCAGAGATGTATTTGATACAGGTCTTCATGATAGTCTGATGACAGGCCTCCTCTGAGAAATCATCCGTCAGCCATTCGGGTCGTTTATCATCCGAGGACTTCAGCGGGAGAAGGTAGTCCCTGACAGTTTGGTGGATGAAATGAATGCGATTATCATAAGTCACCAGGAAGAAGTGGCAGGTCTTGAGAATCCAGATCTTGAAGTCCTCGGCATCTTGCATCAACTCCATATCCTCAGTGCTGTCTATCACATCATCGATTGTACAGACGTTCAATGCAATGTTCATCTCGCGCACCGTTAGCGGCCTCTGTGCTGCCAGAACAAGTTGAAGCATGGCCTTGACATCAGGTCTGTCATTTCCGGGAATATCCTCCAGTAGAGCTCGGTAGGTGTCATACACCGTTGTCGGAAGAGTCGTGAACGTCTCAATCCATTGGCTCGGTAGTCGTTTCATCGGCTGCTTGTCTAGATAGTCAAATATCAAGCCGACAAAAAGATACGTATAGTTATTGCTCATGTGTTGCTTGAATGTATTGCGCAACTTGGCCTTGGTAATTCCATTCTCGATCTTGTTGTTCCGAAAGAAGGTGTCCAGACGACTTGTTGCTACTTTTGTGACGTCCCTAGAAAGCGATTCATTGCATTCCACATCATCATTCATGTTCAAGATGAAATCTTTCTGTGATTGGAACATGTCGAGGACAGCCTGCGTTGGGCGTGATGTAAGAAGAAACTTGACCGCAGGGTTCGAGAACCGTTGCAGTCTATAGAGCAGGTTCTTTATCTGGTCTTCATCGACTTCATCCAGCGCATCCAGGAGAATGATAATACTTCTAAAGGGGGCAGTTTGGGATATTGCAGCTTCAAAGATATCCCAGAGCTTGTCGAGATTCAGTCGCAAATCCTCTTTGTCCAGAGGCTTGACCATATCTCGGACACCATCTATGAGATTCCCTTGGGCTAAGAAAAGTTCGTAAAGAATTTTGCAAAGTGCAACATTTGCCTTGTTTTGCTGGCCACTTTTATCCTTGAAGAAAAATGAACAAACCGTTGACGGATTTGATTCCGGTTGATTTTCCAAGTCTTGCAACAACGACTTAGTAAACACAGACTTGCCTGCTCCAGGGTTTGCCAAGATGAGAAAAAGGCGATCTTCTCCGGTTTCCCATCGTTTGTATCGAGGATCATTTCGTATTCCACTGTTAGTCCCTTCCAGAGGGGCCACAATATGGTCGAAATAATCTCGATAAGCTTGATAGTTGTGTTGATTAGGATTCGGCTTGAAATCCTGGATGAGAGCGTTTCGTTCATTCGATAAGGATTCCTCCAGCATGAATTCATGGTGTTGGTTTAGGACTTTGATCACAGAGTCTAACTTGTTTTCGCACACTTTCTTAATATCCAACAGGTTGGCGAGAACATTCGTTTTGTGATCATAATTCAGGAAATTATCGACCCGTTTCTCAGCGGATATGATGGCCCGAATTTTTTCGTCCCACTGGCTCAAACCCACTGCGTTTTTGGCAAAGTCGCGAATTCGATGATTGCAGGTTTGAAATGTGAGCATCTGATATTCAATGACAAGGCCGTAGAGAGTAACAATTTCCTTTCGGATGGGAACCTTGAACTTTTTGTATTCTTCACTGGACTGCCAGGCATCCGAGCGCAGAAGATCTACCAAATGTATGTACCAGGGTAATTGCGAGATTATATAAGTGAGGCCATCCTGATTGCTTCCCTCCGCCTTTGTATGATTTGATATCTGCAATAATAAAAGGGGAGGTGAGTTTAGAACATTCATACGTCAAGGGAGCTGACCCACTGACCGGTTTGAGGACCAGACACACTCCTGCCCAGACCACGGAAGCCGGTGGATAAACATCAAGTACGGAGCCGATGATTTGTTCTGTTGAATCAAAGACAGTTGCAATTTGTGAAACCGCCTTCGATCGACCGGATGAGACTCCTTCCTTGTACACTAGTCTTTCCATGAAACGTTTCCGATTGTCGGTGTTGAGGCTTGCGATATCACAGATCAGCGAGGCGTTAGTCGCAGCATTCCCAGACAGAGGCTGCAACTCCGATAGCATCTTGGCCTCATATTCCTCAATGATGGGCCGCATTGATTCATCATTTTTAACTAGAGTGTATGCTTCTTCCCATACCTCCTGCGATTCAGATATTAGGTCTGTATGAGAGTTGGAAGCGCTCGGCTTGTCGTCAGCCTTGTCGTAGTGCACATGTGCCGCGGAAGGTGCAATAGAAGATGCGTCATCGTTAATCTGTTTGTCTGATAAATTGGGATTCCTGGTTTCCTTTTTAAAACGTGAAGAAAACCAGGAAGAGAGCCCCATCTCGCTATCCCCTGGAACCTGGAGTTGTTGGTAGGAGATAGAGGGGTGCAGACATGCTGCCTTTGAGTTCGGCACGAAAGCATGCAAGCGGCTGATTGATGCATCATGCAGGCTTGCTTTCCCGGCACAGTGAGGCAGCGAATTGACGGACTGCAAATAGAGAATAGTGAATATTCAGCCACTGAGCGTCATCACCGTAGACTCGTACTCGGCAGGACTGTTAGTCAGTCAACGAAGCAACAGCCATTATTTGATTTTCTTGTCTGTTAAGCCCCTAGTCTCTGGAGAATTGTCCCTTTTGTGCTTTGATGCACGTCAGCGTTGCAATGCAAAGCACATAGTCTCAATCCGTAGTCATCAAACACGCAGAAAAGGTAGCTTATCTCAAGGGATAGAAGAAAATAGGGATAGAAGTAGCTGTAGCTCTGCAGAAACGGAAGGAGAGGATCAGGAGAGACGATGGCGGCGCCAAGACGGAAACTGCCAGGCTGTATGTACGGGAGTCCATAAAGACCATCTTTTCCACCCACGTTCGAGTTAGAATCTACATAGAAAGACATCTCCTATACGAAGACCCCATGTCAAGAAGTTTCACTTATATTCTTCACCAGTCCAGTACCAACAAGTGTGTACTTATCTGGCCCAGCATACTACCCGCCGCCGACAAGAAGAACAAGAGCATCAACAATCTTGGCATCAAAACATCCCCGCCCAATGCATTTCTGACTTCAACCACCTCGAATTAAGTATATATCAAAAGAATAAATAAGAAAGGAGGAAAATGTCGACCTTCCAAATCCTCTACTTTGCATCGGCATCCGCATATACCGGGAAACCAAGCGAGTCCTTACCGGCACCTCTACCACTATCACAGTTGTTTCCTCTGATCGAAGGACGGTACCCGGGCATCTGGGTGAAGGTCTTGGCCAGCTGCAGTGTCAGCGTGGGACTGGAGTATGTTGATTTACCCTCATTAGCACCGGGGACAAGCGCATGGCCAGAGGGGTATGTTGATAGAGTGATTGGGGAAGGCGAGGAGGTTGCTATTATTCCGCCTGTTAGTTCGGGGTGATTCGTTCTTGTATATACAGAAATTTATTAAATTATAACGACGAGTGTTTCTATGCTATACTACTGCATCTCGTGGTTGACCCATTTTTCTCCTTCCGTCAGCGGTCTCCGTCCATATACAATAACCCTATGCCAGTCGGACAGTCAGTTAGTTATCCCTCCTTTATGGGAAGGACAGAACTTACAACTCATAGTATACCCTACTGCTCTGCTCTGCAAGTACTTTCTTCGTTTGTGCCACGAATTCCTTGGCTTCGTCTACTGTCCACTGTGGGTATATCATCAATCCAGTGTCAACGGATAGTAAGACTGGTGGACTGTAAAGAGAGAAGAAACATACTCCCATATATCTCGTACTAATGGCCAGAACCCATCCTTCCATGCCCGTCTCCCAGAACTGTTGAAACCACTTCTTGATATCCCCAAGTTGCGAGACTGAATAGTCCGGGTAACCGCCCCCGACAACTGGATTCAAATTTTCTGCATATTCACTTGTTGCCGCTGACGACGACGAAGGTGATGATGCCGAAAATCCAAAAAGAGGCAGCATATACCGTACTTCGCGCACATTCTCAAAGCCAATCTCGTATATCCATCCAGCCATGTTATCCGCAACCAGCCATGTCTTTCCGGTTTTTTCGCTGCATTCTTTCCAAAACTTGTACCAGGCTAAAAAGACCGAGTCAGGATCAGGCAAGCCCCCATCTTGCCTTTCCAAATAATCAATTCCAGTCGTTATTCCCGTTGTCGGTTTACCCGCTGTGTAATTGAAATGCGGAACCAATGACAACTCAGCCTGCTCAATATACCCCTTCCCTGGCTTGAGATGATCAAAAGCTTGCTGATACAGTCTTTTCCAGTCCTTGATGCTCCCATACAAACAGCGGATGTGTATCAGATCAAATAAATTGCGGCCTTCGTCGAGATATGTCCAGTGTGAGCAGCAGTCGTCTACTTCGAGGCTTAGGTTTGGACGGATGATGTCGTCATCGTGCCAGGTCGGTGAGAGGTCGGTGCCGAGGATCTGGGCTGTGGGGTGGGCGTCCGCCATGTTACTAGATGATGATGATATTATGTCAATGGTTGGTTCCTGGTTTAAATGAAGATTCGAGGAGGAAAGAGACAGACCTAGCCCAGAGCCCGATTCCGGTGCCTATATCAAGAACGTGGCGAGGACGTGCTACTGGAGCGAGATAGAGTTTATCTTGCAAGATGACGGTAAAGAGGTGATGTCTGCAGCCAACATTTCGTGAGTAAAAGTTCAGTGAGAAAAAAAAAGAGGAAAGCGGACGAACGTCACTTTCTGATGAAATGCATCCTGTTCATCATTCGGACCCCAATATGAGCCTTCGCCTGGAGTGTAAAATCGTTGTCAGGTGAAAAAATGTCAGATTGATAGGGAAGAACGTACGATAGGCATGATATCTCCGATCATTTTCGTATTTGTATGCCTGTAACGGAGAGGCTAAGACATTGATTCTGATACAGTGTCAAGAATTTTGCGGTTGACCAGGCAAGACAAGACAGTAGAGACGTACGACAGGTTGTCAGTGACGTTTTCTGTTGATGCTGATCTTTCATCTGGCTAGTTAACTCAACTGCATTAGCCCAAACACGGCAATAAGACAGGCGACAGATTAGGGCTGACCAGAAACGATCTCCTTGTGGGCGTCAAAAACCCCGTCGCCATCACGATCAGAATATGTTTCTTATTCTTCTTCACGATTTCTCTCGACACAATAACACTTCACATGCACCGACTCCGGATCAAAATCCAGTATCTCCACACAAGGAAGCCTGAGAATACGCTCAGAAGCTGAAGACGAATACGAAGGAACAGAAGGAGAAAACGTGGCTCGGAACAGAGACGTCAAAAATGAAAACGACATGGCTTTTTTTTTATTTCCCCAGAGCAGAGTTTATATCTGTATGCATAATCTATTGGTCTGGACAATTCACCCTGTATTTAGTTGGTCAGAATTGGAATGTCTTGTGGATAGGTAGAGAGAGAGGGAATTGCACCCAATGACTTCTTGGGTGCTTAGCGAGCTGAATTCTGAAACACCTCAATTATGTCTCGTTCGTTATCGCGTTATTAAAACGCTCGTACGTCAAAAAATGGTGACCAATTGAAAACCATAGACACGCAATATCTAGGTTGAAATAAAGTATGTACATACCTTCTGCCAGGTTCGAAAATGACTGTCGCGTGTCAGATAATCATTTCCATAAATTGACAGATAGATTATATAAACATTCAGAAAGAAATATTTTTTAATGGTTCTTGTCGCGTGAAATATTAACGAGATCAGTTCCGCATGCGGCTTGTTCCTCGTGCTTGAAACATTCCAGGGTCACCGTGAATACATAAATGTATAGCAGAACATCACAACACTAAAACTTCGGGTAATACCGGGTGAGCAGATAATTAAGCAGAGTCTGTCAGTCATACATTTGCCAAATTATTGAATGCGCGTGCTCGTTTCAGGTGAGTCGTGACCTGTCACATGAGGGTTACTTAGTTGGGCAGTTGACTGGATTGATGGCTGAGTTAGGGTTAAGACCCATCAGATACTATTTCTTTCAAGCGCAGGATTGAGAAGAGCCTCAGTGGAATTAATTGGGCTTTCGCAAGAACGAGAACGAAGTTAGAACTTCGGAAGTTCAAATTACAAACGGTAGAGTATACGACCGAAGCGGAAACAGGAATGCCATGTAATGAGATCATTTAAACTTGGCAGATAATAATCATATAGAGGACTGTAGGAAGGTGATCAGCAGCAGCGATCTACCTACAGTTAGATGTAGTCCCATCAAATGCCGGTCTTGTATACCAATACCCAATCTCATATGGGAGAACGAGCAGATTCCCAAATAGACAGGAACTAATTACCTATGGTGAACGACGTCGTTAGGCAAGTGTCACTTGATAATTTTTAATTTTCTGCAGATGAATTAGGGATTAAGTGATAGTTGATTCAAGCGATCTGAAATTGATGTTATTATAACCTGCTTTTAGATACCAACATAACAGAAATCAGACAACCAGCCAGGAAAAGAACAGGCAGGCAGATAACAGATATTAGGGCTCAATTGAGCAACACAATAAATAAAGAACAAACCCTACCAGAAGGCCTTCAAGACTTCAACCACCTCGCGAGATCAAAGATGACACTCCAAAGAAATAAACACAGTACCAACCACAACACCTCTTCTCGAAAACATGAAATGAAAGTGAGTATAAAGAATGAAAAAGGATTACCATGTCGTCAACCTTGAATGTTGACGTCTCTGGTCCCTCATGCGGGTTGTCCCTCTTGGTCCTCTTGTCCCTTTTGGCCCTTTTGAGCGCGCTCCGACCGAGTCATAAAAAAGAGGAAGATGCCAATTATGACTGTCAAGGCAAAGAAGATACTACCATTCACCCGAGAGGAAAAAAAATAGAAGGTAGTGTTAGCCGGGACCAGAGTACGATCCAAGGAAGATAAAAGATACTAACCAATCCGCAATAACCAACCCCCAAATCGCCTTCATTTCATTACACACCTGGCGGGACGCAGCAATAAAATCGGAATATATGACCTCGCCCGCACCCTTGTCAACCTTGCTCGCCAAAGAGGAAATAAACGATGAAGCGGATCCGCTGGAGCCACCAATAGAGCTGCACCTGAGGTAGGCCAGCGGGCGACCAGAAACCACTGCGACGGCAACGAAGCCGGCCAGAATGGCTGAATCAATGAGAATAGGCCAGTGGTAGAATATTTTATGGGGAAAGTCCCAAAAGAGAATGACTAGGATGACTAGGTAGAGGGCTGCTAGACAGACCTGTTTTATTTTGGGGTCAGGCTGGTTTATTTTAACACGCAGAAAGGAAGATGAGTCTTACCAAAGACAGGATGCCGACAAGGACAGATGGAGGATTGACGCTGCTGCCGTCCATGTCTGAGATAAATTGGCCGACCAGGCCGATGATGGCAACTAGGGTTATAATCTCGGCGGCGCGAAAGACGTGGTAACAAACGCCTAGAATTCCATGGCGACTCTTTCTGAAGAAGTAGAATATGGTGGAGTCCTCCTCCTCCTCTAGTTGTTGTTGTCTTTGTTGTGCTGCGTATCTTCCGGACATATTGTCAGTCGGGAATCAGGTCTTCTGGGTAGAAGTGGTTATTACAACTGGACAGCAGATGTCGACTATGAAAAACTGGCGAAGGCTAGCTGTGGAACGTGGGATGTGAGATAATGTGTCTTTAAAAAGACTCTCTCTGCAGAAAGGACTGGATGTAAGAAAGAAAGAGTGAAAAGTTGCAGGCAGTTGACAAAAAAGAAAAAGGAATAAAGTGATTGTATGACGCTCTTTATATGACTATGACATGGGAAAAAAAAGAATGAATGAATTCAGAACAAACAGAAACAAAGGGTAAGAATGACTACTTTCACTACTTATGTACTCAGAGCTGCCTACCTGCCCAGAGTCTAGAACGACCTCAGCCCATTTTAGCATCCAATCTGAGACGAGATCCATCTACCTGGGCACAGAGAGCGAAATCCACTAAAAAAGAAGAGAACAGTTTGAGCCAGAAGAAGCGGATACACACAAGCTTACTACAGTCGCAGTTTGTTTAGGGCTGGGACTTGGATGGTTATAGATCGATATTGCAGCAAGCGCCCACGGAGGCCAATCAGAGCGCGGGAAGTGTAAAAATAGACTGGGAAGTGGGCCTGCCGTGCTTCCGCAGCCAACCAGCGTTCGGAGCCCATCCACCAGTCATCCCGCGCGGAAGATTGTCATCCAACGACGCTTGCCTGGCAAAGAGGAACTGATACAAAGCTAACCCCCATGTCTTGGTTGTCTAGACTGCTCTGTTAAACGAGAGATTAGAGCTTAAAGTAGGTAGCTTTTGATGAATGCCCTACTGTTTCAAGTGCTTTGTTTTGGGCTCAGTCCCACGACTTTGAGGCTTTGTATCGTACAATAACAGAAAAGAACATCTTTCTAATCAACATGCTTTCCTTCTCCAGCGACCATCTTCGAAAGTTCAGCCAGGCCCTGGCCCTTGCTTACAAGCATATCCTATGTTCGTCCATGTGAACTTAATCCGATGATACCAAAAAAGAAAGCATTTTCAAGACAAACTTACCATTATAGAAGTCGGGATCAAGCTGACCACCCATTTAGTGACCGTCGAAAACGATCCGGTCCAGACCTTACCACCCTTCTTTCCTCTCTCGCCAACAATATCCTCAATCAAAGACTTGGCAAACTCCTCTGCCGTGACACCTTCCGGCTGGGCTTCGCCAGTTGCCCAGCGAGATATATTTTTCTCAATACGAGAGTAGTGCGAGTCTGGAGGCAGGCTGAAATCTGCGACGCTGTTATTGAAATTGGATTTGACGACGCCCGCCATGATCGTTGCGACACTGACGCCAAAGGGGGACATCTCGAGGCGTAAGGTTTCGGAGATGAGTGTCAGGGCAATCTTGGATGAGGTGTACGTAGCTACACATGTTAGATAATAGAAACATGCTTTATGTCGTAGAGTGGGCACCTACAGAGCCATGGCATATTCATAATACACCCCATCGAACTAATATTGATGATACGGCCGCGGCTCGCAATTAGCAAGTCTGCAAACGCCTGTACCGTCCGAATACTGCCCCAGATATTGGTATCGTATGTTCTCTGAGCTCGTTCAATGTCCATATCGAGAATGGGCATTACATAACCGGCGCCCGCATTGTTTACGAGCACGTCAAGACCCTGCCCACTTTCAGTGACGGTCTTGGCTGCTGCTATTACCGACGACTGGGAGGTGACATCGAGCGGTAGAACGGTAACGTTGGATAAGACGGATAGCTCCTCTGCGATCTTGGATGTGTTTCGTGCGGTTGCGAATACGTGGTGTCCTGCCCTGGCGAGGACGAGGGCGATGGCCGAGCCGATACCGCCCGCCGAACAGCCTGTTACCAGCACGCTTCTGACAGCCATTGGTTGTGAAATGTACTTCTTGTATCAGTCGATGAGTATCTGAGCCGTATTACACGTGCAAGAATTGTGTGCACTGTGAAGTGGTCACCAGGTAGGGGATGAGAGAGTTATTTCTGTCGAGAGCAGGGGCAGGGGCATGAAGGGTTTAAGTATTGTCTTCTGTGTTTGGATTGTCGTCCACTAGCCCAAACGTTAAACTGAAATTATCCACCGCCAGCCGGGAAAGATCGTAAGAATCAAATTCTGAAGTCGTGAATTCATACTTTGTATCGACGCCGGCTCGGGATTTCGGGCGGTTCGGGGTCGGTAGCAACCCGAGTCTGGATGCAGGCCTTTTTGCTCCTTTTTGCAGGGCGTTCACACCGAATATAACTAATGAATATGCTCACTTCCAGTTCTCCATGTGGCATGTTCCTAGAAGAGCGTGTTCTCTACGAGTACTGACCAGTTTGGAAATCACCACGGTTAGGGTTAGGGTTGCCAGCGCGGCCTTGGAGGCCATTCCGCTCATATACAAGATGTCTGCTGGCTGGAACATGCAGCCTAAGAAATACATGCTTTGATGGTTACAGCTCACTGCGAATTATCTGCCGGCTTCCACGACAACAGAAGCATGCTGTTGTTAAGTATAGGAACTGAAGCTGAAGCTTGAAACGGTGCTTGGCAGCACAGCCAATGAGAAGGCGCTGGATGTGAGACATGCGCCACAACAGCCGCAGCGTGTGAGTTGAGCGAGGTTCCTCACTCTTCTTCCGGGCCTTATGGACAGCTGCCTGGGAGGCTTGCACACACAGTACAGACAGACAGACAGACAGACACACGGCTCTGATTTGTGGCAGCAAACCTAAACAAACAGCAAGCTGATGTGGCCGATCAACTAGTGTCATTCCCAAAGGAGCAGCCCGGATCAGCCCCGGCTCAGACTGTCGCTATTCCCTTCGTTTCTCTTGTCGCTACTTCTTTTTTTTTTTCTGCTATTCCCTCTGCTTCTCCTGGCCCGGCATTGCTGTTGCAACTCTCATTCCGCCAATTGCTGTTCTCAGAGACTTCGCTCGTTCTGTTTCCGAAATGTTTTCAACCGTCTAGCCCGTGCCCTGTTGGACCGAAAGATAACGAACGAAGCCTGTCGAAAGGAATAAAAGATAATCTCACCGTCGTTCGCGGCCTTCGTTCTTGGATTAGTATCACTGGCATATTATTCGTCCATCGCACACTCGAAATTTCATTGGCCGGATACAAACACAGAAGCAAAGGAAGCAGCTGCCTGAAGGGAACCAGCGTTGACGGCCCGGTGTTGGAGAGGGGCAGACCTCTTGGAGGTCGCCTCAAATAGCCCCCCGACAGTCGTGATGGCCGTGGATGGGAATGGGCGACATAAACAGCCATGCTATGATTCAGGATTATCCTCGCCGTTGGAAAGGAACAGAAGCAATGTGATGGGCAATCGACAACGACGGAAACTTGGGATGCCAGATTTGCGCCACAAAAACAACCATATTGTGAATCACGCCAGCTCCTGGCTTACGATACTAACATGCCTTCTTGCCTTTCTGGCAAGCTCCGTCAATGCTGCCTTTCTCAACTTTGATAACTGTTTAGAAGCCAGCACCTTGAGCGACCCGAGCCAGCTCCAATTCGTCCCCCTGTTCTTCGAAGCCGTGTACGATCCTTCTCCGGGCCCGAACCCTTTAAATATTACGATTTATGGAAATGTCACTGGAGCCGCGCAAGGGGAAACTGCTCCGTCTCCGGGGTCATCGCAGTGGGACAACAGCTCGGACACAGCAGGCAAGATCGTCAATGTGGTGGACGATACCTACACCACTCTATTCACCACAATAAACTTACTCACCTTCACTCCATATGATCAGTCGGGCCAGTTCTGCGAAGCTGTCGTCCAAGGCAGCTGTCCTGTTGGGCCTGTTTTCGACGTAAACGCGTATGAATTCAGATTTCTCCCTCCATCAAGATTTTCCATTGTTCCATTGGCTAACTAGTAATCCCCCGACTGACTCTAGGAGTAACCCGAGCCAGCTTCGAGCCTTCACGGTAGGACACGATATGGGATCATCGTATCAATTCGCAAGTTTACCTACTACGTTGCGAGTCAAGTCTGGAGACGCACAGGGGACCGATCTGGCTTGCGTGTCTGCAATTATTGTACCGGACCTGGGTTCGACACTTCGCGGTCTCATATCCTTTATGCCTCTTCTCGTTCTGATCTTCGTTACTGTCGCAAATATTCTGGCCGCCACATACAGCCCTTGGGGTTCGACCGATATTTTTCGCTGGTCTAGCAACTACGGTCGTGATGAAGATCTTTTGCGATTAGTGACTCCCGGATTCGCCGATTGTCTCCAATATATCCAGTTTATCGTCCTGACGGGGGCTTTATCCTTGAGCTACCCAGGATTTTTTCAACCCATTGTAGCCCAAGGTGGGTGGGCAGTTCTCATGTTCAACCAAAGTCTTGCGAGCCATGGCGGAGGAATGAATCCAGTTGTCGACGGAGTGTACGCTACCAACGGAACTTATGGCTTGGATCTCCTTAGCCAATATGTCGGTCTGAAGAACAAGGACGACATCTGGCCGGGATCAATCGTTTGGCTGTTGGTGATCTTGTTTGCGGTTACTGCTCTGACCCAGGTCGTCTTCGGCTCTCGCTGGATTTACCACAAAATGGCCAATGTTCCAGAAGAGGATCTTCGTTCCAAAAACATGCCATTTACTGTTGGAAATATTATTCGCATCATATTCAACTTTTTTCTACTTCCCACCATGTCACTGGCGCTCTTCCAACTGGTCATTGCCGCTAGTTCCCCTGCATATTCGGTGGCTCTTGCAGTCGTCTTAATTATAGCTCTCTTAGGCTTCGCGCTCTGGGTGATCCGTCTAATCGCGGCTGCTCGACCCCGTGCTTACCTGTTTGACGATATCTCCACTGTTCTGCTCTACGGTCCTTTGTATAATACGTATAGGGACGGCGTGGCTACATTTGCAGTGGTGCCTATTTTCTTCACCTTTCTCCGAGCCATCGCAATAGGCGCACTTCAGCCATCGGGCACCGCCCAGGTCGTTCTGCTTGCCATAGTTGAAGTGGCTTACATCTTGCTTCTGGTAGCGTTTCGGCCGTACCCTTCGCCTACATCGATGAATCTCTACCAGATCGTCTTTGCTATTGTACGCTTTTTAATTGTGTTACTGAACATCACCTTTGTGCCATCTCTCGGGATTGCCGAGCAGACAAAGGGGTGGATTGGATACGTTATCTTGGGTTTGCATGGAGGGATGTTGGTGTTTGGATTTTTCCTGAATGCCTTGCAGACCTTGATCGAAGTGATTGCTCGTCTTGCAGGAGCCGGAGGCGTGGAAGGAGGCGCAACTCGTGGTGGCCTCACAAAGGTGCGTTATGTTCTTCTCGCTCAAGCCCCCCAATAGTAAAGCGTAGTTGAGGTTTACTGATGAAAATAATTATAAAAATTAAAGGTCTTCGGTGCAAGACAGCTCTCTCGACGCAATCCTAGAAGCAGCACACGTGAGAGCATGGCTTCAGATGCTGCAATGCTCGCCAACATGGATGAACGATCATCAACGCATTTCGGCGGTTCTCGAGTCAGGAGTATGTCTGGTAGCTCTGCCATGCTTTTGAATCGTACAGCGATAAGCGACGGCCGGGTAAGCATCGCCTATGATGCAGGCAGTGCGCATGGCGGCGCGCATAGTCGGACTAACAGCGGAATGTACACTCCAACAACGCCTGGAGCCAGCAGTGCGTTTTCTCACCCCGCCGGATATCTGCCTATGGGAACACCTAAGAGCGGTTCTATGATTGGCTTCAAGCCCGAGGCAATGGATCCATATTATCGACCTCCACGGCCCAAGACGAAGTTGCCGGAAACTCAGCAATCATCCGAGGGTGCTCAGCTACAAAATGCATCCGGTAGCGACGCAGAGGACAATATTATTGAGGCTGCAACAGGTCAACCGGTACCTGCACATATCGCACGGGATGATTCCGACCTTGACGATTCTCGCACCAACCGTAAGGACTACGCGGTCCGTGAAGTCGACTTTTACTACCGCGTTCGCGGGCCGGCACTGTCTCACACGGGCACCCGTAAATTGAAGACGGGACCTGCAGACCCGACTGGGCCTGTCTCGTCGGCGTCAGGTTGGTTCCGGCGGTTGTTGGGTGGCAAAACTAAAGAACAGGGTAAAGGGTTTGAGGTCATTCGAAGTGCCCGTGCTCCTGCCCAAAAACGATTCCCACTCGCTGAAGAGGAGGAATATCACGAACCATACCGAGATGAACCAGGGTCACGAAGCCCTGAGGAAACTGGAGATGGCGCTGGTCGTAGTCACACCCGGACTGAGTCCGGCATCACCACAGCATCTTCATACCATGACTCTGATGGGGCAGAGAAAGAAGGGGAAGAAGAAAACGAAGAAGAGGGGAAAGAGCCAAAGGAGTCATTCCGGCTCCCACAAATTGACGCCGGCGGCTCAATCGAGCTTCCGAGTCGCATCGGCTCACAGAACAGCACACAATCCTCAATCCGCCCGCCAGTGCCCCGGAAAAGTTCAAAAAGACATGGCCCCCAGGACTCTCTGGATGGAAGCACCACACCACCACCGTTACTCCCCATAATTCCAGGTTCACCACCTAGCGCAGCACATACTTCTCGCGACATTTCCCCCTCTAATAATAATGATATCAACAACAACCACCTACTCCATCCATCAACAGAGTCAGTCGAGACCGCTCGCTTACCATTTGCGCCCAGCGAATCCGGCAGCAATAAAACCAGTAGCCAAGACCGACATGAATCTCTAACCTCCGCAAGCTCATCCACAATTCTGCGAGTAGCAAGCGCAGAAACAGGCCGACCTTCAGGCATGGGATATGTGGCACACCACCGCGCGGGGGCGAGTATTCATCATTCAGGCGCTGAGCATCCTGTGACTGGCAGTGCGGCGGAACTAGTTGAGCAGCAAAGTACGGATACCGAGTCTGGCCACGAATCTCCTTTGCGACAACCTTGAAAAAAAAAAAAAAAAAAGAGAGAGAGAGAATAATCTAGTATACGCGGATTATGTTACGAATTTCCTTTTTTTTTCTTTCTCCCTCTCTCTCTCTCTTTTCCTAAAAGCAAATCTCACAGCACTTATCTTTTATTTCTCGTGACAAAATGTGAAGCGTTCTCTGGCCTTTGACAATATATCTCTTTTTCATTTCCTACTATTGTGTGAACAGTTTCAAAGGACTATTCTTCTTCTATTTAATATTACTTCTTGGTTGTGTCTCTTTTCTGCACATTCTCTGTACGATATAATATAAGCATTTGTTGTTTCTAGTCCGCCGACGCACGTAAAATGTTCAAAAAGACAATTTGTGGGAAAATGATATTTGCTCGTATTTAAGGAGTATAGCTAGTCTTTCTATACAGCAGCACAGCTACAGTAGGTATTGTTTAGCGCCTGACATGTGCTAATCGATAATGATGATGATGATGCAGGGTCTCTTCCTAGCCGAGTCGCCGGACTAATGGGAAAAGGGCCACTAACTGTCAAATTATGCCATAAATAGATAATAGCATAGTCTGATAGTACATAGAAGCTCGGCTCATTCGTTGCTGGTAGTGTTACGAGTGCAGCTCGGCTGATGCAGAGATAAGCTCGGCGGAAATAGATGTTCCTGAAGCCGGGCCGAGGTTCATTCAGAGCTTCAGCCATCATCACTGCTTCTCGCGACTGTTCTTTGTTTACCTTTTACTATTACTTAGTTACTGTGCCACCTGATTACTGATTATCATATTTCTACCTCAAGGCTAAAATAACAGACAAGCAAACGATCACTTATACGTATCCAGAGGCTCTGTCCTCTGTCCTCTGCCTTCTCCTCTCCGTCTCGAAGCTCCTCCCACGCTTATCACTGTCTAGAGGAGTACGACAAGCCAAAATGTCAGTCTCTACAAACGAAATAAAGGATACCGAGGAAACCCTCGCGCCAGCCAAGCAGTCGGCCTCTTCCCAAACCCTCGCACAGCTCCGATCCTTCGTTGCCGGCGGTGTAGGCGGTGTCTGCGCCGTGGTGATCGGCCACCCCTTTGACCTGGTCAAGGTGCGCATGCAAACAGCCGAAAAGGGCGTATATACGGGTGCCATCGATGTTGTGAAGAAGACGGTTGCGCGCGAGGGTCTGGCGAGGGGGTTGTATGCTGGTGTTTCGGCGCCGCTTGTGGGTGTTACGCCTATGTGTGAGTGAAAGCTTCCCCCCCCCCTCCGTCTCCCCCCTCCTCCTTTCCTACCATAGCTAGAATTTCAAGGACTGGAATGATTGATTGGATTATGTGTTTTATAACCCAGTCGCCGTCAGCTTCTGGGGCTACGATCTCGGCAAAACGCTCGTTTCATCTGTCTCTACCGTCCCAGTACACAACAACACACCCCAGTATAGCATAGCGCAAATATCCGCGGCCGGCGCCTTCTCTGCCGTGCCCATGACACTGATCACAGCGCCCTTTGAGCGAGTTAAAGTCTTGCTTCAAATTCAAGGGCAAAACCCGCCTCCGGCCGGGCAAAAACCGAAATATTCAGGCGGCGTCGACGTCGTGCGTCAACTGTACAAGGAAGGCGGACTTCGTAGCGTGTTCCGTGGCTCGGCAATGACGCTAGCACGCGATGCACCAGGTTCGGCAGCCTATTTTGCTGCTTATGAGTATATCAAGCGCTCGCTCACCCCCAAGGATGAGCATGGCAATGTCACCGGTGAACTGTCGCTGACAGCCGTGTTGGCGGCCGGAGGTACGGCGGGCATTGCGATGTGGATTCCTGTGTTCCCAGTTGATACGGTCAAGTCGAGATTGCAGTCTGCGTCAGGGAATCCGACTATTGGGGGCACGATTAGGGCTATTCATGCTAGTGGTGGTTTCAAGGCATTTTTCCCTGGGTTTGGCCCGGCGTTGGCGCGTGCTGTGCCTGCTAATGCTGCTACATTGTGAGTTTTTCAGTGTCCTCTACTATGAAACCACGCCTTTTTTTTTTCGGATAAGCAATCTAACATAATTTTATCCAGCCTCGGAGTTGAGTTAGCGCACAAGGCTATGACCAAGTTTTTCGGATGATGTGATAACCAAGTCAATACTGTGATATTTAGTTCTGTGGTTAAGCACGTTTTGAAGCTTGTGTACATAGATGACCATTCTCTTGTTATAGTATAGATGATGTTATGATATTCAAAGAATACCCTCGGACAGCCAAGAACAGAAACCCTCTGTGTCCCGGAAAACGTATGCATCCGGATAGAAGGAAGAGGCAGTAAATGGAAGAAAGTAATACCGAGTTAATGTCTTACCTAAGGATTTCATTCAACGTTGATTGGCTGCTAGCAGACCCACGTGACTAGACCAATTAATAAGCATAATCGGAGCAACCACAGCCAATCACAGCAAGCAAGTCAGTGTGGCAGAGTGGTTAATGCGTTAGACTAGAACAACCTATCAAATCTAATGTCCTAGGACGCCGAGGTTCAAATCCTCGCGCTGACGACTTTTTTTACCTCTCGGCGGAATGTGGAATCGTTCTGATGTTGATTTGATTGTCGGAGTTGGGTACATGTCGTCAACTTTGAGTTGTGTGCTTTGTGGATTTCTTTTTTTTTTAGCCCTAAACCACGCCGGGTTTTCTTCGAGCCGAGTGTGATCCAGCTTTGCAGCCACTCTTGGCGGTTATTATGACCTTTAGAAACGACATGTTTGGATGCGCTGGCCGTGTTAGTTCTTGTCGAGAAACATCAGTTCAGGAATAATGCTCCTTCAGAACAATCGGTGGATAACGGAGGGAAATGTAGACGGCCGGCTTCGCAAAGATATCGGAGAATTGAGAAAATAGGGGGTTTTATGTCTGAATGAAAAAGACAAGGAATACGTCTAGGTGTGCAGCGTCTGCAAAGCCCTAAAAAGGGCAAGGAATGCTGCTGCAGTGTGGTGTGAGTCCCCTGGGCCTTGGTCAAGATGGACGTTAGATGGTGGCGCTCTCCATATCGTAATTAAACATCTCTTTGACCAAGTCATTATCATATTGTCATAGAGCCGTTGGGTTTGGTTGGTTAAAAATGTACCTATGGGGGGGTAGGCCACGAGGTATACTTCTGTACCTATATATATTTCTAGGCGTACTTTCTCTCGGCGCGGGTTTCCTACTATGAACTAGGTACCTACCTAGGTTACAGCTTTGGCTCAAAGAAGGGACAAAATATTAGAATAGGGAAAGGTTTGAAGCTGCGGAGGAGCTCAGGACTTATATTTGGATTTGGATACAGCTGCAGAAGTTAAAGAGCCACCGGTCAATTTTCGCGTTGTGGGACCATGCTCAATCTGACCAAGCAAAGGAAATTAGTCAGCCGCAATCCCACATTTGGCCCAATTGGAGACAAACTATAAGCAAGTGCGTTCGTTCATTTAATATACTCACGATTCGCTCTCTACTCTTCCAAAACTGCTTATTCCTCCTAGTCCGCTAGCGTGTTCTCGCAGTCATCACGAGGATGATGTCGAAACCCGAGATATCCCTATCCCCACCCTCCTCAACCTTGAGCGAGATGCGGCGTTTCATCCAGCTGTCTAACAAAATCCCCGATATAGACGATTGGACCGGAGTTAGCGATCCTAAAATCCGGAGAAGAGTCCAAAATCGCTTGAATCAGCGGGCATTCAGTGAGTATTGCATGAGTGGCACGGTGCCACCGCTTGTAATCCGAAGATGAAGATGAAGATGATGGAATATCCCTGACATGTAAGGTATATGGTAGGATCTCGGCAGGATACTGATACTCTTAGCAAGAGGAAGAGTGTCAAGAAGGAAAATGGACGGTCTCGACACATCCCTGACCTGACTACCTCAGCTCAGGACATATCAGTGACGCCTCGACCGGTAGCGGACCGACTGCCCCAGTGGACATGGGCCCCCTCCAATCTTCAGGAATTGATGGCACAGTACGAGCGCCGGGCCACTGAAAGCTACCTTGGAGGCTCGCCTCAGGTCGACCATCTTATCAGTCTCAGCAGGCTAAACATCTGGCATGCAGCTAATACAAATATTGTTGCTCTTGGCATGACCACTGAATATCTATGGGCCGACGCTTCTATATCAATTTTTAGCACCCCCTCCATATGTGTTTTGAGAGATACCACTATTCCCACAAATCTGCAGCCAACTGCCTTGCAAAAAGCGACTCCACATCATCCTTGGTTGGACATATTTCCATTTCCAAGCATTCGAGATAACCTGATACGTAAGGGGAACGACCTCGATGACGATGATCTATGCCATGATCTTATGGGCTTTTGGGACACTTGTCGGCCTAACGCAACCGTGTTGGTTTGGGGCCCTCCATGGGATCCTTCAAATTGGGAGGTCACAGAGGCATTTGCGAAGAAATGGGCTTGGACGCTTAAAGGGTGTCCCGAAATTCTGAAGTCAACTAATCGCTGGCGAGTGCGAAGAGGGGAAAAGCCGTTGGCTTGGCGGTATGTGCTATCCTCAACTCTTGAATAGAGACGGGCATTAGTTCTATCAGGATAAACGATGCCAATTTGCGGTTAAGAATACTATACAAGCACAGTATGTAAGGAGTTGCAATTATCGTGAATAAATATAAATCTAGTTTTTCAAACAGTAGAAAACTAGATATTACATACTACATAGCCATGTTTACATTTGTTATTCTAATAACCCCTAAGAGGCCAAAACCGGGATTTAGACCTCGGTCAGCGACGTAAATAGCATTTTGACCTCTATAAATTATGTACCTCATGGGACTTGGATTTTCAATCGGTTTGTTGATCCAGTCACATTAGAGTTTTACCTAGGCCCAGTGATTGACGTAGAGCAAACCCCACACGTCTCGGCAGTATGCATTAGTTTGCTTTTATTTTTAAGTTTTAGGCCTTCCTATTGGTTGGTAAGGCAGATACTTTGGCACGCTAATGCAAGATGCTTACCTGACCAATCAAAATGGCTTTTACTACTTGTTGTCGGAGCTAGGAACTAATTGTCTTAAACCCGGTGAACAATGTGTGCAAGTAGTACTCCAAAGCAGATTTAAAGAATATGCGGTCCTGAAGCTGTTAGTACAAATGTTCCTCATCTCGTCGTTTCCTACCAAGAACAAACGCAAACCTTCCCAACCCCCAGTAGCCAAAAGTCGCCATGGCCACAAGCAATACGATGAAGGCCCTGGTTCTCAGGCCCCTGACTGGATCGCTGGCTGTGGAAGGTGCCACCGTGCCAGTCCCTGGACCAAATCAAATCCTTATCAAGGTGAAGGCAGTCGGACTCAACATGGTAGACGTCATGAACGTAGATCACCCTCTCGCACTCCAAGAGATGCGCGTTGTGGGCTCTGACTTCGCAGGAGAAGTGGAGAGAGTTGGCGAAGATGTCAAAACCCTGCACGACCCGCGTGTGAAAATTGGCGCACGCGTTGCTGGATTTGTTCAAGGCGGTTGGTGTTGTCTTCTTCCTCCCCATTCCAAACTGTGCGTCTGACTTTACCCAGCAAACTCTGCTAATGAACGTCCCGGTGCCTTTGCCGAATACGTTGTGGCTGATTATGACTTGACCTGGAAAGTCGATGATGACTTAGCGCTGGAAAATGCCGCTGCTGTCAGCATGTGTGCTCTCACTGCCGCACAGGGTCTCTTCTACCGCATAGGCTTTCCATGTCCGTTCTATGGGACGTCGACGTTCGGGGACGTAGAAGAGCCTGTGTATGTTTTTATCTACGGCGCAACGACCAACGTCGGTATGTATGCTGCGCAGCTGGTTCGAATCGCGGAGGAAACGGCGGGTAAAAAGGTCAAACTCATTGGAGCAGCCAGCGCCTCGAAGCATGCCGAACTAAACCGGGAGCCATTTCAATACGACCTTGTGGTCGATTACAAAGATGACAATTGGCCACAACGGGTCCGTGATGCGACTGGTGGGATGGGCGTGTCGTACGCAATTGACGCAGTATCTGTCGGCTCAACAGTAGCCAAGGTCGAAAGCACATTGAACTCTGAGGGTAAATTTGCCGCTTATCGAACTCCAGCCATCGGGGGATATGACATGTCTGCGTTAAAGATCAAGCCTGTCATCGGTGCGGTTTGGGAGGGCCTCGGAGCTGAGATCAATTATCACGGTAACACGGAATTCTCTAGTTGCCTTCTGTAACTAGTTGGTTGAATCTAATCTAATCTAATCTAATCTGTCTACCTACAGGTGCTACTATCCCCGCCAACCCCACTGCTAGGAGCTTCGCCGCCGCGTTTTTTAGATTTATAGGCCAAGAGCCCCCCTCTGGCTTCAACATACTCCAGCCGGTTCCTATCCGTCTCATGCCTGGTGGCCTAAGCAAGATCAGTTTTGATGGCTTCGCTGTGCTCCGCCGTTCGCCACTGGTATCCAAGATCGGATCGGATCAGAACGTGGAGGCTCATTTGCGAGCGGTAAGTATGGAGAAATTGATATATAAGATATAAGGAAGATTTCATAAATATAACTATATGATCTATTGCTACTATATTCTTTAGAAGTGACATACAGAGACTGAAGTTTAAGAAAAGAAAGCACTCCTACCTACAGGAAACCTCATTCTTATGCGTGCGTAACGTGTCTCTGTTTCAGTGAGAGAAAGTCTATGTTTAATTAGCAATCCTTTTGAAAGTTCAGACTAAGGCTGAATGAAATAGTGCTGAATGGCCAAAGAGTGCTCGATATGTCAATAATGGTAGGTTGAATCAAGGAACTCATCTACAACATCAAGTAGCATGATGTAGTTCAACTTGTTAGCCAAAACACATAGATTGTTCTTACAATGGTCTGGGGTATCTACATATGTAGTCCCCCTGGTACGCTAATGTAATAGAGTGTATCAAACGGGTCTACAAAGAGCTTCTCAAGTCTTCTTTTTCATGTATACCATTGCTACTTAGTCCGTATCCATGGGACTGCTGTGGAAGGAGCACTCGAGGAAGGAGCTGGCCGTTCCTTCCTCCAGTGTCTCTTTGCTCTTTCCTTTCGTCCTCTGCTCCCGTCCTCTTCTCTGCTCTGCTCTGCTCTCCTCTTCTCTCTTCTCCTCTTCTCTCTTCTTCTCTTCTCTCTCCCAAAGACGATTGATTGATTACAAGCAAGTAAGTACCCATCGCAACCCCCGTTTTTGAATAACGGAAAATGACAAATTACATAGCACTTTGGACGATGATTCTGGTGCTCATCCAGACTGTGGATGGAGTCTTCTATCCCAGACTGGTCCAGCTGAAGAATTGGGTCTGGCCTCCGCAACCAGCACCCAATCCCCAGCTGGGTGGACATGTTGGCCCTGGCCTTGCTCCTGCCATTGACAGAGCCGTGCAGGCGTTGGTGAGGATCGAGAATCGCTTGGGAGAGATGCGACTATGGCAGCTGAACCGTAGAGCACGGAGTAAGAGTCGTCTATCTCCCATGAGGTTCTTGGTCTTTGCCAATGACCCGCTGCTTTTGTCAATGGTGGCAGCAAGGCTGGGATAGACATGTCGAAGCTATCGAAGACATTGCACGAGGTAGCTTCAGCACTAGGATCATTGTCCCCTTTTCCCCCCATGGGTGCGGAAACCCATGGGACCCAGGGAACTGGCCACCAGCGACGAACTCGCACTTCTACGCAGTGCTGGTGACTAGTAGCCTTTTAGGTGAAGCTAAGACGAGTTCATTTTCAAGTACACCAACTGAAGAGCCAAGCGATTATTCATGTAATGTGAAAGATGAGTACCTCTTACTCTACCCGACCCCCTTCCCTTCACTGCGGAATTGCTAACAATGGCCTGACTACTTAGTCCGTATCCACGAGACCATCGTAATGCTCTCAGAATGCCGCTGTGTATGAGAGATAGCCTCGAAAGCCGTCTCCGTGTGTTGGTACCATATATCGTCAGCTTTCTCCATAGCCTTGCCAAAACGTCTTTTGGAAATGAAGATACAGGTGCGCTCAGAAGCCGTGGTTTTAGTCGTTGAGAACATATGTTGTACATCAGATATTGTTGTCTGACAGCGTGGGCAAGCCATCAAACGTTTTGAGAACTTCCATTTGCAGCTCCCATCGCTGTAAAATTTCCAATATCTAGGATTATGGGCTTGTCTTGCCTGCCAAACATCGAAATCCAAGAGATTATTGTTAAGACTCCGGTGTGGGCATGGCAGCATAACATCCATGAAAAATTTGCCTGGCAGCTCAGTTCCAGTAATTGTATACATAGTCTCAACCACGAAGTTGTCATTTTCTTCCATTTTTAGATCAACTTCACAATGCAAGTGCACCCATTCTCCAGTCCGTAGCCTATATGAATGGGAACATTGATGCTGACCAATAGCCCCATCAAACTCAATAAAGCCATCATAAATTCTATAGCGTTCCGTATGGCTTCGGGATAATAGAAGCTTGACGAGTTTTCTCTTGTGGCGAAAGGTAATATTCATACAAGGGCATAAACGAGCGACTCCAACAAGAGGCCCAAAGACACAAGTTCGTCTCGAAGCTGGCGTCTGGAAGTCCTTGGCAGTGAACTCATAGAATGGATGAAGTCCGAAGCAGCCAAAGCAACGTCCCCAATACTGGTCTTCAAGTCTTCCAAGAAGCTCCCACCGGACAGAATCAAGCCTGTGCTCTCTCGATCTGTCATTGAACGTGTATCGACCAACATATGTGGAATCTCTGAACGTCGGTAAGCGCTGCAAGCTCTTTGATTCGTCCAGATAATATAACAATGATTTGCAAGTTAAGGCAAGGCAAAGGTGATCAATATCACGCAGGTACTTGACGACTTCCACTACAACCTCAACTGGCAAGTCATTGAAACCGACTTTTGGACGTCGAGAGCGAGCAGAACATAAACAAGAGCCTTGTTTTGCTCTATTTTTGCAGAAGGTGATAATGATGTGCACCCACAGGACAAAGAGGACTATTGGTGGCATGGTGGCTGACTGCAGGATGATGCTCTAGATAGAATTTTTTCTTTTTCTCCAGAAGATCAACCAGGTAGTTGAGGTGAGGACAGAAGTTACATCATCTCAACGTGCGCTATTTGGATATACTAATCATCACCGCAATGAAACCAAGTATTCAACTTTCATATAATGAACTTTAATACTTTACAAGACTCTCTGGTCTTACCAATACTTTTTCTTTTCTATAATATTAAACTCTTTGGATCATATAATTTGAGAACATAGAAGTAAACTGGTGTTATGCAGAAGCCCCTTATTACCCCGAGTCGTGGCTTAGAAGCCACGACTTGCCAAGAAAAGTTGGAGTGACTCCATGATAATGTTACTGCACCGGGGGAATAAATAATGAGGTAGAAATAAATATGCCTCGAGCCCGAGTTTACTCATATATGTAGGGAAGATGCGGGAGCGGTTAAGGCCTGTCTTAGGGTTGACAACCATACCTAACGGCAATTAGAAAGACCACTCTTTCTAGCAACTTTTTCTAACTATTTTTTCTATATTGCTCTTTGGGTCGTTATTTCCTTGGCCTTATTGGTCTTCTCACAGATCAGATATCATGATCGGTTACATTCTGAGGTGTATCTGAGGCATAAAGGCTCTAGTGGACGAAGCCGAGATCGAATTTATCAGAGGAAGAAGAAACATGTGAGGAGGCACCCAAATAGGCACCGCTGGGGCGCTGGCCTGGGAAGCTAGATGAGATTGCCCAACGTAGACTATATATACCACGATCCCCAGGGCACGATGAAACCACTCGAGTTCAATGGTGATCAGCCAGAAATTGAATAGGTACATGAGATGCACAGGAATCAGGAAATATTAAGGCACCCTTGAGCAATGGTGTGATGAAAAGAGGAATAAAATTCTCAAGAAAGATGAAAAGGATGGAGCAGTAGGCTTGTTTAGAATCTAATACCTAGGTAGAGGAGGAACAAGAGCAACCGGTGAAGAACAATCATTCTTTGTTTTTCTGAGAATATGTTAGTCGCGTGCTCATAATACGACATCAACGGGGCTTTGTTATATATTTCTTACAGGCTTTCTTTACCTAAAATCTAAGGTATTCTACCGGTGATTTTATGGCTACCTTGACGGCTCAGATATCATGCTCCATTAACTAATATTATTGAATGGTTAGATCAACAACAGTCAGCGTGGCTGTGGATTTGAACCTCAAGTTTGCAATCCATCCCGGACTCGCTGACGATTATTTTTGGCCTAAACGGTGCTCTTATGGCGCGGGGGAATTCCTCTAGGATAATTTAGTCAAATATTGCATTGTCTATGAAAAGTATTGAGACCAAATGCACGCCTTGCTTGGACCGCCTAACTTGGAACTCCCTTGGAGCCGGTCAATGAGGGCACTCCTCTGCACTCGTACTGAAAGATTTGCACGTTTGTCATGGGGCTAAATATCTGCCAATAGTCCATCCTGTGAGACTCTAGACGATACTACGTCCCTAAAGATCCGAGCATGCATCACAAATCAACCGTCACGCGCTCGATTCTCGACGGACAGTTCATCACTCTCTTGGCAGTCAAGGTTGCAAGGTTACATGCCAAGCTCTGGGAAGGGAACAAAAAATAAAGCTTGCAGAGCAGATGCATAAAATGAGATTAGTTACAGTTACTTGACTATTAGTATTTAACGATTGTGTATTACCCGAAGTCGGACAAGCCTGTATATATATACACCGGCACGGGGATAGATTGAGATTTCAGAGATTTTTTTATCAAAATTAGGGTAGAGTGCCTAGTTCAACTGGTGGCGAGTGGCCTACATAATTATCAATACGAAATCATCTTCCTAGTACTAACATGGTATTTTAGATTCTACCGGGATATAAGGGAGAATACGAAGACAAAGATTCAGCAATCCCTTACTTCCCCGCATACAGGAGCAGTATGATCTGCAGCCTGCACAGACTTATTAGCTTTACTACTTTACGTTGCTGCATGTTTATTGGGGGAAAACTTGATCCTGGCTATATAACTCTTGTGGCTTTCAGGTTCTCGGCTTGACCGCCGATGCCATGCTTTCATTCTACGCAGGAGTATTATTTGAGCCAATATTCAAGATGACAATGCTTATTCACCGACAATTACCCGGCTTATTAAAGTGAGAAATTTTGTGCTCGATTGCATGCAGGCATGTCCCCCTCGTGCCAAAACAGATCTATAAAGCCACACAACATCGCCGCCATGGGCCGCCAACTTTTGGGACGCGCTTCGGACAGGCAAATGATCTATAGGAATCAGTGCCGAGATCATGTTTATTTATTGATTATCACAGTGGTATGCGCCCAACTTTTGTTGCATTTTCCTCCCCTCGCGTGGTTGCACAAGCGGTTCGCCAACAACGTGGTCAGTCAGCCAGTCACTGAGTCACATTCCAAACGCCGATGCCAAGGGCAAAGCAATACCCAGTATACCGGCCTATTTGAGAAGAAAAGACGGTTGTTTGCCGAGGTATCTCCCATCATCACCAGGTACGTAGTTTTCTGTGCCTGCCAATCTGGCAATCACTCCACCCGGACCCCCATTCCGATTCCCATAGTTAAGTATCCTCCCTTCTTATTCATAGTTCGAGCCTAGAAAGGCTTGGCCACTACTTAATCTGCTTGAGAATGTTTTATTTCTGCTACTTTGTACCCCAAAAGTCAGGGCTAATGTGAGCTGCCTGATGCGTCTAGCTGACATATAACCCTTGATAGGCCCTCGAGTAACCTTTGATTGATCTACCTTACATCACTGGTTAAATCCTTGTTTATATTCTATATATTGTCGGCCGTTGTAAGTAGTACATTTACCTAGGTACTTGTACCTAGCTAGCAACAATGATTTTTCTCGCCACCATCTTTCTGTCATTACTGTCTTTCACCAAAGCCTCCTCGACATTTTCCCCAGCTCGCCCACCAGCACAGCCACTGGCTGTCAAATCTCCCTACCTAAGTGCTTGGCAGAGTGCCGGAAGTGACGGTGGTAATGGCGGCTATCTTGCTGGTCAATGGCCAACTTTTTGGGCGTGAGTAACTGGGGGGATTGTTTGTGTGTGTGTGTGAAACAATGTTGGGGACTGACTGACCTTATATACAGTGGACAAATCCTTGGATGGACCGGGCTCATCAATGTCGATGGTGCTACTTACTCTTGGATGGGAGCTCCTCTCTACGTGCCAACCGTAGACCAAATTTCTTACTCCTATACCAGTACATCCAGCGTATATGTTTTGTCTGTAGAAGGCAAAGTCCAGATCACTGCAACTTTTCTATCTCCAATCACGCCTGATGACTTCCAACGCCAATCGCTCATTTTCTCCTATCTGAATGTGGAGGTTGTATCTTTGGACGGTGGCGAGCATGACGTTCAACTATATACAGATATTTCCGCGGGTAAGTTGGAATTTCTCGACGTTCTTTCTATTATAACCATATTAATGTTCCTCCATAGAATGGGTTTCAGGTGACCGCAACACAATTGCACAGTGGGACTATGGCACCAGTGGAAGCCTCTCCTATCACAAGGTCTACCGCCAGACGCAACTGGCATTCTCAGAAATCAGTGACCAGACAGAGTACGGAAACTGGTGGTATTCTACGACTACAGACAATGGCTACACTTACGAGGCCGGCATCGACGTCGATGTTCGTGCCCAATTCGGCAACCACAGTACGTTGAGCGACAGTGTCAACACCGACTATCGTGCTATCAACAGCAACTGGCCTGTCTTTGCACACGCTTTCGACCTGGGTAGTGTGGGCACCAGAAGTACGAGCCGCTTATTCTCCATTGGCCTCACTCAAGAAGACGCTATTCAGTATGATGGCGCAAATGGCGTAGTGCCTTTGCCTTCATTATGGAAACAGTATTTCGATGATGAAATTTCGGCCGTCTCTTTCTTTCAGAATGACTATGAGACTGCTAGTGAATTATCGTCTGCCTTGGATCGTCAAGTGCAATCGGACTCTGCAGCAATCAGCAATGATTATGCCACTCTTACGACTCTTTCTCTGCGACAGGCCTATGGTGCAACGCAGCTTGTTGGAACAAACGAAACGCAATATGTCTTTCTCAAGGAAATATCGTCTGACGGAAACGTCAATACTGTCGATGTCATCTTTCCAGCCCACCCTGCATACCTGTACACTAACCCTAGGTTTTTAAAATTGTTGCTGGCGCCTCTTTTCGAGAATCAAGAAGCTGGCCAGTACCCTAACAGATGGTCGATGCACGATCTGGGCAGTCACTATCCCAATGCCACTGGTCACACTGATGGCAACGATGAACAAATGCCTCTCGAGGAGTGCGGTGACATGCTGATCATGTCCCTAGCTTACTACCTCGCGTCAAAGGACATTGACTTCCTCAACTCCAACTACAAACTGCTGGACCAGTGGACTCAATTCTTGGTCGACGAAGCGCTCTACCCGGCCAACCAAATTTCAACTGATGACTTTGCCGGATCGCTTGCGTAAGTTTATCATTTGACTAGCCTAGTTAAATCAACACAATATATATGTACTTACTAACCCGTTGCCTTGAATAGAAACCAAACCAACCTAGCCGTCAAAGGCATGATTGGTATAAAAGCCATGAGTGTCATTGCTAGCGCTACGGGCGACAGCTCCAGCGCATCCAACTACAGCTCTATTGCAAGCGACTACATCACGCAGTGGCAGACACTGGGCATCAACAGTGCCGCAAACCCGCCGCATGCCACTCTCGCCTACGGATCTGACGATACTTGGGGACTATTATACAACCTTTTCGGCGACAAGGAGCTTGGCTTGAACCTTGTCCCGCAGTCTGTTTACGACATGCAAAGCGATTTCTATCAGACTGTGAATGCTCAATATGGAGTGCCACTTGATACTCGCCACTCCTATACTAAAGGTACCTCTTTCCATTCTTTACTCCTGTTGTCTCGAAGTACTAATTCAGGGCTATAGCCGATTGGGAAGCATGGGTCGCATCGATTTCAAACGAGACCACTCGCGACATGTTCTACAGCGATCTCGCTAAATGGATCAATGAAACTCCTACTAACCATGCTCTTAGCGACCTGTATGATACCGTCAGCGGTGACTATCCGGACGGTATTTTTTTCATCAACCGGCCTGTCATGGGCGGTGTCTTTGCGCAGCTTGTTCTGGATATGGGGCTTTCCCCTTGAATGGGCGCCTCCCATATACAGCCAGGACATTGGTTGGCCTCATGGTGACTGATTTTATATGGGATGCGTGTACATATTGATACTTATTTCCTTCACTGTACAGACTATGACATCTCGTTTTGTATGATCAGCAGAATGGAAGATCGGTTAACACTGTTTTTGCATGTACTGCACATACTAAGTTGTAGCAAAATGCAACAATTCAAGAATGTACAATAACACATAGTCTTTTGGAACGATTTCTTTTCTTTCGGACGAATATTTGAGTATCTGCCCAGACCAGACCCATCATCCTTCATTCTTACATGGTAACATACCAAATGAATCATATTGCGCCCCTCAGTTCTCTTGCTTGAATTTAATTAACAAAGCGTATTTTGCTTAGGTAAGTAGTTGTGGTGCTCCTCTGTACTCAATAATGTAGTATGTACCCAGGCAAAGGTTCAGTTAGGGTTTCGATGTCGAGAATCTCCCTTTTCGGCAATAATCATGCTAGCCCTAAATCTTTGTCGTATCATCAATTTTTCTACAGATCTGCATATAATATAGTATAATTATTGACTTTTCTATCTATACAAGACCATAATATATTTCTTTTCGGGAGAATTTGCTTTAATTTGTGAAGTACAGTAACTATGCATGTCTTCAGCCACAGGAATGGCGAGTTAATAAGCTGACATTCCAGTCGAAACCTTGTATATAACTATAGCCTACGGACATTCTTCGGAAGTAACAGGTCGTGCTGTTTCAAGTCGGGCATGTCTGTCTGTGGTTCGATTAATTTGGCCAAATTGAAGCAAAAAAGATGGCAGGTAATGGCTAGAGTACCTACTACCCTCCCCGGAGTTTCAAGCAGACATGCAAGATCAAGCGTAGCCTGACGCATGCTACCAGATAACTGTACTGACACTGATTAGGGAAAGCGCACAACATTCTTTCCAAGAAGCCGAGGATAAGTATAATGCCACTACAGTCAAAAATGGCTCGTGTCTTCGCCTCTTCCTTGCTCTGGACCACTGCCGATTGGGCCCAATGATTGCCCTAGCTTGGCCTTCAAGGGGTGAGCAGTAGCTCGCTTGTCCAATTCGCCATTTGCCGACTGGAGCCATTTAGTTTACCACGAGTGCATGTGTTTGGCGCCAATCAGAATACACGAAAGATAGGATTATTCCAGAGCATACCTAGGCAGTAAGTATATCACGCGGTCTTAGAGATCGAGGGTAAGAATGTGGGAGTTTAAAGTTTTGGATTATAAGATCAAATAGTGTAGTTATATAAAGCTTGCTTGCCTACCTTGACTTGACTTGACGCAGTAACTAGCATCTACTCCCTATTTCAAGACTAAAGCATCAGACCAAACCCACCTTCAGTCAGTCATCATGAAGCTCAACCCTCTACACACAACATCATCACTCCTCGCACTCCTCCTCTCTTTCTCACCATCTGCCACCACTCTGGCAGCAGCAGCAGCAGCAGCAGGCAACACCACCGCAACAACCCTAGCAACCTTCGACACAGCCTACGACGACGCAAGCCTCTCCCTCTCAACCGTAACCTGCTCCAACGGCGAAAACGGGCTCGTCACCAAAGGCTACAACACAATCGGCGACCTGCCCACCAAAAATGTCGGCGGTTCACTGACCATCAAGGGTTGGAATGACCCCAACTGCGGCGCTTGCTATTCGCTATCATACAAGAATGAGACCGTCTACGTGTTGGCTATTGATGTTGCGATTTCACAGTTCAATGTGGCGCAGAAGGTTCTGGATCAGTTGACACATGGTCATGCACAGGAATTCGGGAGCGTGGAAGTTGAGTATGAGAAGGTGGATGGAGAGAAGTGTGGTTTGTAAGAAAAGTGTCAGGATTGATATGAACAGTTTGGCATGGGAGGTTTTATCACTGTGTACACGAAAAATGAAATGTATTGAAACACATATATTCTAAACATAAGGACCTAAGCATACATGCAACGCCTAGAATAGCCAAAAAAAAATTATATGTATGTAATGCAAGCGCTTTGTATTGGTATCACAGATACAAGTATAATCACTTTTTCCATCCCTCGACCTTCCTCCTTCTCTTCTCAAACGACTGTCCGACAGCAGTCCCATCACCGCGCGGTCCATCTTCAGTAAATGCTCGCTTCCTGCTCTTCTCCAGCGCTCCATCTCTCGACGAACTGCCCGCTGCCCGCTTGGTAAGTCGACCAATCCTATCGGCTCCCTCACGCAGTAATCGAAACTCTTCGCCGCCAAAGCCACCGGTACGAGGACCCTCTTGCGCACGTCTCTTTGCTCGCTCCTTTTTGCTTTCCTTGGGCAAGCGCACAAAGTTGGTTTCTTCGTATGCACGTCGCTCTGCCTCGCGTTCTCGATCCTTTTGCGTGAGGACGCCTCGTCCACCACGTTGAATCGTGCTTCCAATACTAGGTTGTGCCATTGGCGCAGAGGACATTTCGGCAGAGACGAATTCATCAATGACGCTTGATTTCTTTGGTCGTCGTTCGCGGTCGCGGTCACGGTCCCGGCTGTCGGTTGTTGGTAGCGCGGTGGGCTTGATTCTGGGTGGTCGGTAGATTCCATCTGATGACTGATCTTTGTGACCCTTCGAGCTTGTGGCTTCTTTTTCGGATTTTTGTTGTTGCATATTCTTGGAGAATGCGGTGATGTTGGGACGGTAGGCCATTTCGTCGATTTGTTCGTCTTCGTCTTCGTCTTCTTCCTCATCTTCTTCTTCTTCTGCTGAGTCTTGTTCGTCGGATTGGTCTGAGTCTTCATCCTCTTCATCGGACAATTGTTCAATATTTTTCTGCTTATTCTTCTTCCCTGCTTTACCCGAGCTTTTCGTTGCTCTCTCCGCATCCTCGGCTGCCTTGATAACCTTGTCGATCTGGTACTTCAGCCTGCCCTCTAGAGGCTTGACACCCTTGTCGATATACACTCTCAATTCTGCCAATTTCCTGACAATATCGTCCCGCGAAACGCCGTCTTGATTGTTCTCATTCTTCCCTCGTGCTCGCAGTTGAAATAAGACCAAGAAGACTAGGTTCTGCAAATATGACAAAAGTAACTCGGCCTTTGTGTCCAGCAGCGAAATGCCATCGGCAGGAGGCAAAATCGTGGGGTTTGACGACGCCTTGTCCTCCGGTTCAATGGCCGAGGGTAGAGACGTTGACGCGCTGTTGAGGCATGCCGTCAAGGTGTCGAGAATGGAGGACAAATCGTTGATTGATGGCGCACTCTGGCTATCAGCAGGGGCTGCTGGCGTAGTTGTTAGTGCAACCATTTTTTAGGGTGTTTAACAATATTTATCAGTTAGTAGGGAAAATGAAGCGTTCAGCAATCGATAAAATTTTGGATGCCGTTTATCGCCCTATCTACACGTGATCCAGCTAGAGGCTATACTACGTAGCCAATCAGAGCTAAGTGTTGCAACCCGCATATTAAGAATTGTGAGACCTCCATCTTCCTCTTACCCCCAACCAGAGCTCCTGGCTGAGATCTGGCGCAGACGACACCAGCATCGGCCGCGCTTCCCCAAAGGTGGTTATCTCAATAGGCTGGCGCATCTCTGCAATTTTCTGTCGGATCCATCTCCCCTTTTCCAAGACGCGGTCACTTACTTGATCCTGAGTGACAAGTTGCATCCCTTCAAGCCCCTGGAAAACCAGCGCGTCGCGATACAGCTTCTGTCTCCAATTTTCGCTCGACAGATTCTGCATATTGGACTCTGGGCGATCCCCCACCCAACTGAAGTAATCAACCCAGTGATGCGCTGCTGGCTCGGCGTCTTCACTGCTACTCGTTGTTGTCGAGAAGTCGTCTGCATGAACCTTGGCCATTCCATCCCGCCACATACGTCTCCAGCGACGGCAGGTAAGAATGTGTCGCAGCGCGGCTTGATCGGCCGCCTTGGCTTCATGTCCTCGGTATGGGCCTACTGAGTCTACTTGGAAGGAGCCCCATGAGTTGCAATTCCAGTCTGGGATGCAATATTTGACAAACTCGAGCCTGTCGTCTATGCTGAAAACAGGAGGTATAATTTCTTTCTCATGAGATGACCCGGTTGTCTCCAGGAAATAATCGAATGAAGACCCAAAGAGCTCGCCATACACCAGAATTTGCATCACCGCTCTGCTAGGCTCGGTATACAGCGTCTCCGGTTCCGATACGCCACCATCCCAGAAATCGTCTACCTCGAACCACTGAGGTCCTGCCATGCGATCGATGGCATCGGTAAGCGGGTTAATTACGCTGAAGCGCAGTGCATGCAACCGGCGTATATCATCCAGCGACAGACCGCGCGGCGCATGATCCAGACAAAACTCATAGAGCGAGTCGATGCCGCCGCGAAAAGAGTCACGGAGGAGTGGAATACGGGCAGACGGCTGGGCTAGAGTCCATGCCGAAACCTGCCGTGCGAGCGCAGCAACGAGGAAATGCGGATGTGGCGAGCAAAAGGTTGGCGCTGATGCGGAGAGCAGAGCGAGAATCGTGCGTGGTGTAGTAGTCTGGCTCAGCACATCGTAGATGAAACGACACGTTGACCGTAGAGCAAGAAAATCCTCGATGTTCCGTAGTTGCGAGACAATAGTAAGGACCAACTCGGCCGGGAGGGTTGAGAGACTGCGCATCTCGATGCCAGACGAGGCTATTGTTGCTTAAGATTTGAGAGTCTCTTGCGATTTATATATGTTGGAAAAGCTCTTTTGAGTCCTGCAACCAGTTAATTTTTTAGCATTTTTCCGGGTGAAAGGATCACTAAATTTAGATCACCGAGTCTACAGTATATACTATATTAGTATAGGATCCAGCAAGCCTTTATGCAACTATTCAAGTGCTTATTCTGCTGAAACATTCATGGTTGGTGCCTGGCGGCCTTGAAACTTGGCAACGAGGCTGAATTGCTGCATCTGGCTTAGCGCCGCCCATCCGCGGAAGCCACGGTCTCAGCTTGCATTTCGTGGCTTCTCTTGGATTTATATAACTTCCCATGAAGTGGATTTGTTACGTGCAACCGCAAAGCAATAATCAACCAGGAGCTCTCGCTGGCTTGCTGTGTATATTGAATAACCTTTGCGAGGTTGCTGGCTACCTCGGTGAGTTGGCTCACGTAGGAAAGGAGCTGCCTGGGAGTGAGCTGACCTGTTCATGGCATCTAGTTAATACACACACAAGATGATGCCGTCCTCAAGGCGGACATTACTTCTCTCCTCACTATTGCTGCTCTCTTCCAGTACATCCGCCTTCTACCTCCCTGGTGTCGCGCCGTCCTCGTACGATGAAGGCCAATCGGTGCCGCTATATGTGAACCATCTCACGCCTGGCATCGCCAGACAAGACGATCAATTACACGCCGTGCTGTCATACGACTACTACAACCCTATATTCCACTACTGCCAGCCCAAGGATGGACCGGAAGACGTTCGAGAGTCGCTCGGCAGCATCATTTTCGGAGATCGCATTCGCACATCGCCCTTTGAGTTGCACATGGCTAAGAATGAAACCTGCAAAGCTGTTTGCGGAGAGGTGAAGTTTGGCCCTCGCGATGCGCGGTTCACGAACAATCGTATCTCGCAGGGTTATAATGTCAATTGGCTGGTGGATGGACTTCCTGCTGCCATGCTGAATCTGGATCCCATCACTGGGGCCGAGTTTTACAATCCGGGCTTCCTTATGGGCACGGTTGACGAAAATGGACAGCCGATGCTGAACACTCATTTCGATATCATAATTGACTACCACAAGGTTGGTCTTTCAGCGCAAGACAAGTACAGGGTGGTTGGCGTGTTGGTTCAGCCGGACTCGCGCGGCGACTCCTTCGTTGACGCGAATAACCAAGTCGACTGCGGCGAGGGAGGCGGCCCGATGGTTCTAAGCGAAGACAAGGAAACGAATGTTGTCTGGACGTATAGTGTTTACTGGAGGGAGTCGGACACGGCGTGGGCGACGCGATGGGATAAATACCTGCACGTCTTTGATCCCAAGATTCACTGGTTTTCCCTGATCAACTCTTCGGTGTTTGTGGTCTTTTTGGTGGGTATGGTCAGCATGATTCTCATCCGTGCGCTCCGAAAGGATATTGCCCGCTACAACCGCCTCGACCAGATCAATCTCGATGATCTCAATGGCACCTCTGTGGTCGAGGACGGCATTCAGGAAGACTCGGGCTGGAAGCTTGTTCACGGGGACGTATTCCGTTGCCCGAAGTCGCCGTTGCTCCTGAGTGTTCTGCTTGGAAACGGAGCGCAGCTGTTCGTTATGACCGGTGTCACAGTTGCCTTTGCGCTATTTGGACTGCTCTCTCCAGCCAATCGGGGGTTCCTTGGCACGACAGTCCTCATTCTGTACACATTGTTTGGGTTCATCGGAGGCTATGTTTCTTCGCGGACTTACAAGTCCTTCGGGGGTGAAGCCTGGAAGCGCAATATCATTTCGACGCCTCTTTTGATTCCCGGCATGGTGTTTTCCTGGTTTTTCTTGTTGAACTTGTTCGTCTGGGCCAAAGGCTCAAGCGGTGCTGTTCCCTTCACTACCATGCTTGCCGTTGTTGCTATCTGGTTTGTGATTAGTCTTCCTCTGAGCTTTGCCGGCAGCTGGCTTGGATTCAAGTCTCAGGTTAGTAAAATTTCTATTACCTTGTCATGTAGTAATGATCTACTAATGCAATGAAATAGGCATTCGAGGCCCCTACCAAGACTAACCAGATTCCTCGCCAAATCCCACCGCCGACCGGTACTCTTCGCCCGATCCCGTCGCTGCTGCTTACTGGCATTCTGCCCTTTGGCGCGATCTTTGTGGAGCTCTACTTCATCATGAACTCGCTCTGGACCAGCAAGATCTACTACATGTTCGGATTCTTGTTTCTGTGCTACGGGCTGATGGTCATCACGACGGCGGCCACTACCATTCTGCTCATATACTTTATGCTGTGTGCAGAAGACTACCGGTGGCAATGGCGCGCGTTCAACGGCGCGGGCATGACGGGCTTCTACGTGTTTATGAATGCACTCATTTTCTGGGCGACTCGAGTCAGCTTTGGCGGGTTCACGGGGGCGGTGCTGTACGTTGGGTACTCGGCATTGATAGGATTCTTGGTTTATATCCTGACCGGTACGTATTCTCACTGGCATCTATCTACATGATCTGTTCACTAAATCATCCGGATGTCAGGCTCGATCGGGTTCATTGCCAGCTGGGCGTTTGTCCGCAAGATTTATGGCTCCATCAAGGTGGACTAAAACGGAGCTGAGAGGGAGGACGGTTGTACGACCTTTACCATTAAATATTCCATTTTCATTCGATTTTCCCTGCATGTTGTTTCTTGTTGTGTAAATACATTTGATGGTATTGGATAGAGAAAAGCGTCTGCCAAGCGTGGCGCAGCAGAGCATTACTGCAGGCAATCTTTCTAGTCATGCAGTCAGTCACCAATTGATCTGATAACTATTTATTCTAGACCATTCTTCAACCTAGTTACCACATCCCACTATATAAAGCCAGTAGTTACTGACTGACTGACTGACTGACTGACTGGCTAAGAGGTCGCCTTGGTTGGTTCGTTCGACCTGTGACAATTTACCCCACGTCACGGGAAAGTTGCTTCTTCCATCGCGAAATCTCACGAATAAAAGGCTTCTGGCTATCAATCAGTCAGATCTGCGGTCTGTGCTTGACTTTGGGGCCAATTTTCATGTCCTTGCATTTTTTTTATCTCTTTCTTTTCAGACTTGATTGATAGATATCATGGGTCAGAAGTAAGCATTTCCTCCAGTTTCTCTACTCCACCGAGCGCGCGCGCGAGAGAATCGAAGCTAGAAGAGCCAGCCCCCGCCAACAAACTCCTACTCCCTCTTTTCTTGCGCTGTTTTCCCATTTCTTTCTGCACATAAGGGGAGTGGAAGGTCATCGAGAGCACCGTGGTTTTATGATCATGATACTGAATAGTGATGGCAATGACGCTGGCGGGCGATGACGACTAACGAATCGCAGACAGTCGAAGCTTTCCCCGCAGCAGCTGGACGAGCTGGTCAAGACCACGCATTTTGATAAGAAGGAGCTGCAGCAATGGTATAAAGGTACAAAAACAACAATTCCAGCCCATTGATACCAAAAAAAAAAAATAAAAAAAAAAGTCACTAACAGCTAGCTATCAAAAGGCTTCCTCAAAGACTGCCCGTCCGGCCACCTCAACAAGGAAGAATTCCAGAAGATCTACCGCCAATTCTTCCCCTTTGGCGACCCATCCCCCTTTGCAAATTATGTGTTTCGCGTCTTTGACTCGGATAACAGCGGCACCATCGACTTCAAGGAGTTTATATGCGCGCTCTCGGTGACGTCGCGCGGCAGGATGGAGGATAAGCTGGACTGGGCGTTTCAGCTGTATGATATCGATGGCGATGGCAAGATTACCTATGATGAGATGTTGGCTATTGTCGAGGCTATATATAAGATGGTATCTCTCTCTCCTTTTACTTTCAAAAAAGAGGAGGCTAATTGGGGTGTATATCTAGGTCGGCTCCATGGTCAAGCTGCCCGAAGACGAAGACACGCCCGAGAAACGAGTAAAGAAGATCTTCAACATGATGGACAAGGACGAAAACGGCAGTTTGGACATGGATGAGTTCAAGGAAGGCAGCAAGCGGGATGAGACGATTGTCAGTGCTCTGTCTTTGTACGATGGGTTGGTTTGAACTTCCCCCTCCCCCCCTCTTGTTCTGTGACGCTCTACCTATGATGGATTTGATAAACTTCATGTTGATATTGATTTGGCTGTGACGCTGCTGCTGCTGGTACCCCTGCATATGGCGTCTTTTTTTTTGTTGTTCTTCTTCTTCTTCTGGTGTTCCCTTTGGCGGTTTCGTGTTTTGTTATCCTGTGTTATGTTCGTGATATGATAACTAGTGCTTGAATACACTCATACCCAATTCTTCATCCATACTAGGTAGGGTTCATAGACATGATATGGTCGAGCTCGAACATATACATCCACTCACACAGTAGTCCTACGCACAACAGCACAAACAACAGCACCAGCCAACGCACCCACTCCAGCCCTCCCAACAACCATTTGCCAACCAACACTCCTCGTCCCTCCAACAAGAGCACTTACAACCCCCAGCCCAGCGCCCCAATCACCATACCGGTCGTGCATAACCTGGCCCTCATTCTCCAACAAGCGCCAGCTCCGGTCCTGCCACTCGATCTGCTCTAAACCCCACATGCGCGCCGTGAGCAGCGCCATGCTGACGCCGCTGCCGACGAGGCAGGCTCTGCCGATGCGTGCGAGGAATTGTGTTTGTTTTGCTGTTGTTGTGCTGGCAGCTGCAGATTTTGTAGCCGAGGTTGCCGGTCGAATAGCTTTGTATACGGCGTGCACCAGCCCAACGCCCGCGCCGGCTTGGAAGCCGCGCTGGAAAACGTGCACGTACAAGAGGGATTTGGCGTAGGGCTGGTCCTCGGCGTAGGGCGGATGGGGCCAGTTGAAGTGTGACATTTTCGGATTGTTTGTGTGAGTTGTTGTCAAGAGTTGATTTGACGTGCGTGTTTTCGACTTACGTCCGTATTGATCTTTGGATGGAGAATTATTCGGCCGATGCTTGACTATGATGTACTTGCCTGACTATAGAAAGAATAAGAAAGAAAGAAACCGAATATTTATTCATACTATTTAGTATCGAAACAAACTAACCCAAACACAGTTACTCATCAACAGGGATATCACCAAGGTACATACACTTGAAATGGTATAATCAGTCCCAAACAGAGACAACAGACAAAGAAAAAAAAAAAAAAGAAAGTAGCTTTTTATCAGTTATCGATTTGCCGACTCCGCCTCTGCGCGAGCAAGGGCCTCGCGCTCGACGCTCTTTACTTCCTGCTCCTGCTTCATTTCGCGCACTTTGGCAAGCACAACTTCTCGAAAGATGGCGCCGCTCGCAATTCCGCTCAGACTCCGTTTCTTCGTGGTAACGCCACCCTGCTTCTCGTGCTGATGTGACGATGCCGTTGGTTCTGTCGCCTGATTCACGTCGCCCGCCGGATCAGTGACTGACAACGCGGGGAAAGCAGACGTTACTTCGGCCGCTGTGGCAGTGCCACCAGCACCAGCAGCAGCAGGCATATGGAAATCCTCTCCTTCGCCTTCTTGCCCCTCGTCCTGCATCTTCAGCGCCTCGATACGGTTGGCCAACTTGATGATTTCGATGCCGCGACGCAGCCTGGCGCGCGCCATGTACGCCTTGATTTCCGGTAGCAAGTTGTGGTCCGTCGCGGTATCACCCTTGAGCCAGCGGTGCGCCAGGGCCTCTTCCGCAGTCGCTCGCTTGTTCTGATCGGGCGTCAGCAGCGTGCCGATGAAATCCTTCGCGTCCTGCGAGACATCGCGCCAGTAGCGCTCGTGGAACTGGACTTTGCCGAATTTGCACTCCTCGATCAGATCGGTCAGATTCTCGGCGCGGAAGGGCGAGTAGCCGCATAACAGCGTGTATGTGATCACCCCCATCGACCACATGTCGGCCGCTTTGCCGTGGCCCTGTTTCAGCATCACTTCCGGCGCCGCGTAGCCGAACGAGCCGGCCATGGATGTGAGCACATCGGTGGAATGTTCCAGGGTTTTGGCGATGCCGAAGTCTGCGAGCACGAGAGGGGAGTGGGGGTCGGTGGTGAGGTAAAGCAGGTTTTCGGGTTTGAGGTCTGTTCACGTTTAGTCTTTTTCCCCCCCTCTGTATGTATTTATGTGTGTGTATACACAACGCACCTCGATGCACAATATTCCGCTCATGCAGATAACGAACAGCGTCTAAGATCTGCTTGATAGTCTGCGTAGCGTCCTTTTCCGTGAACTTCCCACGCTCGCAAATACGATCGAAGAGTTCTCCGCCCGTCGCGAGCTCCGTCACAATATAGTATTTGTCCTACACCCATCAGCAGGGCTATCCTTTGAGTTTTCGGAATATTAAAGAGAGAATCACCCTCGACTCAAACCAATCCCGAAAGTGCACGATATTCGGATGATTCATGCGCTGCAACACCTCCAGCTCGTCGTACACCATCTGCTCGTTGCCGCGCACACTCTTCTTCAAGATGATCTTGATGGCCACTTTGCCCTTGGGCGAATCTGCCTCGCGAACAATGCCATATGTGCCTGCGCCGAGGGTCTTTCCAAAGCGATAGTGCGATCTGGGAGGCCGACTGTCAGTGCCCATACGAATCAGAATGCAAGATTGAAAATCACTTTTTATCGTAACTCTCCGGCTGCCCCTGCAGCTTATTGAGCATGCCCGCGACTGGAACCGAGGCAACATATTAGATCACTCTCAGCCATTTCTATATATCGAAATCAATACATAGCAAGAAGCAGCTCGTTCAACATACAACTCATTGTGGCTTTGGCTGCAAGGACACAGAGAATAAGCCCGAGAAAGAGAGTCGATAAGAATGACTCGTCGTCCGTTTTCTGGTAGTGGGGTAGCTCGGCCAGCCAACAACACTACACGACGAGCGAAGAAATCGAATTGAGCGGTGAAGATGATCTTGGGAAAACCAAAAGGGGGGTGGGGGATGGAGAAATAGCGAGAAAAAGGAAGATGACTTTATATAGCGGCGATTGGGAGAAGAAAGAAGTTCAGCCCAAGGCTTCGTTTGCTACGTATTCGTAAACTATCTTGAAGCAGATGTGGCTGAGCAGCGGGGCAGCAGCTGAAGGGAGGGGCCAATGGCCGCCGGCTCGCGTGCTTCTAGAGACAGCCTCACCCAACTCGCACTTTTATAGACAAATTATAGTAGTAGTAGTAGTTATGTAGGTAGCTACATTGCGGCCGCCTGGAGGCTCCCTCCCTCAATCGCTGCACCCACCATCCGGTCGCCGCTGAGGATGCTCGTGGTGCAGATGACAATCTTCCGCGTCGCCGCTTCCTGCGACGCGATGTACCTCAGCGCAGCAATTTCCGTGAATGTAATCCCGCCCAGGAACATGACATAAACCGTCTTGTGGCTGCCGTTCAGATGTCCCCCAGACATCAATGTCTGTCTCGCCCGCACTGCTCTCTCGTCGCCCTTTTGCACAATGCTAAACGTCGAGCCACGAGCAGACTTGGCAATCTCCTCAAAGCCGATCCAGCCCGGCGAAGACGTGTTGGATGTATTGATCTGTGCCGTTGGAGCTGCTGCGGCAGGCGGCCCGCCCTTGATCAGAGACACCATGTATGGTTTTTGCAAGATACACTGTACCAGCCGTACAGACAGCGGTGCAAACCCGCTGTAGACGTATGATATGTCATTCGGCTCCTTTTCGCTGACTTCTTCAACCACAAGCCGCAGGTTTTTGCGCAGGTAGTTGTAGTTGGTTTTTGTGCCGGCGACAACACCGCCCACCGCGCCGGGGAGGAGCATCGCCGTCGCCGAACCTCGCGGCTGGAGAAGTTCCATTTTCTCAAGAGCACGGAAGGTGAGAAGGTGTTGATAACCGTAGGCCTGCAAGATCTCTTGTTTGAAATGATCCAGGTCCTTGGCACGGAGGCCGCCCGACATGCACGATTCGAGGCACAGCAAGCGAAGAACCGTCTTCAGTGGCACATTGCGAGCTATCAATTCGCTAACATTGCCGTGTTGATAACTTGAATCTATCCCAGCAGCATGGCTTTGCTGAACTTCGAGAACTTTGCGGAAGATATCTGAGCGTGTCTGACGCATGATGTCTTCTGCTAAATTGGTATGCACCTTTAAGCTTTGATGCTCTTGCTGGTACGCTGGCAGACGGTTCACGAACTCTCGGAGTTCAGCCGTGGTTTGAGCAGAATGCCGGGTTTCATAATCAGACTCTAGTCTTCGGGCAACCCTATTCAGTATATCACCAACTATGGCAAAGTTGGTGTCGCGCAGTTGGCTGAATAGCTGGTCGGAAGAGTCAAGCTGGATCTTGCGCTTCAATCCCGGTTTAGTAGACGGCGCGGGAGCAGCAGCAGGCTGACCGGCAGGCCCGACAATGCTAGTATCCACGTCCGCTTGATTATTTTGGATCCCGACAAACTCGTCAATCAACCCTTCGTACGTGAGTTGTGTTAAAAGCGGAGTGCCAAAGTCAACCTCTCGGTCGATAATTATAAGCTGTTCAATGGAGGAACTTGGAAGCATGTTGCCGTAGTCGGGACCAGCAGTCGATGACTGCTCTGCTTCAACCTCCTTTCTCATACGAACCAGGAGATCGGCCAACTTCCGGGCGTTGTCTCCCTTTCCGGTGATACGAGGAAAGTATCCATGGCGTCGCTGGATATTCATCAACCCCTTGGCCGAATGATACACGCTTGCTGGGTTTTTATACTTGATAATCCTATTAGCTTGTATATATTCATCGAATAGAGACGGCATCTTACCAAATATAAATCGCCGAAGGAGTCGTCCAGTTCGAGCGACAAGACATCATGCTCTAATGGAAGGAAATAGACTGGCAATTCGGCGATGTTTACATCTCCTATGATGCCTGCTTCTTCTAAGAGTGCATCGCTTACGAAAGTCCGCCGGGGGACCCAGAAGATTGAAATGTCGTGTTCTAAACTACTAGTTTGGCGCAATTTCTTGATCTGCTCTGGAAAAGAAAAGGGGAAAAAAATGTTAGCACATACTGATGGCATACAAACGTGGTGCATAATAGAAGGGAGGCCATATGAATGCGCACGATAAAAAAAAGAAATTTTGGCAATATCAATGTCGATCTAGGGAACAAGACTGATAGCGAGGAGTTGGTGAAACCCACGCAATCTACTGAAACCCCAAACAATTTGGCCTGATAACCAGAAGAGAAAGAGAATAGAGGACGTACCAGAAACTGTAGCCACCTGGTTTACCTTCTCAGCATGGACCAGAAACACCACATTGCGTTGCGAACTGTCAACATTGGCATTCTCCAGTAGGAAGACGCGATCGACGCCGTAGTCCTGGAGCACAGAGAATTTGACAAACAGCCCGACCGGACCAGCCAGGTCTTTGCTGATGACCAAGTTCTTCTTTCCGCGTACCTGTGTTGATCAATCAGCCGGAGCTAGCTTGCTTTGTGCCAGGAACAGAGAGCTCACGTACGCCTTCGAGAAGGCCCAGCAAATCACGGCGTGTTTTTTCTCGTAGATAATCAGCTTCGTTCCCCGGGAGGGGAGCCATTATGACTGCTATGGAGGGATGTAGACGAATTGCCTGGACATGACTGCGCTCGGAAGGAGAGAGCGCCTGAACCAGGAAGGTCCGCGCTGCGGGAGAAAACAACAACACGCTAGTCCGCAGACGGACTAGCGCACAGATCACCTGTCCCGCTAGTCTAGAACGGGCCCGCCCACGCCACTTCTGCGCAGACGGAAAATTGGTGTATTGGTGTATTCGGAATACGATAGATTACCCTCGCAAAGCTGTCGTATACTGAGCGCTCCCGTATCTGCCGTATCGGTTTTACAGCCCCCCTTAAGCAACGGCTGATTGGCACAGCCGCCGGTACCCCCCTTCCCTTTCTGACACAAACGCCAAACGAACCTCGATTTCCTTTGCACTCCCCATGAGATACCCCTTTTCTAGTTCTTCTTTTCATTTTGCATTCGATTCTGCGATCCGTGAACACCGACATTTTAATTCTATAGCCTTTTCCCGTCGTACCATTTCATCATGAAAAAGTTCCTAGTCAACAGAAAGTTCAAGGACGACGACGACGGCGGCGACGACTCCAACCGCCGTGCTCTTTTCGGCTCTCGATCCCGCGACAAGAGTCCCAATACTCAGTCCCAGGGAGGCAATCCCTATGCACAGCCGGTTCCCGCCACCGACCCCTACACTAGAGCCAAGATCAACGCGGGCGTTGCTCCTGGTGGTTATGGAGAGGTGAAGCATCCCGGCGGCCCTGGTGCTGGGGGTCCGGTTGGTAATCAGCAAGGCGGTTACGCTCCGAACCGTTACGGTAACCAGGGAGGCTATGGTGCCGATCGATATGGAGGGGGCGCACCAGGCGGTGGCGGATCATCGCGGTATGGCCCTGGCGGCTACGGCGGTTTAGGCAGCACAGATCCAAACGATCCTACTCAAGAGGCAGATAGAGATGCACTCTTTGGAGGCGCGCGCGATCGAGCTCAGAATAATGGTGCAGGTGGACCGCCGCCGCCGCCGTATAGTGCCGGCGGACCAGGAGGTGCTGCAGGCAGAGGCTATGGCGATTATGGACAAAACACTCAACCCCCGGCCTCAACGGAGATTTATAAAGAAAGACAATTGACGGCCGAGGAGGAAGAAGAGGAAGAGGTCAATGCTACTAAGCAAGAAATCCGATTCATCAAGCAAGGAGATGTTTCGTCAACCCGTAATGCCCTGCGTGTTGCTGCCCAGGCTGAGGAAACTGGCCGAAACACTCTTGCCCGGCTTGGAGCCCAGAGTGAGCGCATTTTGGACACAGAGAGGTCGCTTGATGTCGCCGCTAGTCAGGGTCGTATAGCGGAAGAGAAATCTCGAGAGCTCAGACAACTCAACAAAAGCATGTTCGCCGTGCACGTCTCGAACCCGTTTACCAGCAATGCACGTCGTCGGGAACGTGATGAAAAGTTACTTGAAACTCATCGAGCTGAACGCAATACCCGCGAGGGAACTCGTGCCGAAGCCTTCGAGACCAACCAGCGTATGGAACGTACATTCAGAGACATCGAACGCGAAGCCAATAAGACATCTTATGGCCAGAAGAAAGATATGTCCGAACGTGCGAAATACCAGTTTGAGGCCGACAGCGAAGATGAGGCCATGGAAGACGAAATCGACAATAACTTGAACCTGCTTTCTGGGGCGGCGGCGCGATTGAACGGGTTGGCAAGAGCAACGGGTAATGAGTTGGAGGAACAGAATCGTCATCTTGACAGAATCATGGGCAAGGTGAGTACAGACATTTGCTACTTACGGCTATGCATGCATGGGTCATTTACTAACAATTTGATTTAGAGCGACTATGTGGACGATCAGATTGCTATGAACCGCGCCAGATTAGACCGTATTCGTTAGAATTTGGCCATTTCGATTTGTACAAATTCATCTTTCCTTACTCTAATAAACAATATCGCGCCCTTTCCATTTTGGGTCGTACTTTGTAGCGTGTGTGTGCAACAATCGCCAGAACAGCAATCCAAGACAACTGTCAAGTCTGAGTGCATAACATTTTTAGCACAAGCAAATAATTTGCAATCTCGGGGAATCTGGCCGGGGTTTTTAATCTTTCCCAACAATTTTAGCTAGTTTGAGTTGGCTAAAATAAATCACAGTCCTAGATTTACCTTGGATGGGTTGAACGGCACACTAGTAAGCAGCAATAAGTGACTAAGATAGAGTTGAGCTCTCGAACGTAAAGGTGCTTGCTTGTTCACGATTTTATCAAGAGCTTTCACACGCCGCATTTTATTTCACCACTGCGCTAAGGGATTTGATATACAATATTTGGGACGATAGAAGGACTAGATGGTTGGATAATAATTAGTCTGCGATTGCGCGAAAGACTTTGATATTCAGAGTATTGGCAGATAAAAACACTCTGTCCAGGCAAAGACGAACGATATGGCTGAGCGTTTTGCATGTTAAGCGAAGGTTCTTGATATCGCGGTTGGGTAGGTAGGCGGCCACTTCTGCAACGAGTTTCAATAGGAAGGCGCATGAGCATGAAGGACGAGCCAACTTCCTGGAGAGACGACATGTCGCAATGCCCTCGGGATGCAGGCAATTTGCATAATGAGCTGGGCCAAATGGCAAGTGATTCGATTCGAAGACTGAGAACGGAATTTTTATCTTGTGCCACGGCTTGACTGTAGAATTTTTTTTCTGCTTTCTTTGTTAGGCTTGACCCTGCGCACTGCTCAGAACAGGCAACCATGGAGTTGCCATTGCTAGAGCTTTATCGACTTTTTCCTACATGAGCAGCTGCTGGATATCAACTGTCGTCTAATTACAACTCGACCTTTTAATCAGCCATAGAATGACGTTTAGGGGCCGGCCAGCTTTTGCTCCCAATATCATGATTTTATGAATAGATACATACCATGAAGTCTGCAGAAACAAATCCACGTGTGAAATGTATTTCTGTTGATATCCCAAAAGAGACACCGATCTCGGTTATGAACGCACAAAAAGGACCTCTTGAGGATAGAACGAGCTTTTAGTATTACCGAATAGAGGGTAATACTACTCCAAAAGTTTCACTACTCAGCAATCTTGTGCATACCAACAATTACTTTTGCGGACTTACAGATCAATTACTCCGTGAAACTTGGGTCTGCAAGCTGTGGCGGTACAGAGGAATGCGGCTGAGCAGACACCCTTTTTTCTTCCTGTTTCTAGCACACTAAACCTCAAAGGGGAGTGCTCCTCGATCTGCAGAAGTGAAAAGGGTCAAAACACTGCCCCAATTTCCCAGAAAAGAAACTTTCACGTCAGAGACTGCCACACAGGCCCGGACCATGACATCAGAGTGGGGTGTACAAGCCACACTTCTTTCTGTGTGGCCCCACATATTCCCTTAGAATAGCCGTTCCTACCAATAAAAGACTCTCAATCGCCCATCCACTAGCGTTGATCCCCATGGGGCTCGTCTGGCCAGCCACTCACAGCTTTCAGATTTGCGCTGGTGATCGTCGAAGGGTGGCTTATATAATATGTTTGTTGCCTGATCAGAAGATTCTTCTGTTCTGCTTCTCTTGCCTCACCTTTCTTCTACTTTATATTCTACTTTGTCCCTTCTTCCCATCTATTCTCTCGTCAATACCTCGTCTTATCACTTCCTCCTATCGAATTGATTCACCAGACTAGGCTATACACATCATACAAACGCCAACATGGGTCTAGGGAGCGTCGTTCTTCGTATCCTCGCTGAGGGGATACGAGTCCTCCAATTCCTCGCCGGCGCCGTCATGCTCGGTATTTTCTCCTACTTCCTCGCTGTACTCACGAACCACCACCTGCCCGTCGCAACCTGGATTCGAGCCGTGGAAGGGTTGTCCGGTGCTGCTACTCTGTATGCCCTCTTGGGTTCACTATTGACCCTCTGTCTCGGCGGTGTTATGTTCTTTGGCATGCTCGCCATGGTTCTCGATATCTGCTTCATCGGCGGCATGATTGCCATCGCTATTCTGACTCGCGACGGAACCCAAACCTGTTCCGGAACTGTCAATACCCCTCTCGGCACTGGGTCGACAGACTCGAAAGCCGCTGGGTATGGCGATAACGGATTTGGATTTGGAAGTGGTGAGAGTGTAACGTACATGCCCAATTTGGGTCTCGCTTGTCGGTTGGAGAAGACCGTATTTGCTGTCTCGATTATTTCTATGTAAGGCTTCCTTTTTCATTGCATTTATATCAATATTTCATATACTGACTGAATTTCTAGCTTCCTATTTATCGTGTCCTTCTTCCTTACCGTTCCAATGGTCCGCAGTCACCGACGCGAGAAACGCTTTGGCCCTTCTCCTGCCAATGGATACACCTCTGGCTCTACTCGTCGCCTTGGTTTCTGGCGTCGCAACAAGAATACTGCCCCTTACCCTGACGCCACAGCCGATACTCTCCCTGCAAACCCTACTCCAGGCGAGGTTGAGAATGGCTATAAACCTGAGGCAAACGGCTACAACAGCGCCCGGTTTTAAATTTGAGGCCTGGGCTGCGAGTTGCCCAGGTGGACAAAAGGAGACTATTTTAAGGCCGATTGAGCGATTGGAATACTGGACGATGTTATGAAAGTGTGAAATGAACTACCTGGATAAATATTTCCCGTGATACCTTATGTTTGGTGCTGTTTTGCGATCCACGAACTACTAATGTGGCTTTTGTTCTTATACGATACTTATGTACTATATATATAATAATAGTAATTACCAACCTTGAAACCTTAAGTCTCACTGACATTCTTTTAATATATACCAAGTATTTATCTATCTATTTCGTAGTAAATTCCAATGACCGCCCATCAGATATGCGTTCGTAACTGGTTTTTTTCATCGACACCGTGGAAAATTTGACATCTCTTTCAGATCTCTTTGACTTCATTATGGATCACTTCCAGCATCTTCCTTCCAGCACTAGAGAAAGAGGGCAAGCCATATGCTTATGACATAGCTTACAAGGCAAACTTGCAGCAAAAGAAAATACCCAACTAAGACTAGGTATGTCGATAGCAAGCCAGCACTGTCAAAGAATATCTAGGCGCAAAAGGCAAGGATCGGATGACAATGAAACAAAGGCAACACACGCAGAAAAAATCTTTGAGGATGAATTTCTTTTTTCTTCTGCTTCCTTTCATCAGTCAACTTCTTTCATCATTGTGTATTGATATCATCAAAAAGCAATTGTATTGCATCAACAAATCAAACTAAGCAACGGACATACAACAAATTTTATTGTCACGTTCGCAGCTCCAGCTTCATTGAATAAGGCAGGACTAGCAAGCATAAATAGTTCCCTCCTACACACTTCTCCAGAAGTATCTCTGAACCAAGCCCAACAACATCATCACATTGCAGGGCAAGCCAAAATTGACACCAGAAAGCACCAACACTCAAAACCAATCAAGAAAGCCCTAAGGAGAAGAACAACAAGATGAAAAAGAGATCTCCCTCCACCAATCCGCTCAGTCCAGACGCCGACAAAATTGAGCAAGAAGAGAAGATCTACGAGAGATACAGAACCGAACAACTCACCCCCGCCAAACGACTCCCCTTTCCCGAACTGAGACGACGTACACCCCAATCCACACAAATACCAACCATTTCGGCTCAAGTCTACGACATGAACCAAACTTCTTCTTCTTCTTCCTTCTTCCCCACGACCACGCCGTCGCAGCAACAGCTCCTGCAAACTCCGCCTCCGCATCGACTTACTCGCAGAGCACCCACATCACAGCTTGCTTATTCATTCTCCTCCCCATCAGTAGCAGCTGCAGCTCGTAGTCGCGGATACACAGGAAACGAAGCAGATCAAGTTGGAGACGAAGGGGAACAGGATGGTAACGATGAGATGGAAACCTATCAACAAGCTCTCGATAAAATGATAGACAACTTGCAGCAGGATCAAACTTCATCCGAATGCAATCGCCACACGATTGCTTTTGACCCAAGCTTTTGTCATGAGAATAACGATAATGAAACCATCACGATGCGCAGTCAACAACTTCGGCCGGCGAAGAAATTGAGGTGGTCGACACAGGATCAGGATCACGATCGACCAAGCAGTCAGTAGGAACCTGTCTAAGGAAGAAGCGGGGTGGTAAAAAACCTGGGCAGTTAGAAAGAGAGATGTGAGAAGGAAAGCATTGTCAGAAAGGCGTAATTTGATCTGGATATGCGGGTTAGGGATGAAGTATTTTCAAGCATTTACATTTTCATTTTTTTGGCCGAAAGGAAAGAGAGGAGGGAAGAATAGTCGGAACATAATCAATGGTATTATCTTTAAATTTGGCATCCCATCAATATTAATTTATCATGTATTATACGTAGTACGTACGGCGACTACGTAGTCTCTGCCGGATTGAAGACTTAAGTTATTAGGGCAAACGTGAGCATGTGATTCAAGACTAATATCTGTATCCGTACTAGTCTGTCTGGGCGCCTCATTAATATATGAACAGCTAACTACCCTGCAGAGCTAGGTGGGTTCCCAACTGAGACTATGCAAATTAAATAATATATTATAGAAGATAAGATGGCATCGCCTTTGTCGAACTATGTACATAAATTGTTCTGCTCAAGAAATATCATCGATTTTGTTAGAGTGACATGGGCTACCTGGATAATTTGGTGACTTAGGCAATGCCCAGGTATAAGTTCATCCATAAAAAGTCAAAAAGACAAGGACAAGAAACACTAGCAGAGACAAGCATCTCTAGGTGCCGGCATATGACTCTTGTTGCTGGCAGAGCCAAGGGCCTAAGCATGCTAAGCTAAATTGGCAAAGCTTCTGTTCGGCCCTGATTGCGCCTTGGCTGCGCTGGCACGCGACTGGCCAAGAAATGGGCGGTGACAAGCTTTGGGCACCAAGAAAGGGGGGTCGTCAATCGTTTTGCTCGCCTGCTACCGTGTGACGCTGAACTCTGTAACCATGTGGCAGCTACGTTGTACGTAACAATTTATCAACGCTCTTATTCATGTCATTTGTCTCCAAGTAAAGCCGTCAGCGGTTCTCGGCTAGACATTTTCTATATTACGAACCTTTTTTATCTAATCCAATATAGTAGTTAATTATGCTATATTGTCTAATCTGTGGTTGGGAAAACGCAAACGAGTTCAGGCGTTCCAAGTCAAGAATGACCTTCCTAAAGCAGACGTGTAGGGGTGTTTTTGCCAGCCCTGATTCCTAGAATTAAAGATACATATGATCTATCAATTTGGCGACTCAGACTATCAGCTGGTTCATGTTTGTTGGCATATAACTAGATAACTATCCTACCAATCTACGTTGTCGTATTTATTATTTGCCATGCACGGCGGAAACTCGTAATTATTCGAGGGGAGAACCCTGGCCAAAGGTTGGCGCTTGTCTTTCTACTAAACTTCTAGCGTCTTCTAGGGCCGGACAACCCTTCTTGGAATGAGACTAGCGCCGCTTCTACAGACCTTCCTTAAAGAACCTAACGTGATTTTGGCGGCTGTTCCGGTGGAGCAGCATAATGCTCTAAGACAATGCGAATTGACTTTCGGGGGAGGTGGAATGTCAATATACGTACTAAATGCTAAGTAGCTATGGTAAGAAGAGGCACTTATATAGCAAAAACGGCGGTACACTCCAAAAGGCGGTGGGCCGTAAGCGTAGATAACAATCAATTAACACGCTGTGTGGCTGATTTTGTTCGCGGAAACACCGGTTGATGCAAGCAGATAAGTGCACCAACGTAACGTGGGGATAGCGGGTCTGGGAATTTATTGGCTAAAGCTTATCTCGCAGGCTAAAGCAAGCCTCGTAAGCAGATGAGACCCACCGTGCCCGAGGGCCAAGAGAAACGGTGGCCAATTGTACTTTGCATCGCTGCCCCGCTCCTTATCAAGCGGATCTGGTGGCGGCCAATGAAATGGGTGGTGTCCTGACTCGCCACGTTTGCTCAGCACTAGTTTAATGAAACCCGCTTTACTACATACGCTATCACCATGGCCGCTTGTACTCATTACCGTCTCAATTCCTGGAAAATTCCTAGTCTCGCTTTGTATGTAGCATCCTGAACTGCCTCACAACTACACTAGGAAATTACTATGAAATCTGACTGTAAAGCTATGGGCCAAACCCCCACTACAATTGCGCGCACTGCGCAGGATTCCACTGTTGCGTCCCCAACTTCGAGGTAACATTATAATCTGTAGGTTTGTAAGTGGATGTAATATTTATGACTATACGCGAGCACTCACATATACATATAAATCACACATGTCGGCCCCCCTTGCCGTCTCTCGTCTCCATCCTCGGATCCTCTCATCGCATCTTCCCTTGTCTGTCCCTTCCCAGACCTCCCTTCACGATGTCTATGCTTCCTGGTCCGTTGGGCACCGTGCCCCCTACCGAGCAGATGCGCGAGATGGGCGCTTCGGTCGATGAGATCCGTAAGGCTGAGCATGACGGCACCCACCCCGGCATTCGCCAACGCCAATGGGGCTTGGCGGCTCGTCTCGAACCCGACATTTCCTACGAGGAATATAGGTACTGGGCCAAGGTCGAGCGTGAAATGGAAGAGGAAGAGGCTCGTCGCTACAAAGCTGTGGCACCAACCGGTTTCCTGGGATCCCTCAAGGGCTATTTCACCAGCAACCCTTACGAGGATGCTAAGATCCACGAGTCACGTCCTATCGAGGGCAACGACGAGGCCAATAACCCGTGGTCCGAGAAGAAGTCTGCTGCTGCCGGTAGCGACGATGACGCTGTCAGCCCTGTCCCACCGATCAACACTCACGACCTGGATGCCGAGTGGCGAACAGCCGCCAGAGCCATGCGCAATGCTGGCTGGGGAGCTGTCTTTTACTTGATTACCACTGATATTCTGGGTTGGTCTTCGGCCCCCTACGTCTTTGCAAACACCGGTTACGGTCTCGGTGTTGGTATCTTCATCCTCATGGGTCTCGCTGCCTTTGTATCTGGACTTATGATCTGGCGAACATTCCTGGGTCTCGACTCGTCCCGGTACCCAGTCTTGAGCTTTGGCGACCCTTTCTTCCGTCTTTACGGCCCCAAAATGCGTCATTTCATCAACTTTATGCAATCTCTGCAGATGTTCCTGAGTGTCGCAGTCGTGCTTTTGGGTAACACTGGTATTATTGCCCAGCTCGGCGGAAGCGTCAATCTGTGCTATATCGTTTGCGGTGTCATCTCGCTCGTCGTCGGCATGGCCAGTGGTTACATGCGATCCCTCAAGCACCTGGGTTGGTTGTGTAACATGGCCGTGTGGATGAACATTGTCTGCTTCATCCTTGTGTGAGTAGTCATCACGTTAGCCCAAATGCCACCTAGTGCTCTGACTGACTGACTGACTGGATTTTAGTTTGGTTGCTGCGGGCATGTACGGACCTGACCCTGCTCCTGCTGTCCAGAACGGTATCCTGAACAAAACTTGGGCCGATACAGCCACCATGGCGCCGGTCAAGACCTTTGTTGACACCCCGCCAGCTGAATATCAGCAAACCAATACCGGTGCCTTCGCTGCTAACTTCAACGGTATCAACAGCATGGTTTGTAAGTTTGGTCCCTTGTTTAAATGTGATGTCATAGCACAAACAGCGTTGCTTACTGTTCTGGTCAGACGCGTACTCTGGAGCTGTTATGTTCGTCGCCTTCTTGTCTGAGATGCGACGCCCTATGGACTTCTGGAAGGGCCTGCTCATCGCACAAACCTTTATCACTGTTGTCTACGTCTTTTTCGGTGCTTTGGTAAGTGATTTTGTTTTTTAAATGTTGCACGGCCTCCGTCGAATGTAAGTGATACTAATAACTTCCGATTAGGTCTACCACTGGTACGGTCAATACAGTTACAGTGTCATCAACTCGACTGTCAGGCCAGAGCGTCTTCAGGTTCCTGGCAACGTTCTTTCTCTTCTCACCGGTTGGCTTGCCGTCTGTAAGTTTGGAGATATCCCACCACCACATAGTTGTCCATTTGCTAACGAAAAAAATTCCAGTCCTGTATTTCAACGTTGGTATGAAGACCGTATACCAGGAGGTCTGCCAAGAGATCTTCAAACTGCCCGCCATCGCATCAGCAAAAGGACGATACTTCTGGTGGGTTCTCGGCCCAGTTTACTGGATCATCGCCTTTATCGTTTCCATGTCCGTTCCTCAATTCACCGCCTTCACCAATTTTGTCGGCGGTCTGTTCAGTTTGAACTTCACATACTCCTTCTCTGGAATCATGTACATCGCCTACAAGGTTCATGAGGCTGCTAGACTTCCCGGCGAAGGTTTCGACCCCGCTACCGGTGTGACTACTCAGCACGATAGTGGACTCCAGAGATGGGCCCGCGGATTCATCAAGGGATGGAAATGGACCATTCCTGTCCTCATCTACACATTGGCCGGTCTTGCTGCATCTGGTATGGGTACCTGGGCCGCTGTGCTGGGTCTGGAAGCTGCCTATGGTCCTGACGGTTCGGTCCTCACTTCCTGGACCTGCACAAATCCTTACTATAACACTACTGATTAAGGAGCGTGTGGCTGTCTGGTACACTGTTCCACAAGGTGTAAGCTCAAGCGTGGTGCAATTTGGAAGTGTACGCTTTCTAAGGAGCTATATGTAGAATTCACTTAGTATATCAAGAAATTAATATTTATTTCAACTCTTCAACCCAAAGCTTCTTGATACTATCCTGAAAAGTAGGATTGCAGTGCGCACTCGGCCCGAGGCCTTACTAACCTCAAGCCACATTCCATAGATCATGAATACAAGACGATGCTGGGCTCAGATGAGGAAAGGTCCCTTATTCTTACCTCCTGTGTTTTGTTTCTTCGCCACGCAACGCAGTGTCTTCGACTATCCGGACAGGAATCTAGCCAGCAAGAACTCCAGCGGATAGTTACGGTACTCTGTCCATCTCCTTAGATCACATCAGAGGCCAGATACCACGTTTCGGAGCTTGAATCCGGCCATCTCATGGATACGTTTGCTATTTGCTATCTTGTAGTTCTCGGGCCCGAACAGGATTGAATTCTCGCGTGATACAAGCACGAGCGAGCAACAAGACCATAGATAGGCAATAAAGCTAGTTAAATTCAACTAAATTAAGGTATGCATACGGATATGCAGTGCCGCTGCTAGTTGACTAACTAGGTGATACCATGTAAGTACCATCACGCAAGAAAAATAGCGTAGAGCGGCGATAGCAATCAAGCTAGTTCTATGAGAGCATGACTCGCAGGTCCGGGAGAGCCGGCCGGGCCTCTACATTCCACGTGCTTACCTAGTTAGTGAGCGATTCTTGCACTGGACTGAGGATAATGCGGTGTTAAAAAGATAAGCGATTTGTTAACGTAGATGCACATGTGTAAGTTGTTTTATGTACTAGCTATTCGTATCATCATATTGTCTTATTTATCATCAACAAGATGTCCTGTAGTACCGCCGTTCTTCTTCGCAGCATCCTTCATGGCACTCTCCACAATCCACAAAGTGATGTCTTGTACATCACTTCCCACTTTCCAACTACCAAGTATGACTCCCTTGTCGGACAGGATCTGTTCTGCGCGTTCCCAGCGTCGTTTCCATAATTCCTCGCGCTTGTTGGGCGCTGGTTGCGAAGATGGCGGTGGTTGATCTGGATAATGGTCGTAGTATGAGTTGTTATTGTTGTTATAAGTGCTCTGTTTTGTTGGCGTGCTACTACTCCCTAGGGAAGATAGTGTGGTCTGTCGAGATAGATTTCTAGGTGGAGGTGGAGGCGGAGGAGGGGTACTGTTCCTCTCATCAAGTGTAGATGGAGATGCAGAGTTTGCGGTACGACGTGCTGGGGGAATGGGTGGTGGTACACCGCGTTTTGTTGATGTTGACGATTCCTGGCGGCCAGACGTTGAATCGTTTTTGAGCGAGAGATTGCTTAGTGAATTTAGTGTGTCTTTGGTCGATGGTATGTTGTTGTACACGTCCATGGCCAAGTTCTTGACTGCCTCGGTATAAGTGTCGTTCTGTTGCTGCTGTTGTTGCGGTGCTGGCTTGCGCTGCGGCAACGGCGGCTTCTTTTCTGTTTCGTTCGCTGAATCATTTGGAGTAGATGATAAACTCGATGGTTTGCTTGGAAGAGGCGGGACTGGCTTGCGCCGAATGGGTGTTGGTCGTGATGCGGGCAATGTAGTTGCTGTTCGCAGACCGGGAGGTTTGGAGGGCTTCGTTGGGGGGCTTACTTTCATGACAGGCTTATCTGGTAAATCTCGCCCATGGTCGCTAGGAGAACTGTCATCAAATATCATCAGATCGCCGTTGTTTATGGTTTTTGCTGACGAAGGCCTCCTGGGCGGTAGTGGCGGTCTATTCTCAATGCTATCGGTGCTATCTTTGAAAGAAGATGGGGCTGTCTTGGTAAAACCAGGTCGTCTCTGGCCAAACGAATGATCAAAGAATTCCTTTTTTTCAGTTGTAGTCACGTCGCGAATGAAGACGCCGAGAATTTTGCCCGGGTTCTGTTGGGCCAGCTCCGTGTACACCTCAAGATCCGCCTCACCGCTGTCACCTACAAGGATAAACTTGCGTTCGGGAAAATCCCGCATAATCCTTTCCAAGGAGACTCTTTTACGCTCTGCAGTAGGCTCGAAAATCCCCTGCAACATTCCACTGTACTGCTTCAAGTGGAAAGAGCCGGGTGGCAGGCCAGCCAGTTTGAAGTAGACTTTCAACTGTGGATAGAGCTGCCAGGGAGCATTTGATACATAGTGTATATTCACCCCCTTGTCAGCCAGTTTGTTATACCATTCTCTGACGCCGTCAATTGTCAGATCATCGAAATCACGGATGAATGTGTTCCAAAACACCTCTTTCGCTCCACTCGCAATGGCGGAATGTTTGATCGTGTCATCAATGTCACTAATCAAGCTTACACCGGCTGGCTCAAGAATTTTCACCTCTTCCGTGGTAGACAGTGATTCAGAAGCTAGTACTCGAACATGCGTCGGCACAAATTCAAGAGCCGCTCTGATATTGAAATGTCCAGAATCATTTGTGATTGTAGTCCTCGACTGGCTTTGCTGGTCATTGTAGAAAAATACCGTCACGGGACTCTCAATAGACGGATTACTCATGAACGGCTTCAGCCTTTCCATTAGATTCGCATTGGGACCTGAAACGTCACTCTTGCCCAGTGATGTGTCTGTCGATGCTCGCGTTACCCTTTTAGGCAGATCTGAATCGCTGTCCGCATTCTCTGCATGATTGCTTCTCCAAACTACGTCTGCATCTTGTTCGCCTTTGTCGATAAGCAATTGTGCCTCCCGTCTAGCATCTTCCTCTTCCCGTTTAGCAACATGTCGTTGCACGGGATGATTAGCGGGCACTGTTGGGGGTGGAATATCACTCAATTTCCTTGCCAGCGCCACCATAAGCCGTTGCTTTCGATTCATAGGTCCACGTTGAGGCGTATATAGCCATCCTCGCACGTCAACATCCACGATTGCCTTGCTATCCTCGTATTTCTCCCACTCTTCTCGCCAATATTCGGCATCACCAGGACTCCTTGGTCGCTCGATATCTTCCTCTGTACCAGGTAATGGTTGGTCCGGTGTAGGTCTATCTTTTCTATTCCTTTTCACATGCCTCCTCGCATAACTAGGAAAAAGCAGCATTTCTTCTTCCCCGGAAGTCGTCATATCATAATCCGGGAATGCTCCGGGGGCATCGACGCCTCTGTCACCGTACGAATCCTGCATTTTCTGAGAAATCTGTGCCTGATAGTTCTGACGAATCTCATTTGCAGCCTTCAGATAGCCCAGCATCTTCTGCCGGCGCGAGCCATTCTCTCGGCCAGAGTATTCGTTGCCCCATCCATCTCTGTATCCCTCCGAGCCATAGCCTGATCGTGACATTGTGCTTCTACGGATCCCCCTACCTGCATTCTTAAAGCGTGACTGCGTGTGCCCTGATGGCGTTGGCGTCGGCGGAGAAAGAAGGCCTGCCCTCCGCTTCCAATTCAGCGCCCGCAGAAGCGACAAGATACCACTGCTTCTGCTGCTGCCACCACCACCAACACCACCGACACGACGGCTTAAGGACGCCCCCCTCCTCAGAAGCCGAAGCCTCTCCTGCCGTTTGACAATAGCCCGGTAAAGACGCGCTTGTGCTCGATGCCGGAAATACGAGAGGGTTTCGTGTCGAAATGTCCAGAGTCGGTCCCGTAGGCGCAGACGGGTTCGTGGAAAGGATAGAGCGCGAAGGATGCGAGAGGTGTAGCTGTGCTTGGCTCCTCTGTTGTATTTAGTGCGGCGCCAGGACGATCGAAGCAGCGATAATGATGATGGTCGTGGGGAAGTTGAGGTTTTCCGTGGGAAGATTGAGGAGGCTGTTCTTCGCCAACGGCCGAGAAATGGGGGTTTGTGCGCCAGGATTTCTTGTAAGAGGTTCGTTTTAGATAATGATTTGTTTTTCGTGAAAGTTTCCCGAGTGAAATCGACGGGAAACTCAATAGGAAGAAATAAATTTCCTCGATTCAAGTAGGCTCCGTGAGGCTGTCGTTGTCGATGTAGATTCTGCCTGGTCAACCCGGGGAGTTTAAGGAGTGACGTTTGGTATACACCGAGTGGGTCCGAGGGAAGCTGCAGCTGGGAAATTTTACACAATTGCATAAAATGATACATAACTGGATGTCTTATACCTGTGAAGACATATTTTTCCAAATATCCTCCAAAAATGCACTGGAGAAGGGATAAAGATTGTGGACTCAAGCTGAGTTTTGATGTTGTACAATAGTGTCTAAAGCTGACAAGCAAATATATACACACATTCCAACCAAACGCCATGCCTGCCACCAAGCCCAACCAATGATCCATGCAAGAATGTAATAGTGGTATTATAGTAATACAGTGAAGAAAAATATGCGTCTAAGTAGAATCGTCCTCGGCGTAACTAACTCGCTTCACTCGACGGCTAGCCCGGCGCACCGGAGTAGACTTTGCGGTAGCAGGAGACGCAGGGAGTGGATTGGATGAAGGTATAGGGGATTTGACAAGTTCTAATCCTCCGTCTGAGCTCGATGTGACACTCGACTCGGATTGTTTTCTTTTCCTAGATCTTACCGTTCCTTTTGCCTGGGACGACTTCTTTGCTGCTTTGCCACGCTTCGACTTGTTGGGAGATGCTTTGGCGGGACTTGCTTCTGCTGTTTCGTTACTTGTATCATCGGCAACAGCAGTTCCAGTGGGTTTTCGCGAAATTACGCGCTTCTTAGGTCGCAACCATTCCTCGTGCCCTGGCGGCCAATATACACGACCCTCCGCGCCGCCCATGCTGACTTCTTCAGGTGGAATACTCAGTGGTGGCGGAGTTAATTGCGACAAGTCTATATAATCACCAGACTTTTTCGTCTTTTTCGGTGACTTCCAAGGCTTGTTCTCGTCTTCGCGGACGTGTGGTATAAGCTCACCAATGCGTTCGTGGCCAGGCAGTTCATACTTTCGCATCAGCTCAAAAACTGCCTGCTCCTTATCCTTCGCTTCGATCATCAGATCCATTGTGGGATCGCATGGGGGAAGTGTGAAGACCCGAGGGTTATGCTTGCGACGCTGGCGAGGTGTAATAGCCTGCGGCTCTGGTTCCGAATAATGCATTTTCTGCGTAATGTTCTTCCGTGTCCACGTCGCACGGATCCGGTCATATAGTTGCATAATATCGAGCGTACCTTCACGAACCTTGTCGGAATCAAATATGATGTTATGATGGTGGAAGTCGAGAACGAGCGGAATGTTCAATTCTTCACATATAGGCAATAGATCGTGAACAGACCAACTAACATCGTCATTCTCGAGAACTAGCCGGTTCTTTATATCTTGAGATAGGCCTTTGTAATTTTCACGAAACCTATCCAAGGTTGCAGCTTTATCACCAAATACGCCACCCATATGGAGAATCATGACAGCGTCACGATTCTGCTGTGGTGGTAGCTTGAGCAATTGCAGCAACTCCGAGTGAAATTCAAGATCCCTAATAGAGCTCTCAATGACTTCTTTCCGGGGAGATCCTAACTGAGTAAACTATCAAGTTTGTCAGCGAAAAAACCAAGAAAATTTAGAAATATATCTCTTACTTGTCCGGGGTGCATGGTCAGACGATGCCCAAGCTCCGCTGCAACTCGTCCAGCTTCCGCCAAAACCTCCGAAACGAATGGTGCCAATTTGTACCCGTATATCTCATGGCTGGCAAATGGGAACATTTCACTGCTGAGCCGCAAGAACTTGATTCCGTATCGATCATTCCACCGCAACATTTTCACAATATCTCGTGCATTCGCTAAGCCCAGCGCCTCGACGTATGCTTGTCCTCGCGCAATATCGACTGGCTGGGTTCGATCCGGGCGGTTCTTGGTCGGATGGAAAGGTTGCGAGGGGTTTTGTAAGGGATGCCGATGCTCAAGTATGGATGCTATCCGGCAGGTTCGGGAACTGAAAACGGGCGGATTGGCATATCGCAAGTACGTACAAAGACAGGCGTAGCCTAGCCGGCCTTTCCATGGCAATGGAAGGTAATCGCTATTGACCGGAGGAGGTCGCGACAGGGCTTCCTGGACCTCTTCGACATTGACTGGCACCTCCTCGTCTGACTCTGGATCTAGAGAGGCGGCCTCCTGGCGGCGCGCTCGGGGTCCCGACTCTAGAACACTGGTTATACCTGATAAAGAGCTTTCTGTAGCCGCCGTCGGGCCGGGTGTGGCGTCTTTGCGGCTTGAGGTATGAAGGGAACGGCTTGCCCGAGTAGCAGACGCTCGCGTGGTTGATCGCGCCATGCTCATACCAACCGCATATCCTTGCGGAATGGACAAACGAGCGGGCAGAACTGCGGCAGGTTTGAGTGACGGGACATTTGGAGAATTTGAAGCTGGGGCAACGAGTCTTGTCAACGTGGGGCGGGCAGAGAGCACAGCAGCAAGTTCCTTGGAAAGCATGCTCGAGGATTTCGCCGCGGTGGCGATTACGTGGTGTGGATGTGCCTGGCGATCATGGCGCGCACTGCATTCCACCAGTTTTTCATGGTAACGCAAGGTATGCTGCCGCCGCTGCTGCTGTTGATGACGATTGAAAGTTCTAGGCGACCATAAGCGACATGTTTGGCGGAGCCGGAGACGCTGCATTCAGCATGAAAAAGAGACTTCGATCGAGCAGTTTGGAGGTTGCGGCGAGGATGCGGACGTCATATTGGGCTGTTACGAGACAAGACATCGTGACAGCGCGCTTGTGGGCGCGTAATACCGTATCGATACCGCGGCTGACTAGCGCGCGCGATCGGCTTGGCGAGCCTCGGGATCGAAGCTAGCATCTCTCGGCATCAACTTCACTCTACACCCTAGTTACGCTCTATATAGTATTGCGCCAGGTTGCTCTCGGACCATTACGTAGATGGACTGCTACCGAAGCAATGGCAAGCGTTGAAAAAGGTCTGCATTTTTTACCATACAATCTATATACACGAGATCTGCTCTTCAAGTGACCAGATTATTCGACCTACCCGCTGGCTGCAATGGCAAGGAACACCAGTTTTCCATAGCTTATCTGCTAGATCCTCTGTCAAACCTAGTAGTTCCCATTCATGAGCGGATGATAATGCGAAAACGAAAGGTGCATCCTAAGAGAAAAGGTTGAGCACTATCCTCAACTGATGCTTCGTTGAAGTGAGCGTGCCCCTAGAATCCATACACATCGAATTCCTCTGCCCACACCATCTCGGTGTGGTTTCTGATTCATGAGCTACCACCAACATTCTTCAGGCTGTGATGTATGCCGCTGACCCAGCCACGATAATGCCATTCAAGGAAAAGGCATTGTGTATTAGCTGAGGCAATTCCTATCGGTGCATCTAGCTGAATTCTGCGGAAAGGGGCCCGAAGCGATTCTATTGGTGCTTTTGTTGACCTGTCAGTATTGTCTGTGCCCAGGAATGCAGCCTCGTGAAAGCTTCTCGATGACTGGCATCCCTTCCTCGCTTGGCGAGGAACGCCTTCTGTTATTGTACATCCATTCCAGTCCAGCCAGAGGGGCGAGGGGCCCCCTCACCATGAGCTGAGCAACAGCGGGCTATGGAATTAAACTAACATGCATCGCTGGGTGATGGCTGTGTTTTGAAGATCAGAGCCCAGGGCAGTCTGGGACCCATTTTGGGAGAAGGGATAAAGAGAGCCAGAATGCCCATGGTCAAGTAGACAAGAGAGAAGTCAAGGTGCCAAGGGAGTAATTTCCTCTGTGTTGTCTATTGTGTCTATTGTCCGGTGACTGCGAGAAGTTGGGTGCCTGAGTGCATCAACGTTTAAGGCTCTTTCCTATTTGGGTTTGGTGAGTCGTCAATGTTATTTTTCCAGTGTAAACAACGCTTTGTTTGCCCACCACACAATAGCCCTCTTGTGTTCATTCACCTCCGCGTTATCAGTCTGAATTGTCAGACGTCCATTCCCTGCTTGACATTCCTTCATTACTACTCAATTTCAACCTTTGGCTGACTGACAGACGCTCCTTCAGACCAACTCAGGCCACTTTCATTTTTTGCGAGAGATACTGAGTTAGCCCTGGTTGGCATCCGGTAACTGCTGTTGAACGATAAAAGATCACATTATAGTTCGAAAACCGTCAATTGGAACAACCATGAAGAACACATTCGTTGTCTCTGCCCTTTTGGCATCGGCAGTCTCTGCACACATGCAGATGAGCAACCCCTATCCTCTCCGAAGCCCGCTCAATCCCAATGGAGACGAAGGCAAGAAAGACTACTCTTACACAAACCCACTGTCGTCATCAGGATCCGATTATCCTTGCAAGGGATACCAGGACGACCCCTTTGTATCGGTCGCTACGTACACCGCTGGCAGCGAGTACTCAATGTCCCTCGATGGGAGTGCTACTCACGGTGGTGGCTCCTGCCAACTAGCTTTGTCCTACGACACCGGAAAGACTTTCACCGTCATCAAGTCCATTGAAGGTGGCTGCCCGTTGACATCCAACTATACATTCACTGTGCCTTCTGATGCTCCTTCTGGCAATGCTCTCTTTTCATGGACATGGTTTAACAAAATCGGAAACCGTGAGATGTACATGAACTGTGCCCAGGTTACCATTGACGGGGGTGCCAGCAAGCGTACTCATGCTCGAGACATGAAAGTCAGCCGCGCGGATGTTGGATTCAGCTCTCGCCCGCCAATTTTTATTGCCAATGTAGACGGTCCAGGTGGATGCACTACAACTTCTAGCGAGGAGGTCAACTTCCCTGAACCTGGTCCCGATGTTGAGGGCAGCGTGGATGGAACCGGATATACATGCTCTGGCTCAGCCGACTTCCTGGGCAACGGCGGTTCTTCATCTTCCAGCGGAACATCTTCTGGTTCTTCAAGTTCTAGCTCCTCTAGTACGTCCACAGCTGCTTCCCAAGTCCCTCATTCCAGCTCTAGTACCAAAGCGAGTGCTAGCACTACTTCTTCCACGTCGAGCAAAGACAGCAGCAAGGCGGTGAACGCCACCGTCGCTCCCAAAATTGTCAGCACAGGCGCCACAGAGGATACGCAAGCCTGCTCCAATAACGGAGCAATCGTATGCGGTTCTGACGGCAATACTTGGTCCATGTGTAGCCAGGGACGTCTGGCAAACATGGGTTCGGTAGCTTCTGGAACCATTTGCGAGAACGGGGCCATTACTCGCAAGGTCTAGAGAGCTCTTTTCTGATTTCCCTAAGTTTCTATTTCTGTTTGAAGTTCCCCAGAATTCTCCCTCACTCTGTTAATATGCACCCTTTCTTGTCTACTGCTGGCTTCGAATACTATGGATAGTTTCTTGAGCTCCACGCTTGCTTTCGTCATCACGCAATTCAGAATGTTTCTTGTATCGAACGAGGGCTGGCTCCCTCATAATAATGCCAAGCTTTGTTTCATGTTTCATGTTTCATGGTTTCTTGTTTATTAATCCCACCTCCTTCGTTTTGGCATGGTCAGGTTGGGCGGCGGTTCATTTTGATATGTTTTTTTTTTCCAGTTATAGCTTAGGTAGACCAAATGAACTCAATCAAATTCTATTCTTATCCATTCATATGTAGGCCTAATCGTGTTTACTACATGTGCAATTATAAATATTTTCCGCATTAGAATTAAATTAATTCGAAGTTAATGAATCAATCCTATGGAAACAAATAATATTAATAATACATGCATCGATACCCTCTTCAAGCTGAAGGTGTATATAAAACGAATTAATCCCAGGAAGAAAGACACTGCTTTCCGTACCCATTGGGCATGATCAATGCACGGCCTATGCCAAAACCCTGCGGTATCTCTTCGTCTTTTCTCGCCTACTGCTGCTCCTTTGGCTTCTTCTGACCATCTTCGTCCTCGCTCCAATCCAGCAATTGCAACAATTCCTCTTCGTCCATTCCCTGCACTTTGCTGTTCACCTCTACTCCAGTCGTCTTACCAGCACTACCCTTCTTCTGCTTCTTGCGCGCGTCCCGTCCCCATTCTAACACGCCGCTGGCCCTGATCTTCTCCGCGAAATCTTCAGCATCGCTATCCTCGTATTCGTCGTGATTATCCTTGGTTGTTGATGTTGTGGTGGTGGTGGTGGTATTTTTATTATTCTTTTCATCCTTGTTCTTATTCCCAGCGACGGCACCCTTGACTTCCTTCTGCCCCTCAACAGCTTCCGTAGGCGCAGCACTATCCTCCCGGCCAACTCTCAAACTATTGCCGTCCTTCTTGGGTTTCTTCAAGCCCTCCGCTATAAGCTTCGCATCCTCCTCTTCCCGTTTCTTCTTGCGCTCAGCCTCTTCTTTCTTATTCTTACTCTCGAAAATCTTCTGGAAGAACAGCTCAATGGCCGGTCGCACCAGGATATAGCCCACCACAATCGCGATTATGCGCAGCCAATGCCGGACTCGTGGTCGTGCGATGTAGTCTTGGACGTCGTGCACTGATTCAAGCACATATTCACTGACACCCTCGACAATTTCATGGATGATGACGGCTGGGTCGAAGCTGCCTGCCTGCTGCGTGCCGAAGGACATGATTGGCTTCTCTTTGGTCCAAGGAACGTCTATTTCCTCGAGATTTATTGCAAGTCTCGGGGCGCAAAGATCAGTTTTCGAACTGAGTGTGAAGGGTTCAAAGGAGACGGAAAAGAAATAAATTAAAAAGATAGATGGTGTCTGGTCTGGGAATACCAGAAAAAAAAGGTCTGAAGAATTATGCCAGCAGCAGCAGCAGCCAATGAGTGACAGCGCAGTTGTCCCGAGCTTCCGGCGGCAACTACGGAGCTTGGCACTTCGGGCCGATAATATCCCCGAGCGGCGCGTCGTCTGAACGAATGAGGAAATATCACTACGCGTGGAATCGACGCCTTGTGTTCATTTGGAATTTGGACAAACTCCCTTTAGCAAACAAATAATAATATAAACGTCATTGCCACAATGTCTGACAATCACGAAGAAGAGTCACAGGCTCTGGAAGAGGTACGGCATTGCTTCTATCAGAACTCGTTGACACTCAAATCTAATATAATAACGCCTCAGCGATTCAAATCCGCTCTCTGGCTCGCAATTGGCAAGATTGTCGATGAAGAAACCATGCAACTCGACGTCAATGCCACTCCTCAGTTTATCGGTGCCTTGACGGAGATGGTATGGGCTCAGATTGGTTAGTTTGTCGAATTGAATCGCGCGCAATAGTTCTGTCGCTTATCTATTTGAATGGTGGTTACAGAAACCGCCAGTCAGGATTTGGAAGCATTTGCTAAGTATGTAGTGCCTGCTCATGTTTTGTTTCATTGTATCAAAGAGATCTGAAAAGCAATTACTGACAAGAACATTGGTCAGACATGCGGGGCGATCTACTATCAATGTCAATGATGTGATGCTGCTAGCGCGACGCAATGAAGGTCTAGAGTCCATTTTGCGCGCGTTTGCTGATCAGCAGAAAGAGTTGGCTCAGCAGCAGCAACAGCAACAATCTCGAGATGGCGACAGTGACTGATTGATTTGCTCATGGATCGATCGAATAGACCGAGAATGGAATCATTGACGCCCAACGAAGAAAAAAAGAAGAGTCGATAGTGAACTTGACTGATGTCCCCTCGGCATGGTTTACCTGGTTGTGTTACCTTCAGCTCTTTTGGCCCGGCATGGCCATTCAATCTGTGGGGTTGATCATCCTCAGCTTGAATTACGCCTGGTTCAATTCAATGCTCACAAAACTCACGACCATGTTGCTGGGGAAGCAGCCGAGAAGATTTTGTGCGATTGACGGTATTGCAAATGAAGACGCTGTAGACAAATACCTGGTAGCAGTTCTGCCGACTAGGAAGGTATGCAAGACCTGATACCGTGGTACCTCTTTCTTTTCTCACTCAACAGATGGTTCTACAAGACCAAGCATATTCGGAGACTGAAGATACTATACTATTCCACGCAAATTATTCGCTTCTCGAACAAAGATGGGTTTATGCCTCATATCATGACTTCTGGGAATGGTTTTGTTTGAGCATATGGCAAGGCAAGGGGAGTGGATGTATCCGGGAGGGAGCATCAGTTGAATTCTTCCAGACGATTATCTATATGTAGGTAGGAAAATTACCAGAATCGGTACCTACATGATTGAAGTTGAGTTGACAGCATCATGTCATTTGATGACCAGTCCGATTCTGGCATTACTCACCTGGCCTTGCAAGTCCGGTCAATTTATGACTTAAAACTCAGTAATCTTTGTGTGGTTATATTCTAGCAGAACTACATTATTGTAATAAATATGGCCTAGAAGTCAAAAAGAGAGGAAAAGAAAGGG